ATTTATTTAGTGTTCATGCGAAGTAAATTAGTTATGATAACATGTAAACTAGTTTTGACTTTCAGCTATTCACTCACTGTAACCTTTGGATAGGCATAATGTCACTTTAATCAAATCGAGTCTATTATTTTTTAATTTTGTCGTTTTCGGCGTTCTATAGGAATTCCGCTTTTCTTTATATTACCAGGGATGTACGCAAATATTTATACAATTGTAAATGATTACGCTTATGGTTTTACTTTGTTAAGAAAATGAACATACAATAAAGAAACAACTTTTATGCTGAATAATTATATTTTGCTTTTTTAGATGCTAGCCCTCTTTCATTGCATTTAATTACCGCAACCTATGCGCGGCTAATGTAAGAAAGTATTTTGCCTAAAAGAAGCATTTTAACAACAACAACATCAACTGTAAGGGAAATGGCAAAACTAAAAAGACACATAATAATACTTAGTAAGCATGATGAACCTACGACATGGAAATTAAAGATTATTTTATCGTGACATTCCATGACGTTTTTAAATTCTATGCTAGTAGGCCAGTGATAGTAATAACGTGATGTAAAAAAGCTATGTGTTCAACGATAGGGAGAAAAATCTTTCCACTTTAATCATCTTATTTGTCAAAAATATATTTTTTTCTGTTAATGTTTACGAATGCTTCACACATACCCTGTCGTCATAGAAATAGTTTTTTATTACACTCGTTATATGGCTTGGCATTTTCTCAAAAGTCTACAGTTATAAAAAACTATATTTGATATGATGTTTCATTCAATTCAATTTAATTCAAGCTTATTAGAACTATTAGCCTATTTACAACAGTTTTACACAATAATACAAACAACATGTGAGTATCTTAAATCAGAAATATATGCTTCTGAATTTTCACTATCGTACAACACTAAAAGATGTGTAGAGAGGATTATTTTTAGGTTTCAATGATATACCCACTATCTTAAATTAGAAATGACATGCTTCAGAATACAGCACGATGCACCGTGCTTTTCATATTTCAGAATAAGTTTCATATTTCCACTCTTACTTTACCTAACATATGATTCCGATCTTCAATTACACTCTCCGTATATAAATAATTTTCAAAGCTATCCGAGAAGGTTGCTCGTTGCATCGTAACGTGTAACCTAGTAACAGAAATGATATAGTTATATACAGATTCATAATTATCTGTCGTTTATAAGTTATGACCGATGCTTGTCTCTAAAAAAGCTTGATGCTGATCTAGAAATGTAATTGCAATTGATACAAAACCTACGCAATATCAATGCTTTATTTTTTAATGGATCTTCTCCGGCATAATGTGGAATGTCAAGCCGACGTCCACATGATGCCTTAACGTACACACTATTTGTATAAGTGCCCACAAAGTCGGCACCGAAATCATCCAGGTTATATTAAATAAGCCATTTTAAATAAAACATGAGAAAAACACGCTTTAAAAAATTTCGTTATCTATTTAGTTCATATGTGTCAAAACTTGCTGATAATTTTTTTATCAGTCGAAAAGGAAATTATAGCAAACACTGTTGGTCTTAAGGATGAGTACGTATTGCTTTAATATATCTTCAAAATGTTTTTCAAAAAGAAAATGCATGTATTTTCAGACTTTAATGCAAATTATATTCAGAAAATAGTTTTCGTCTAATTGGATGAGACTAGCAAAATGTATCTCTCGAGCATGCTGCACCAGTTATGTAAAAATTTCTGGACAAAATGACGGAAGCATTAAAGATCCTGTATGTTTTGTGATTAATATTGTTACTGTGTGTATACCACACTTGCAAAAGTTATATATGTATATAATTATGCAAATAAAATAATTTTTAAACATCGAAGAATATGTAAAATGTGTACTGCAAATATTTTGTGTACATTATATTTAATCAATAAATTATATGCATTCATTTCTTATTGGAAAATTTGACTTAGAATTTATAGAAAATGAATTTCTAATTACCTCTCTTTATTTACACGAAATGTTAAATTCGGCAATATCTTTATAAATAATGCTTGTTGGAACTTACAATATTGACAAAACTTAATTTGAGCATCATATTTATGAAATAAAACCATGAAAAAAATGTGTTACAGGATCTTTAATCACAATAAATTTACATGAAAATCGGATTGATTGATTCTGTACATGAGGAATAATAAAAAAGTGCAATGTCCCTCATGCCTCTTAGCACCGGCTTCAGCGGTACTGAATTTTCATCACTTAAAAGTGTTGGAATCAATGATTCCAAAAGACAAGACAAAATTTACAACACTGAAGTGATGTTAACCTTGTTAAAATTGTGTAATTGATTTGGCCAGCTTTGTATTTGGTCCTTAGTCCGTCCAGACTTTGATATCAAATTACAACAAAAACACCACAAAGGCTGAATGCAAATTTGTTTGAGTAGTCAAAATACACGTACTCTTTCAAATTAAGAAGAGACAAATTCGTGAAACTTATCCAAAACATATTTTATATAATTTTGTTCATGATTATGGACGGGCTAGGATATTTTTAGGTGCTTTTGTAGAGTACTGAGATCTTAGCTCTGAGCATGGCAATTAAGGAGTACAAAAATTGAATAGAAATAGCAAGATGTGTTTACTATGTAAGTCTCATAAGTTTACTGATATACAGCATATGATATGGCCATTCTTTATAGATTTTGTATCTTGTGTAAATATCCACAATGTAGTGCAATATACCAAATATCTAAACTCTGGACTAGTTGCACATAATATGACTGAAATGTGTTTTTATAGGAAGTGAATATATGTATATAGAGGTCAACTAGGCAGTGTTACCTGTCATTTATCTTAGCTTTGGGCATTAAAGTACACATAATAAGACTTACGTGTCTTTTTCTATATATCTTTCTTAAGTCTATATAATCTAAGTGATCTCCAAGTAGGATCAAAATTGACAAATGCAATAGAAAAATGTATCTGAAAGATGAGGAATAAATTGTTATATTAATTGGTACACATATAAAACATCATAGTTCAGACCACTTTTTTCAAAAGGTGTAAAGTTGCTTTTGGGTTATAAATAACCTTTAGTGATCAAGTTAAACATCCTGTAACACATTTTTTTCATGGTTTTATTTCATGGTTGTAACCAACGCTGAAAAGCCTTTGTGATAAGTTTGATAGAGAGAAGACGTAAATTTTAAATATTTAAGATAGTTCTCTGTTTTCCATTTCTATTACATTGTTACTCGTCCTGTCAATTGTACATCTATTTGTTCAAAAGACCGGTATGTATTTATACTTTCCTATCGTTAGCTAAATCATTTACAGGATCTTTGTAGCCAAATATAGCCAAGTGTTCTTAAATCATTTACATTCATTAATTCGTAAAGAAATCAAACTTTAATTGAAAATTTCCAAATTTATTTCCAATTGATATTCAATCCTAATGCTACTACGTACGAGGGATGTTCCAGATAAAGAAATCATACATAAGAAAGTTGATTTCAGAAAACAAAATACAGATAATAATCACAGATTTTATTGAGTCTGTTCCTGGGAAGTAATTAAATGCAATGTGCAAGCCAAATAAGACCTAAGATTTATTAAGAAATGAAAGTGTTTTTTTTGTATATTTTGATGCAGCTGCACTAGAATGTTTCAGCTGTCAGGCTATAAACGATGTTAATATTTGCAACAATACACTGGAATGTAAGGATGGACAGGTGCGTACAGTAGAAACTGAAATCTTAGTGATCTTTTGAGCAAGAATAAGCAAGTCCCGTCTATAATCTGTATTTTAACCTTTCATTTTTCAAAGTACAGTTCTTTATTTGCCTTGTATTTCCTTTACGAGGAAACATAATGTGCTTGACTTGTTTCGCCACAAACATATCAGATCATGTTTATTTTAATGTTTTAAACCCCCTCCCAAAAAGCAAAAAACAAAAAAACAAACCCAAAACAACCATACTATGAACACAGATGGGCTTTGAAGAAAATTAAACACTTTTGTCACATATCTACTCAATGTCTTATGTTCTGAAAAGCTAACTAAGCTAACTAATGATCTAAACATCTAAACTTGATAACCCTTGCAAGTGCCACAGAACTAGGCTTCGTTATTGTTTTGTTTTTGTCATTTGCCAAAGTGACAATTTGTTGTCGTTTTACAAATGAATTCCTTTTCAGGCTTGCTTTCTAAATACTTCGTCGACAAATAAACATCACATGAACGTACTGGGTTGTATCGACAATCAGGTATAATATTATGATAAATCTTTCTTTATATAAAATCGTGGTTTTCGAGTAACAAATATTGATAATAAACACCCATCGTAAGTAAGCTTGTAAAGTTTTGACGTTCTTCGCCTCGTCGTGTCTTGTGTTCAGTTTTATCAGATTCACACACATTTGATGACCTTTTTTGATAAGAAAGTAATGAACCATATCCGATTTTATCTTGCTTGTGTTGCCTTTATACTAATCAGCATAATGTAGTTGTTATTATTAATTCTTCTTCAACATCCTTTTATACGTAACAGCAATGCACAGTCCATGGAGATATTCCAGCCACTATAGTAGGCAGGGATCTTTATACGAGACAAAGAACTGGCTGTCTTGAATGTTGTTCCAGTGATCATTGCAATAAAAATTTATGTGAACATCTGAAACGTACGTATTTTTCATTGAGTGACTTTTCTGATGTTATTCAGTCTATTAATGATGTAGTTTTGAATATTAAGTTCATTTAATTTTAAGTCAAGGTTTTAAAATTTTTCAATATTTTTTTTGTGCGTTTGGTTAACTCTAAATTACATTTTTGTTCTAACACATACAAGCATCTTGAAAATAACCGATATGTCAATTACAATTATTATCTCAGCCCCAATCAATTTCAGCTCAATTATGTATTGATGACGATTCCATTGACTGTGCAAGACTTAACTCCTTGTTCAACATATGCAATGATATCTCTCATGCTAAGAAATTATGCCCTCAGTTTTGTAATTTGTGCAACGTTGGTACGTAACCTATCTCTGACTATATAGTTACTTTTGATAAAATTTATAATTGAAGAAAACGTAACGATGATAACAAATACAAATTGCGTAAAACATATTTTCGAATGGTTTTTACAAGGGATAAAACACACAGCTTTATCTTAGCATGAAGTCAAACAAACTATGTTCTCCAACTTTGAAAAAAATAAATAATCTATTTTTAAAATCCCGAAATGTTTTAAAACTAGTTTAAGCCGATATTTAAAGTCTTACAGCAACTTATCAGCGATGCTTAACTATTTAAAATCTATTTATAATTTATTAATATATCTCGATTAAAGTTTGTTTATATTCAAATTCGAATTTGTGCTAATTCCGTATAGTTGACGGAACACCGTGGTCTGCATGGTCCTCGTGTGACGTTACATGCGAAAAAGGTTTACAGACAAGAACAAGGTCCTGCACAAATCCTGCACCACAATACGGTGGTTAGATGTGTCTAGGAAATATGACAGACAATAAAGTTTGTGAACTGTATCTTTGTCCCAGTATGTTATGAAGGATAAATAATAATTTCGTTTTTCAATCTACAAAATTTGCTTATCGTACATTTTGTCTTTTTGTTTCCAAATAAGATATGTTCAACAAAAATCAGTAAATAAAAATAGTAAAAAAAAATTAAACAAAGACAGAACGCACAAAACAGCAAAATTTGCAGGCTCGAATTGATTGAGCATTATCGTATATTAGTTGATAAAGTGCTGCGACGTTGTGTCCTCATTTTACTACAAGTTAATGACAATCACAATGAAAACAACAATAATGACGCCAAAGACGTCGACATATAAGAACGCGCCATGTACGTACAAATATGCGCAGCATAATGTAAATATACGACAAGCATGTTCAAAGACAGTAGGAGTTAATACAAGCTACCGGGAAAGTCCCTAAAACCACCCAAGTAGATTAAATTAAAAGATCATATTTCACGAGCTTGAAATTCCGTAAACATGTACATACAACAATATATTTATGCTGAACGATATATAAGGATCGAAAATACAACATCTTTGATTAAATGTACGGTTTACGCACATTTAAATGCTAAGTACTTGTAATTATCTTTAGCTCGTAACTTATAGTATTTTGTTCTCTTATTGATTATAGACTACAGATGATTTGCTTTGATGTGAGTAGGGGGTTATATTAACTGCACCATACTGTATAGATTGTGTTTGCTCCGATATTCCTATTACATAAGTATTTTAATCTTTAATGACATTAATTAAATAATCCTAATTCAGTACATGGTGGTTGGGGTCAGTGGCAGGAATGGGGATCGTGTTCTGTAACATGTGACATGGGAATGAAGAGTCGCAGCAGAGATTGTTCGAATCCTCCTCCTAGTCGATTTGGTGATCACTGTTTCGGGCACAATCAAGAGTCACAACTGTGTATGCCTAAAATCTGTTCAAGTACGTGAAATGGAAATAAGAACATAAATTAACAGAAAATATTATGTAATTTATTTTATTTCAGTGATCTTGACCTAGCGAAAATATACACTATCTTTAGAAATTAAATATACTTGTTTTTAAACATACTTATTTCACTAGTATCAACCCCATTTGCATATGATATGTACTTATCGTTTGCATAATATTTTACAGGCATGTGTTGTAATAAAATATGTTTAAACTAAACTCGTATCAAACACTGTACTAACTATTGATGTAAATTGAATATTCTTCAAAACATCAACTAGTTCAACCGTTTGCCTAATGGATTGCAATAAAAAAGTAGAGAAAACCTGTTCAAAGATTGCTAAAACACCCTTTTCAGATGGTGGCTGGAGTGCGTGGGAGACGTGGGGATCTTGTAGTGTAACTTGTGGAAGCGGGATAAAGTCAAGGTTCAGAGCATGTGCAAACCCCAAACCATCCCCATATGGACAGTATTGCGAAGGGGATAACAGTGAAATTGATATATGTTCACATATAACTTGTGGTAAATCAATCAAATGTTTTAATGATAAAACAGCGACAACAACAAAATCCAAAAAAATATTCATTGTAAAATATATTATTTAAATTCATAGCCCGTTTATCTGTTATTTTCAATGCATTTTAGATATTTGTTACATTTGAAGATTTAATGAATTACGAAAATTATATATACACTCTGCTACTGCAAAACTAAAAACGAACTTACTATAGCGATATAGTGGTAATTGCATAGGAATGAAACACATGCGAACTTATTTTCGACAAAATCAACAGAAAAGTATACATTTTTTTCATACACTAGACTGCAGCTAAATTTCACTTTCCATCTGTACCGTAAATTCACCGTTTGATGCAAACTTGCCTGATTTATTTAATTGAGACTTTTTTCAGATTTGAGCCATTGCCAACCAAATCCCTGTGTCCATGGATCGTGTATTGACCTTAGAAATGATTTCTTATCTACATGTGACCAAGGCTTTGAGGGAAGAAATTGCAATATTTGTAAGGACAAAACATGTTTTTGACTTTATATGACAATATATTACTACACTCGATAACAAAATTTTGCTAATTGACATTTACCAAATAATCGTAGTAACTTATTGCATTTTATAACATATCATTGCATGATCGTGCATATATTTTAACAATAATTTAGCAAAACAAAATGTTAGCGTTGTACTTTGTACTTTGAACACAATACAAAACCTCACCAAAAATTTTTAAATAAATAGAAAATGTTTCCCGCAAATGAATTAAAATTATGTTATGTTGATACTGCCTTACACTAATCCAACCAACATGCTTAAAAAGTACTCTTTTACCAATTTATATCTCACAATCATTTTTCAAACTTTCAGCGAATTCGATGTGTAAATCTAGCCCTTGTGTTCACGGAACATGTTTCGAGAACAAGGATGGTTTTGTGTGCTCTTGTACCGCTGGATTTAGGGGAAAATGCTGCAACACAAGTAAATATCTACCAAAATAGAACATTTATTATATATGACGAATGATACAACATGCGAATGTTTGATTCGCTACTACTTCAAACTGAAATTACTGATAAAATACGAGCTTACGAAAAATAAGTTAAACACAATTTGTAGAAGTATAGAAATATATGGATATCCATCTGAAATCAGTTTCTATTGCATACTTTTATTTACATTATCGGTTGCAAAAGAACCATGTCAAAACTATTATCAAACATGTGGAACACAGGCAAGTTCATTATGTCAAACCAAAATAAGACATATTTCTGGAAATCTTTTCGAATGTGCCTAATATAAGAATTAATCATTAAAGAGCTGAACATTCATCATACTAGTTGATATATACAATTAAGGTTTATAGTATATATATTCATATTCATAATTTGATATATGCTCCAAACATGAAACAGTGAATGTACTTTAAAAATATAACTTGTAATTTTACTTTTATCAAAGGTATCGACTTTTGCTCTTCAAATCCGTGTATTCGAGGAAATTGTGTAAACGGTGTAACAAATTACACTTGCAACTGTCCCCCGGGTGTTACAGGCAACATCTGTGAAACAGGTAACGATCTATGCAACCTGTCTAAAATGCGATAACCGCATTCATCATACTGAAATAAAGATAAGAAGAAAAAGAATAGAAAGGTGCGTAATTAAAGAAGAACACTGAGCTAGAAAAATCTTCTTTGTGAAGCCATTTGTATTCGCGTATGACCGCTGACATGACCTTAAAAGAACAACAATGTGAAGATTAACTAATATCCGTGGTAAAATGTTCCCGTTTTTTTTAAACAAAAACGGATGAGTACGGAATATATTTGTCAAATTGTTCTTTGTAGTTCTAAATTATTCTAATCTCATACTCTAAATCATAAGATTCACCTTAGAATATAAATGTTTGATTACAGTCATGAGGTTGATGCTCTTCATTTGTAAAAGTTTTTATGGAGAACTGTCCTTCGCATCTCGGCCTCGGCGTCCCGCATTCAGCTGATTTGTTCAATTTTTGTGCAGTAAAATATTTTTACTAAAACGTCCATTTTCTTTAGGGATTAACTTTAACCTGCAAATATATGTTCCTTACCGTCACCTATAGCATATGTGAGAGGGTTCACAACTCTTGTATCTTTTCAGAATAATCCCCGCCCTGAACAAGGTTTCTTTACTGCGTCCGGAATTAAGTCAGTCTAGCGTGTTGCCTTCTCTGAAAACTCTGGTACATACATTTTATATATACGATCCTTATGATTATAGTGCGTGCTTTCTTTCAGTTGTAGCATCTGATTGCTTTGACATTCAGAAAATGTCTCTTGGTCAAAGAAATGGTATATATGGAATCCGGTTGTGGAAATCTAAAATATATAAAGAAATATACTGCGATTTAGAGACTGCAGGCGGCGGATGGTCGGTGGGTTTACTTATATGTAGTTATCACATTGCAAAATTGAAGAAACTCAGTGAAACCAAATAATTATTTCAAGCAGTGTTGTTTTGTACTTTGACAATAATAATCAAGCAGTAATGATGATTCAAAGTTTATGTACGAGCACAACACCCTGTGCAAATATAGTCTAAAATTGGCTTGTGATATGATTCTTGTATGTAACTGGTTTAAGAGCTGGTCATTTAATCAAATCTTTGTCCAAATCTGAGCAAGGACATAGTTTCTCCTATACAAAAAGTCCAAATCTTACAAAATTTTACTTTGTTAAATTGATATTTACAGCAACTGCGTATATAATAGACATAAAATCCACTATTAGCCGATCAAAATCGGCGTTACAAACGTGCCTTATTATCAAGTTCAATATTATTCACATATCTACGCTAATAATACCATTGTCAGACTCTGAAAATGGAAAGGCTGTTTCTGTTCACAGGTGTTCCAAAGACGGTTTAATGGTTCAGTGGACTTCTACCGGAATCATGTCAATTACTCCGTTGGTTTTGGAGATTTTAACGGCGAATTTTGGCTAGGTATGAACTTGTATTAAAAATAATTAATTAATGAAATATTATCAATGATAATTTTAAGTCTAGAATTTCATTTTGCTTCAGTTGAAACATGTTGTGTTTTTCACCCTGTCATGATAAAAAGTACAAATGGCATAAAGGTACCACCAAGTCCTGTTTAACTGGCAGTTTCTCTATAGCTATAAACAATCGTTTTCAAAACAAAGTAAAAAAGAATTTAAATAAAAACTGTTCAAAAACGAAAATCAATGATTTCTTTTGTTCGTTACACCGACATAAAACATATGTTGTATATGGGTTTCATAAATAATGTCAGATTAAAAGATTGGTTTAACTTTAATAAAATTGGTTGAAACAATCATCAAAATTTATTTGAGAATTGGACAATTATATAAGATAATAATAAAAAGTGAAAAACAATATTACTGTACAGCTGTTTTTTGTTTGTTTTTTTTGTCAAGGGCTTCATTATATATTTGAATTATCATCACAAAACATTACGGAATTGCGAATTGATGTAGAAGCGGCAGATGGTACCAAAGCATTTGAAGTATACAGGAACTTTAGTTTAGACGAAGACGATTATAGGCTCCACATTGATAGAGGATATGGCACTGCAGGTGCAATGTTTACTTGTATACAATTTTGTATGATATTGATATAATTTTTAATATAATCATCGTAATATAATTTCCAATTTTAAAACAAGTCAATCCTCTGACAATAATGAAACGATTCCCTCGCTTATAACTCTGAATTGTACCTTTTAAGGAGATGTAAATGGTTTGTACTACAGTATTGGCCGGCGTTTCTCGACCTTTGATCACGATGTCGATGATTATGATCCAATCAACAACGCACAAATGTGTCACGGAGGATGGTGGTACTGGTATAGTGCCTGCACACAAGTTAATCTTAACGGCGATTATATTACACCAGGAACAGTCCATTCGAGTGATTCAGGGTATACAGGAATAATCTATTATTCTTTCGAAGGAGTGCAGTCACTGAAATCGTCGAGAATGATGATAAGGCGCGTGTAGGCGATGAAATGTTTCATGTTGCATTGTATTAAATAAAGTCTCAATTTACTTTTGGCTTAATTGTCTATCTTATACATGTTTATTATTCAATCGCCACCAATAAAAAGTTTTTGGTAATAAGTCTATATAAAATAAATTTGTCTGATAAGAATTTCGATTAACAGTGCAAAAAAATAAAACTTTCATAAAATGAAGCATTTTGATTTTTTTTTGTATGCTCACCGGCGTCGTCTATTATGGAATACTTTTTATTTTTGCCTATGGAAGGAGCTGTTATTATTAGCAGTTAATTTCATGTTGTGTTAATTAGTTTTATTTTGATTCGTAAAAATCAAGTAAACAAATGCGTTGTTATATTTGTATTTAATAACTTTATGTAAAAAGCATGTGCATTGTGATTTATTTTCACGAAATTGCAGGTTAAGTTTAACAGCTTGTCCCTTAGTTTTAATGACAATACTAAAACCCGGATTTCGAATACCGTTGTGGTCTAGATTGAGGCCGTATCAGTTCATTCATTCATTTATACATTTTCAAAATTTTCCTACAAGAAGAAAGTTCACCTGCAATTGAGTATAAGGATAGGTAATGGAACTGTTGTAAACGATAATCCTATTGATTTTATCCTTATTACATTAATCTGTTGCGCAGAATGGTTGTTTTTACAAAGTGTACCAGTATCCGGATGTTGAAAGCTATCCGATTTTCTGCAATTACTGCTGACACATGGCCATCTATTTTTTATGAATACTTTACCATTAATTTGCATGGCTTGATAAAACTGAACCTGCAGCATTTCATAATTTTGCTGTTTATGGTGTTCTTTTGGGTTTCAGGTTTTCTTTATTGTAAGGGGAAGTAACTCATGTTTACTAAATTATTTGTTCTTTTCTGTCTATCTTAGGTATTACTTATAATACTATGTTTGTTGTATATAATTCACCAGTTGTAAGGTCATCAAAAGCATGTTAATGTTAATGTTAGGATTTCATATTTATTTAATATAAACTGGGAATTATTAATGTTATGTGCATACATGTATATCTTAGACAGTAGTATATTGATATGTTGAGACTTATAATTTTTCTGCATTAAAAGAGATACAGTTATGTCATTATTATTAAAGGGATGAGACTTTCATTTAAAGTTATAAATGATAAAACATGTATTGATTGAAAATGTCCTTAAAACTTGGATCAAGCAATATAATTAATAAAGTCTCAAAAAAATCATATTCTGAATAGTTATTCTATTTTTTTTTCTAACATGTGCATAGTTTGAAAAGGACAGCTTCTGTCTTATCTATTTGTAATGAAGGGACACCGGTCTCAACCTCCAGGTCTCCTGAGTCAACCCGACAACAGACTGTACATAGAGTAGATTGTTACTTGCCCTTGAATAAATTTGTGCACTAAATTTATAGTTGGTGATTTGTGCCACATGAAAACCAACATAGTACAAAAAGTAACTGGGCGCCAGATGAAAACATGAAAATACAATCTACCACAAAGTGGTTTGTTTGTTGCATTTTCATGTTTTTGCCCGGTGCCCTTGATGCAAAATACAAATAAGCCTTCATAAAATTTCTTATGTTGGTCACAGGTTTGAGTTCTGGTCAAGCTCAAAGTTTTTCTCATCCTGTGACTGCATATAAGCATGAGTTCGATTTCCTATGCTCTGTAACATAAGAAATTCACGAACACAAATCGATATAGTGGGGAAATATGTTGTGGTTTAGAACTGTTTCATTATTAAAGAGAAAATGTGTTGCAGGCCGGATAGCTCAGTTGGTCTTCTGAAAGTCATGGGTTCGAGTCATGGTCAGGCAGTTTCAGTCAGGGTTTAGAAGTGGTTTTTCAATTGACACATGTTTGATTCATTTAACAGATTGCATTATTTGAAATGGACAAAGGCAGTATTGCATGATACTTTTAGATCTACAAAGGGCATTTGATACAGTTGAACACACTATACTGCACATGAAGAAGTTGTTTTTCTTCTTCTTCATGAAACTTCAAGCATAGATCTGCCATATATAATGACATTCTTACATGGTTTAAGTATTATCTCTGATAGTAGCTGGTTGATGTGGCTGGTACTCATTCTACTACTGCTCTGAGTACCTATGCTGTCCCCCTGATGTTCATTTTAGGTCCTCTTTTATGTCTAATATATGTCAATTACATGTCTTCAACCCTAAGCAGTAAGCTTTTATTATAATCCACAGGCACGAGTATCAGACCTTGGAAGAAAAAATATGGCCAGATTGATAAAAAACCTGTGTTCATCTTAAAACTGTCAACAACCAAAATAAAATGTAAATAATGACCCCCTTTAAAAATATACTTCAAGTTGATAGTATATTTTTAAAGGGGATCATTATTTACATTTTTTTTTTGGTTTTTATAAACACAGTTTTTTTTATCAATCTGGTCATCTGGTCATATTTTTTCTTCCCAGGTCCGATACTCGTGCCTGTGATTATATGCTGATGACTCAGGAATCCTTGTGTCTCATAAAATAAATCTGAAGAAATTCTTTCTTATAGCATGAGTCTTATAAGATTGCTTAATTGACTATAAATTGTCTTTGCATCTTGGCAAGACAGAGTCTATTCTTTTTTGGTTTAAGTTTCAACTAAAACTGGCCCTAGCCTCCAGGTCACATGTAATGGATCTGCTATAAAGTACACATCTTTTGTTAAGTATTTAGGTGCAAATCTGGATCAAATTCTTTTGGCGTCGCCCTTTGATGCTTTGCATCAATGATTTTCTTGTTATATAATGAAACTAATGTATTGCGGTTGTAACAGGTATTTTAACCAAACATAGGCGCGTTTGAGCGTTAATAAAATAGACTACCAAAGATTTAATTTGTTCCTATAAGTAAAGTATGTACAACTATTTAAATACCGAAAATAAATTTCCGCTATAAACATTGAAAAATGTCTATAACATTTCTGTCTTTTAATTTGTTTCTGTAAATGTTTCATTTGTTTGTGAATTTAAACCACGGTCATATCTCTCTTGGTAAATATCACTACTAGGATACGTTAGATATGGTTTATATCATCACTTAGATACGCTGTTATAGCTTATCTTAAGTTTACTGATAATTCTGTGATATCAATTAAACATAAGTAGATAGTGTACATGCGTGCACGTGTTATGTTATTCTGTGAGGGTAACAATCGTTTGCGTTTGGAGGTCAAAATGTTACTTTCCATAGTCATTGTATGTATGTATTATTAGGGAGTCAATAAGTTTTAAAATATAATGACAGGTTGTCAATATATTTATTATTCTATGACAGTCACTGTACTTCTTAAGACTTTATCAAAGTTCAACTTTAAATAACTGTTTTTATGTTGAAATACACGATTTCCGTAATTATATTGCCCAATACAAAACATGAAATATTGAATTATAACTAAATCAATAAAAATGTTGCAGTGATCTTTGAATATTCAATCCAATCGTTCCAGGTTATTTAAATTTTGAAATAAAAAGAAAAAAAAGAAATATGACTGCAAACAGACGAACAAAGAATACATCACAGGTAAATACAACTAGGATTGTGCCTACGTGCTCATTTGCTTAGAATCAAATATAAATGCATTACATTACTTGTGATCCTGAAAGAAAATAGAAATTGATTGAATTGAATGCAATTTCATCTTAATATGAAATGCGTGTCTTGTTTTGTTATTCATAATCGAGTGTCACAGTAAGACAAATGTATAAAAAACGACACGAAATGTAATTGAAATTATGTTTGCACGAGTAAGGCGAACTTGCAACATCTGACGCGAAATATTTGATTAGCCAATCCGAAACCTTGTTTTTATGAAATAAACATAAATGATTAACGAGTTAAAAAATACAAAAAAACACAAATATAGGATACAGCATAAAATTTATTTGTCGAAGCGTATCTGTTAACAAATTGACCTGACTAGTTACTTCCATAGTCATTTGATCTTTTTAAGTTTAATTCTAGAACAGGCGCTGATCCAGAATGGCTTTGTCATCATCATCACCGTCATCAACATCATCATTATCGTCATTATCATCATCATCATCATCATCATCATCATCATCATCATCATCATTATCGTCATTATTATCATCATCATCATTGTCATCATCATTGTCATCATCATTATCATATCATCATCATTGTCATATCATCATCATTCTCATATCATCATCATCGTCATAATTGTCATCTTTAACCCATTATCAAATTCATTATTATCATCAGTATTATTGTCATATCACTGTGTCCAACATATGAATTAACATTTTTATCATCATGATCATCATAATCATCGTTATTTTTATAATCATGGTATCATCATCTTCAAGATAACTAACATCGTCATTATCACCATCATCATCGTAATCATCAATTTATTTAAGTATATTGATTATCATCATCTTCCGTATTATGATGATCATCATTATGATCATCATTATATTGGATATTCACAATCATCCCTTTTAATTTAATTTCTATCAAAATTTACCATTTACAGACACTACAATTTCGCTTTATACAATTCAACCGTTTGCGTTGTTTACCCCTGATTCACACATGGACGATTCTCTTTACCTGCAATTTCAGAACAAGTATCTGCGATCTTTCTGTAGTTCGTTTCTCATATTCTCGATGGACAGTTCTGCTCTTAAAACCTTAAGCTGCTGGAACAAAAAGTGATTAACTTTTGCAACTGGTATAGAACCAGTTCAGGCAGGACAATGGAGGTTTACCTGGCTCTATACTGTTGGCTTATCAAGGATCAATCTTAATGCAATCAAAATTGACAATGGATAGTTGCAACATTTGAAAGTGGACAAATATCTGGAAAAATGTGATCCCTCGGAAGTATCAAAAGTCTATAAAATTCATCGGAGAAAAAGGTTAAAGTTATTTTTGTTAACGTGATGTCAAACATGATTTGAAATCACTGCAGTACAATTGAAAAAGTATTAATCTTTATGAAATTTGAGTTAACAAGACAATCATATGATATTACAGCTGTTGTATAAATTTATACTTCTTAAAATTGTTTACGGATCGTATTCGAATTTAGATTCCCTACGATCTATGCCACCATTTATTTCCTCGTGTATGTAATAGCCACTGTGAACCTAAAAATATCTTGTTATACCCTTCGGGAAATTTTCGAAGATGTTCAATTTAAAAAAGAAGTAGGGCTGTCTTTTTTTTTACTTTGGCTGTTTTCATATTTTATCCTAAACATTTGTCATTGTTAATCATTGTTAAATCGTGTTTTAATACCATACCAAAGAAGGAGAAAGCGATCGCTCATCTATATGTCCGCTAATTAAAATTTGTTGAAGACTGTAACAAAATACCAAACATAAAAGGCTTTGAGAAATAAAATGATAGCATTTCGGAGGCTTAGTTAGCCATTAAGAAAATCTCAGTATTCTCACGTATAGAACAACATGATCCCTTTATAACGTTCAGAATTGTATCTCTTTCTTATTTAAAGCATTTTTTTCACTGAAAATATTTGTTTTTCTGTCAAAGATTAATACAGTTGTCATCTTGAGGAACAGCTGTTTGCATGTTTCGTTTTTGAAATACTCGTATATCTAAAATCCCAGATGAATTTTATTTATTGTGAGCATTTGAAGCTACTGTGAATAGTTGGAGTATTTGAAGGATGGCTACTTTTACATACATTTACATCTTCACATTTGTCTTTCTTTTAAGGTCAGTATTTTTATGTATTCTCAGTTGATATAGGATAAGGCTGATAGATAGGGAATATTTAAGTTTATTTTTTCTATAAATTCATCAAGTGGTAGAAAAGTATGATATTTCATTCATGGCGGTAACTTGAATTTTCTGTTTATTATAAATTCATCAAGTGGTAGAAAGTATACTACTTCACTCGTGCCGGTTTCTTGAATTTTCTGTTTATTATATATATGTTTCTCTTTTTTGACATTAGAATTTGAAAGGCTTCCTCTTAAATTTTGTTAATTGGCTGAATTTAGAGGAAAGTAGCCTTGCAAGACATCAGTGAAAATACGGAAAATATGTTTTACCTCAATCAAAATATTTTTACAGTGAAAATACGGAAAAGGAAAACACGCATTTTATTTAATCAATTTTTCTCAATTTTCAATGAATATGTATTTATTGAAAGATATATATTATAACATTCTGTTTTGAAATGTTTTGCCAGATAGCATGTTTTACAGTGAAGCAGCTTAACTGTAATTCTTTGCGAAAGCTACTGCTTTATTTCACTTCTATTGAAATAAAAGTTTGAAATAATAAAATAATTATGGACAAGAGTAGCCAAATTGTATAAGAATGCTCAAGATAAGCTTGTCTGAGACTGTACGGGTACAAGTTAATTAAAAACGAGCAGTCACTTGCACAATGCAATAAAACTAAAAGAATGTAAATAATAATGATTTATAAAATTCCTAATCATACAAAAAGTGCATGTATTAAATAATTTCATCGTGTTATTTTCAATTATTGCACAATGTGCTCAGTGAGTGAAATATATTTAGAACGTTCAATGAAACATACAAATATCTTTTACGAATTCTGCGGAAAAGAAGCATTACAATGAAATGAAATTTATACATTTTCATAAATAATCTTTATTTTTTATGTTTCAGTATAAAAGGACAAACAAGACCCGATGGTATGTGTTAATTTTGTAATTAAACTCCTTAATCAAGTAAACCAACAGTTATTAAATAAATAAGGAACATTATATTCTCAGCCGTTCTGTTCCGGTACTAAATGTCGAAATTTAAACACTTTATATATGTAAACAATTATATGAATATTTTTACGTCCTTGTGAATTGGCTTATTAAAACAAAATGAGTACTATTTGAATTCAACCACGCTACGTCATCGGAAAGGTGGCATAGATTTTAAGAAAGAGATGGATATGTCCATTAGAAACATGAAGCATGATAAAGGCCCCGGTCAAAAAGATCGGTTCAGCTTAATAAAAAAGAAAAACTAAAAACACACAAACAGAAGAAGAAGAATAAAAACATATTCGACGTTTCTTATCAAATTCAACATAGTCTGTTTTGTTATAAAATTATATCATGAATTATTGCTCGTGAAAAGACATTAAATCGTGGTTTTGTGTTGTTTATTGATTGATAAAGAGAAAAACAGATGAAGATTTAAGCATGAGATTTTAGCATGACAATTAGTTTTTTTTCCAATATTTTAATTTTTGATACATTTTGATATCCTATATTGTCTCATTTCCCTTTCTATTTGAAATAAAATCAGCAGCATAAACACGTAAAAGACTTGACAGTTACCAGTCATTTAGGCTTTTTGTTACTCTCACTTATTTAAGTAATAATTAGGGGCTAATAAGAAACCATTAAACGACGAAAACAGCTGAAAGGGCATTGGAGCTGTTCTAGACGTTTAATCCTTTCTTCTTAGCATCTAATAAACTTTTGTCGTTGACCTACTTTCCAAAGGCACACGTAGTGTTTATCCAGATAGAAGTGAGGTTCAAAGGTTGAAAAGAATGGTCTAATAAATTTAAATTGATTGGTGACTGTCGATGCAAACTAGTCTCAGACGGTCAGAAGACTTTAAATTAAAGTTTCTAATTGGACGCAAAGATGAACATAGTCAAAGCTGCAAATAGTTTCGTTGAAAATAAAATATAACCGAAACATCCCAAAAATAGATATATCTTCACATCCGTTTCTTAAATTTGCTTTCAGATAGTAATTGTGCTAAAATAGTTCAACCATCTGAGGATAGTCCTAGCAGCTATAGTTCGGATGCGTCTAGCTCTAATAGCTCGAGTTCGGATGGGTCTAGCTCCAGTAACTCAAGTTCGGATGGGTCTAGCTCTAGTAGCTCAAGTTCGGATGGATCTAGCTCAAGTAGCTCAAGTTCAGATGGGTCATCCTCTAGTAACTCAAGTTCGGATGGGTCTAGCTCAAGTAGCTCAAGTTCGAATGGGTCTAGCTCTAGTAGCTCCAGTTCGAGCGACTCAAGTTCAAGTTCAGATTCAGGCGATGAAGATATGTCTACACAGACGGAACACGAAGAAAATGAAGGAACAGAAGCAGACGATAATGAAGGAACAGAAACAGGCGATAATGAAGGAACAGATGCAGGCAATAATGAAGCAACAGGAGCAGGATTTAACGGATAGGATAGACCGTCAAAAGAGCCATTTGTATCTGACTTTGTCGAACAAGCTACATAATTATTTATTAATTAAAAGAATGGTTTGATAATTAAAAATATTAAAATTTGCAAGGTCGAATTTGAGTTTTTATTTTTTTCTGGCTTTATGCATTTCTTTGTTGTACTTTCCATGTGACACGATATAATACGAGACCATCTACTTCTTATGTTGCGACAAGAGGGAATTCGATCACGCACAAGTGGTTATGGTCGTTGAATTTAAACTACTTCTTTCATGTGAAAAATATTTCTACCTACCTTACGAAACGTCGGTGGCGCGGCTCAGGTGCTCGTTTGCGCCTGAAATCTTGCACAAAGCGGCACCTCAATTCTTTGTCATCATTACCATCTTCGTCGTCATCATCCGCGTTATTGACATCTTCTTTGTCTTCACAATTTCAATAATCACTGCCATCATCATTATTGTCGTCATTATAATAATCATCAACATCACTTTTGTCATCATTTTTATCATCGTTATCATCATGAACAACATCGATGTCAGCATTTTCATCGTTATCGACGACGTCGTCATCATCGTTTTCATCATTGTCGTTTGTATCATTCTTGTGACATGCGTGTGCTTTTTCTAAGACAAGGCGCGTGCTTTAAACAACGTCATTTCCGCACGTCCTATGAATGATGCTCAATAAACTAATAACATTAACAATACATGTATAGAACGCATATTTATTTGTTCTTTATTAAAGGAACTTTAATCTGCCTTTATAACGCCGCTTTGCTATTTGTCTTTATTACCTGATCATGTACACAAATTTTCATTTTCATGATATACGACTGTCACGCTTTGTAAATTACATCAGCAATTTTATATATCTTAGTGCTTGAAATTATGTTATGTACCAACGTTATGCAGTATTTCAAATAAAAAGTAACACATTTACTTTCGTAAATCGACTTTGCCTTTGCCTAAAATATGCGCCAAAGGATCTTGTTAAACAGTCGATATTTACTACTAGTATCTGATTAAAAGTTTGGGACTTTTAAAGGGGTTTGTAAGAGGATTGGCCTGCGTACTTAATGCTTACGAACGTATGAAAACATGAAGATAAAGTCACGAATAGATTAGAAATGGTTTTTAAATTGAGTACTGACGAAGCGAAACATACATGACACGCAGCTATGAAATAAACATTAGAAATGAAGGACCAACGCAAATGAAAATTGCCTTTAAAGGTAAAAATGCCTCAGAAATCCATATTTGTTATTCTTTACAAATGTCAAACAACAACACATGTCAGACAAACATGTTTAATGAATAATGTATTGTTATGGTAGCAAAATGTAAACTAAGTAGTATTTTGACTTCCATACACAAGACTCATTTACTATGAATATATTTATTGCCAGCAGAGCAAACATGTTTAATGAATAATGTATTGTTATGGTAGCAAAATGTAAACTAAGTAGTATTTTGACTTCCATACAAAATACTCATTTACTATAAAAATACCCATTGCCAGCAGACAAAATAAATAAAAGATAGTTCACCTATTTGGCAAATGAGTATTTTTTGAAACTGTTATAAGATACCCAAAATAAAAAAAGGTTTTGTATTGAAGTAATTATATTATATTGAAAGAGTATACGTTCAATACTAAATTTATTGAATGCGTTGAATAAAAAAACATATCAAGTATTTTTGAAAATATCACAGTGAAATTATGAATGTGAAAATGGAATAACGTTAAACTGCATTAGAAGAAGCAAAAATACCATTGGCCACGAAATCATGGAAATTGTATATCAAAGATTTGGTCTGTTTTTTTTTTTTTGACGGATAAGCATACCCATTTGTTTAGGAAATAAATATCAATTTTGAGTGCATTGTTGTAAAGAAGCACTGTTTAAGTTCAAATACATATGAATATTATATATAATAACGAATCTCGATAGTTCGACAATGCAAGGGAAGATATTGCCAACTTTTGAATTTTTAAAATTTGATCACTTCATTTGGGAAGTGCATTTTGTTTTGCAACATGAATCGGAAAACGCAATTTATACACAATAAAAGCATCTCAAACAAATCTCTTTTTTTTACATGTTAGGCCAAATTACATTTCACTTGTCAACACCAGCTGTTGTCATTTTCGTTATACTTGCGATCTACGCACGTTGGACAAATTGTTTTGATTCGATTTTTTACACCATTTTTCCTTGATATTCACTGAATAACATGAAACACAATTTTTCCGAAATAATTATGTTTTAATGTTTTCAGTATTAAAAGGAATAACACGACATTACAGTATGTATAACTTAGAAAATGTCAAATTATATGTACAACTGTAATATTCTTCCTCTCCCCGACGAATATTAAAGATCAAAATATTGCAAAAACATTTACAATAAATTAAACTCTTTTGAGCAAGACATCTTGGCAAAAATCATAATTATTGTAACAAGGAGCCGATTAACATGAGCCAAGTCACAAGGATATCTGAAGAAGTATAAGTGACCGCGTGGACTGTTAAATGGCGTTTTTGTACGAACATAGAGTTTATACAGAGAGAAAACGTACAAGTTTTAGGAAATACACAATCATCTACCCTGTGGTTTGATTCCGTTGTGGGAGTATTCTTCTAACGGCATTACAGAACAACTGGTGCTGGCTCAAGAAACAATACAGCAATATCACGAGTGTAGTATACGGATTAAACTGATTACAATTTTGTAACAATACATCATGTTTTGATAAGATTTTTAAACCATTCTGGTTGTTCACAAGGAAAGGAATTTTCCTCGTAAGATAATGAACAATGACCAATATAACAACTGCTACATCGTATATATCGTTTTTTTGTCGCCTATTCTTGTTCGTTCATTATCATATATAAATCGATGTGAAAAGATGAATTCAACATTTTAAAAGGAGTGAAAAGCATTTATACAATCAAGCGCCTGTCCGGTTTATATCGGAAAACGGTTTTTATTGTGGTGCTCCAATAATTGTTTTAGTCTCACTCATATCGTTAAATATGTGATAAGAATATCTTGGAAAGGTCGACAATTCCGTTCTTAAAAATGATGGATTTTAAGAAAACAAAAAGGCAACTTATACACTGATACCACCTACGAAAGAATTACTGGAAAACTGCAAATACAATTTTTTCGAAAATCAGATGCGTTTACAAGGCGGCAATCTTGAATGTCACAACGAACATCATATTAACTAAAGAAAACATCCAAGCAGTGTGGTCATAAAGAAAAAAAAATATAATCGGATGAGGAGTCCAGCAGGACATGGCGTAAAAGTCACTTAGTCGCGACATCTGCACTGATCTAAGAAAATAAAAAACAAAGGAGGTCAAGGCCAGGTTTGATACAATCAGAAAGGACAGGAAACCAGTCTCATAAAAAGAACCTTCAAGACTGAATTGACCTTATAAATCAAGAATCCTTGAGATAATCAAATTGTTTCACCATGGTCCGTTAACGTTTGACAGCTGTTAATAAAGGGTGACAACAAATGTTAAATTTGAATCTAATAACAAGAGAGGTTCAAGTACGAGATCGGGCAGGTCGAGAAAACTCAAAATAAAGTTAGAAAATCGGAAGTTTTCAGAGCTAATTTTTTTTGTTTTAAATAAATCTGAAAAAATTTTTCCCGGAAAATTCAATTTTAAAAAACATTTTCCCTGACTACGAAACGGGTTTTTTGGGGAACATAAATTTTTTCCAGAATTTTGTGGTTCGGGATTTTGAAAAAAATTTTTTACAAAAAGATTTTTTATTTAATTTTTCTTTGTAAAAAGAATGTGCAGAAATTTTTAAATTGAAGTTTCGAAATTGCTGTTACATAAAATTTTGGCAAAATTATGGTGGGATTAAAAGGAAAAAATATGTTTTAAAAATGTTTTATCCAATGTTTTTTCCCAAAGAGGCTTCCCGCGTTTGACTTGAACCCGTTGTTCGACAGGTACGGGGTTTTTTGGGGAATGAAAACTTGTTTTCCCTAGCGAAAAGGGAACCCCCGGGGGAACTTTAAATGTAAAAATATTTTTTTTTTCAATTCCAGTTTTTTTTAAAAAAATTTAAAAATTTTTTAAAAAAGAAAAAAAATTAAGAAATTTTCATTAAAAAAAGAAAAAAACAAAAAAATTTTTATTTTTGCCCTTTGTTGGGCAAAAATTTAGGAAAACCCCTGTTTGATTAAATTTTGTTGGAAAAAAAGGGAACAGGAAAAAATTTTTTTTCAAAAATTTTGAATATTAAATTTACAATATCTTTCAAAAATGTACAAGGTTTGTGTAAACATGTCATTTTGTCCCTTTAGGGAAATTTAAAAAATTTCCCCCAATTCATTTTTAGCTTTAATTTTTTGGGGAGTACTTTCTTTTCCCCCAAAAATTTATGCATTTCCCAAAAATAGCAAAATTTTTCCCAAAAAAAGAAAAAAGACCCACAGCTTCAAAAATGTTTTTAGAATAATTCATTGGTTTTTGACCCTTTCCATAATTTATTTTTTTGTTGTTTCTAATGTGTTTTTAAGGGGGAAAGCGCGTAACAAAAAAATTTTCCTTTTTGGCCAAAACTCTTTTTCCGTAAGGGGGGTTAAAAATTTTTAATCTTTAAAAGGTCTTGCAGATGATTTAATGTTCTTGCAAAAGTCAAGCGCGGGATGTGTAAGTCTTTTGTTATGCTTATGAACAATTGTTAAATAAAATAAAATAAAATCAAAGAAACATAAAAGTTCGGATGTTAAAATTTTCCGCTACCGTTCCCAGTAATTTTTAAACTTTCTATGGGGCTATTTTTTGGGACACCTCTTGAAATCTAAAAACGTAAAGGGAGGGGATTTTTAAATTAAAGCCAAAAAAACGGAAAAATTTCCATAATGACAAAAAGGCTAATATACCGGAAGAATCAAGCCCCCTTTTAAGCCTGAGCCATCGAAGACCCAAATTTATACAGAAAAATTTTAAAAATAAAAATGACAAAATACCCAACACATTGATTTGAAAATCAGATTTAAAAATTTTAAAACCTTTTTAAATTTGATAAAAAACGTTTAAAACGTGCCGTGATTTAGCGAAAAAAAAAAACCCCCAATTTGGCAAAACAAAAAAATTTATAAGAACTCCGGGACATTTTGAAAAATCGGGTATAAATTTTTTTGTCGGGGCTTTATGTTGGCAATTTTTGCATTATAATTAGATACTTATGTATGGCAAGGATGAAGACTTGAAGTAAACAGGTCAATACTTTCGAATTGGCAAATAATTTGAAAAATTTTACCCAAAACTACAAGATTTTAAGCAAGAGGCGATGAAAAAATCGACTTTGAACTAGTTTTTTTGACATATAATAACAATATGTAAGGCAAGCTTAATCATCAAAGTTTATTTAAGCACCTAAAATCTCACTTTTTAACGATGAAAATTACCATTTTTGACGAGTGTTTTGCAGTTTATACAATAGTTTTCCGACAAACTCCGTGACAGTTATCACAAGAACACCTTGACAAGTTATCATAAGAACTCCATTCTCGTGTAACACTTCCTCCCCCGTGTATGATACAAAAGAGAAAAACACCCCGGCAATCTGATTTTTTTTTTTTTTAAAATTTCTCTTTCTTTAAACCATACCTTTTGGGACCATTTTGTTAATATTTGTATGAAAAAAATTTTTTTGGGGGTTTTCAAAAAATTTTTTACCTTGGGTTTTCAAGGGTTAAATTTTTTCCTAAATGAACCGAAACCCCTTTTTAAGGGTTTTAAAACCAAAAAAATTTAATTTATTTCCGGCCCCCAATCCCCGGGTTTTGGCACGGTCTTTTGAACACTTTTTTAAAAAATTTAAAAAAAAATTTAAGAATTATCAAAAAATGAATCAAGTCATCTTTATGAATAACAACATCATTTTTTCCTTCTTTAAATTTTTTTTTTTATAAATAATGAAAATAAAGTATATTTACTTATATAATTTATACCCGTCTATTAAGTATTTCATTACGTAATATCATGTTTAATTAGGTAAATCAAAATACCATATTCTTTGTTTAATGAGGTAATCAAACGTCATATCACGTGTATTAAGTAAGGCAAATTTTTCTTAATCCTGTTTTGTTGTCTTGTATCAAAAAAAAAAACGGCGTAAAAGTACATTTGTGCTACTACTTATATTTAAAAAGATAATAAAAGTTTTGAAAGCTTTCGGAAGTAACATAAGAAAAAATATTCCGCCACTTTCAGTGTACATGTTAGTAAGTAAAAACAGGTGTTGGCCAACTACCCAGTTATTGCGTAAAATGCCTTAGTTTGCCTTTACAACACATTGTGGGATACCCGATTACCATGTGACATTTCGAGGATACTGACCATGCGCTATATTGTCCGGTTTTCAGGTATAATTTTGTAATGAATTTTTCTATAAAAAAAAGACAAGGACATTGTTCTGTTTTTGTTACATTTGATTGTTTGAAGTTTGTTTTTTCCTTTGCATTTAATGACATTTATTTTTCTTTCCCGTTTATTGGGAATGTCTGTAGTGGTCAAAATTTTTTGTTTTTCGAGGTTAAAATTAAAATTTAAGACAACGAATTGATTTGCCCTTTCCATTTTTTTTGGGGGGCCCAAAATCGGAAATGTCTTTTTAAAATTGGAAAAGAAAATTTAAAAAATAAATAAAATAAATAAAAAAAATTAAATAAAATAAATTTAAATATATTAAAAAGATAAAAAGGAACATAAACAAGAATTGAAATCTAAATAAATAACATATAAATAAATAAATATCTGATATAATCATCTGGCTGTCTGAGTGACGAACGAACGAACGAACCGACCAACTAACTGAAAAAAACTAAGTTACTAAGCAGAAAAATAAATAAACAGGTGAAGACATAGGAAAATGAACGTATAAAGTAATTAATAGATACAATAGGTAGATAGCCAAGTAGCTCGGTAAGAAGGAAAGTAGATAGGTAGGTAGGAAGGTTTGTATGTAGGCAGGAATAAAGAGATAATAAATATTAAATTCGTTGCGTTCTAGCTATTTAAGCTTTCTATGATGTTGTTATCTAATTTGATCCTATTACAGCACTGCAACGAAAAAATGAACAAGTATAAACGCCTCTTTTTATCAATAGTCGGTTGTAAGGTATAAATTATCAAACTTATTTATTCTATGGCCAGTTTGAAATGACACACTCATTTAACCAACCAACATAAAGATATTGTATTTGAACAATTTGGAGATTAAAAAAAATATATCAAAAAGTAAGTACCAATGTTTCTAAATATTTCAATATAGATATACTATTTATACTAAAATAATATAATAATGATAGATTTTATATAACATTCTGCTACGTTCTCATTTATTGTTCATAAAATTGTCAGATGTCGCTTGAGAAACAACATTTAGAGGACTGTTTTGCTTGTTTGATTGTTTGTTTCTTTGTTTGTAGTTTGTAATAAATTATATTTTTTTCCTGAACGAGAGATGTATAATAAACTCAAAATAATCTATATTTTAGAGCGAAAGCTATTTTAAAAGTACGCTCGAAATAATCAATATTTCATAACGAGATTTTTATGCACTCGAAATAATCAATATTTCAGAACGTGAGATATTGAATGCACTCGAAATAATCAATATTTTTGAAAAAGGACAGTCTAATGCAATCCACGTTATGAATATTTAAGAAACAGTGACAGTATTTACGCTAATAATACAAATACTCAAAAGAAAGGACACACATGAAACCGTTGATATTTCAGAAAAAAGGATAGTTTGATTAATTAGAAATATTTGAATACATGTATTACAAATGAGATATGGTTGTATACACTCGGAATAATCAGAACAGACCAGATAACCTTATTACATTATGTATTTAATCACCGTTAAACTCGAAATAATCACTATTTCAGAAAAAGGAACACTCAAAAAGATGGCCCTAATACAGGTTGCATTACTGTTAATATCTGCAGTTTGTGGAGGTAAGCTTGTAGGTTTGTTTTACATAAATACATACTTTAATGACGTCACAATTGTATTTACTACTTATTAAAGTATTAACATTCAAATGATTAATAATATTTATTCTAGAGTAGTTTATGATCTGCTGTATATGCAATATCGGAGGATATATCGCACACTTACAAACAGCACTTATATTAACTTTTATATAATAATATCATGGTTTGTTGTAACGAATGATGTTATAAAAAGAATCTTTCATTATGGATCAAAATTTCAGGTCAAAGTTTAACATGCCTTCAATGTGACGGAGTTCCGCAGCCTAGATTTTGTAGAAGAGTTGTAGATTGCTACGACGGCGAGGTAGTGAGTTTAAAAATAGTCTTTTGTAAAAATAAAATAGTTTTGGTCATCTATCGGTTACAAAAAAATAAGCGACAGAAATGAAGTTCATAGTGGCAAATAATTACTTTCATTTTATCCAATATTTGAAGAGCTGAGCAAACAAATTTTATTTTTTATTATAAACAATTTAAATTACATGTGTAGAAGTTTATATCATATGAAAACCTCATTATATACACATTTATATAATAATTATGAAGTTTGCTATTGAGTGATATTTAAACAAGATAATTAATATTAAGATATCTTATGATATCTTAAGATAATATCGATTTATTAATTCAATTCCGAGTACATTTTTCTCATATACATATTACATATTTTCCGTTTTAAGCGCCCTAGTTGCTCTATGTAAGATGCCTATATATATATCAAATATTATTTTTAGGATTTTGCACGTCAGTGGAACTCCTTTAACACCATTAACACTATATAAGATGTTTTCTCAGCAAGATTGTTTTCTTAGTTGTCAATCTTAATTATTAAACTCCGATATATTCAATCAAATCTTTCCTTACATTCTTCCTTTTTTCTAAAAATTTTACCCTAAATTTACATTTTTGTTTTTTCTATAGTAAAAATTTAAAATAAAATTTTTTCTTTTAATTTTTTTTTGTTGTACATTCAAAAAAGGGTTAAAATCTAACGCAAATTTTTTTTATCTTTTTTCTTTTAAAAATTCTTTTACTTGGGGGGAATTGATTTTAATTATTTTTACTTTTTTCTTTTAAACCCCGTCTGAATTACATTGTTGTGGCCCAAAGTTTGTAAAAGTCATTTTTTGTACAATTTATTTAATAAAAAAGTTTCCCAAAATTGTTTTCATTTTTGTTATGCGGGCTTAAAAAGAAATTTTTTAATGAATTTTGGGGGAAAATTTTTTTAACCCCGGTTGCCATAAACAGAAGGTAAAGTGATCTTTTTGGGAAAATCTTTAAATAATTTTTTAAAATTGTTTTAATTTTCCCTTAAAAAACATAATAAAATTTAAGAGACCCCAATTTTTTAAAACATTTTAATTTTAAATTTTTATTTAAAATTTTTTAAAAAATTGTAGAGGGTTTTATTTTTTTTGTCAAAATCTTTTTTAAAATTTGTGGTTTTAAAAATTTTTTGAGGGTTTTTTATATTTTTTGATTACGAAGCTTTTCAAATCTTTCTCCCACATCCCTTCGGGCTGTGGGAGTTTCCCTTGTAAATGAAAAAAGGGCACACCAGGACGGGTGATTATTTTGTTCTTTTTTTTGGGGTGCCCAACTAACGGCCAAAAATGTGGGGTCTAAAAGATGGGGTTCTGCCTCCCGGAAAAATGCCCTTTAAAATATTTGTTTCCCTTTGTTCTCCTACGGGAATTTTGGTTTCCCCGGGGGGGAAGATCTCTATTTACCCAAAAAAGGGGTTTAAAAAAACCCCCTTTTTGGCTCTACAATTTAAACGTATTGAAGCCCTTTAAAAAAGTCTCCTGCGGCTGTCGACTTAGCTTGGGGGGATGTTTTTGCGGGGAAAATTTGGGAAAGCCTCGCCCCTAAAAAAAACGTAAAACACAAAAAACTGTAAAATCTTTTTTGGGAAAAGCCTAACCCAATTTTTTGAATTTGGTTTAGCAGTGTTTTATTAAAAAACACAAGAATTTAGTATTGTCTCTCAATTTAAAAAGGGAAAGACCTCTTTTTTTTTTTTTTTTGACAATTCTTTGCCCCAAAAGTGTTTTCTTTTTTACTTTAAAAGGAAATTGTTTTATTTTTTTACCCTTTGGGGGAACTTGGTTTAAATTTTTGGGCTAAGAAAACCTTGAAAAACGGAAAAATTTGGGTTTTTTAATTTTTAAAAATTAAAGAAATAAATTTAGGTTTTTGTTTAAAAGATTTTTTTAAAAAAATTTTTATTTTATTTAAAAAGAAACCAAATTTTGCCTTTTGTTTTAATTTCCCCAAAAATTTAAAAAAAAATATCCCCCTGCAAAATGATTTTTCCAATATTCATTATTTTTAAAATAATTCCAAAATTTTTTCCCCCCCTTAAATTTTTTTAAAAATTTAAGCCCCAGAAAAACCCCTTTTTTTGCTTTAAAATTCAAAAAAAAATGGTCAGGTTAAAAATAAAATTTAAAATTTTAAAAAAAAAAGAATTTAAAATTTAAAGTTTTGAGGGAAAATTTAAAAAAATTTGGGGTTTTAAAACCCCCCGGGGGAACCTTTCCCCCTTTTTCCCCAATGCCTTTTCCGTTGGAAATTGTTAAACCAACAAGCCATTTTTATAAACAAAAACTTTTGTTCTTTTTTTTTACCGACCCCGTTTAAAAATTCCTTTTTCAAGAAAGGTAAAAGGGGGAAAATTTCCCAATTTCCCCTTTTAATTTAAGAAATTTGACCAAAAAATTTTTATTGCTTACCTTTTTTAACAAAATTTTTTTTTTAATCGTGAGTTAAAAATTTTTAATTTAAAAAAAGGGCGAACCCAAAAAAAAATGACAAAAAATTTCATTACGAAAAAAAAAAGTTTTCCTTAAAAATGTTCATTGGGAAAAAAAAATAAAGGGGTATTTTTTTTAAAAATTTCTTAAAATTTTCCCAAGTGATTTTTTAAAAAATTTTTTAAATTTTACCTTTCTTTTCCCTAAAAAGAAACGAAAATAAAAAAGTAAAAATGGAAAAAAAACTTTTGGAAAGATTGTTTTTTTAATAAATTTATTGCCCAATTTTTTTTTTTTTGCTGTTAGGTACGAAAGGACCTCACTAGTATCTAGTTCATAATAAAAAATTGAAAAAGGCGAATAACGGCGAAATGATGTTGTAGTAACCGAAACAGATTTTGCAAAATAAAAGACATAGTTACGCGTAATTTAAAAGGTTAATTAACGCGAAAAAAGGCATAGAAACGAACAAAATATGGCGGAAAATTATTTTAATTTATTTTATTAATTGATCTGTTAGGCTTTCGTAAGAGATGATTCTTAATGGTTAAATAATTTTGGGAAACATTTTGTGGAAAAAAAAAAAAAAAAAAAAAAATTTGATGCTTCTAGTTGAACAATGCACAGAATGCTGTGGAACCAACCTATGTAATGCAGATGCATGTGGAGAACCAGGTACAGATATTTTTATTGTATATTTCTTTATAAGTTTATCCATGTTTTCGTTATTTTGTACATCTTTTCTTTACGTACCCGCGCATGTGTACATATTCAAAGGGTTGTTGCAGAAGTAAAGAGACAACCGTTGTAAATGTAGTAATAATACGTATATTCAAAAAGTAAAAACACATGACTTAAAGATCATATTTTATAACATTATACCAGTAATTTAGGTAGAAAAACATAGAACTTTGAATGATCAACATACAAAATTACATACATCACTGCACGAAACCTGGCGCACACAAAATGTCATAATTGACGTTGTCATGGCCTTCTCTACGCAATCCACATCAGAGCATTTGTTTAATGTGACAATCTTAAAGTCATTACCAAACGTAGACACGATTTTGTGTTTACGCTATCAGCCCATCCCCATTGCTAACCTAAAATAGAGAAAATAAGAATCCCTAAAGAAAGCCCACAGGGGAAAAAATGAAAATTTTGCGGGGCTTAGTTTTTAAACCCTTTGTTTTAAGTTTTTTTTTTTTCCTTGTAATTTTTTAACAATAGTAATATATATTTTTTAAAACGCAAATTTTTTGTTTGAAAGAAAAACCCAATGTAAAGATTTTTTAAAAAAAAATCAATATTGATGGTACGTTACTCGGTAATCCGGCGAATCAGTATCATCACCTGTCAGTCCATAAAGGAGACACACATGTGCTTGCTACCGGAGCGCGATGCCCTGACTTTTTTCGGCGGTGGTGTTAGTGGTGTTTTCCAAATGGACGAGCCGAGTTTTTTTGGTCCTATAATGCCAGAGCCAAGAGCCAAGTTTATCCCGGGTGACTATCCTGTATAGAAATGCATTCGCTTGCTTTTTCTTTTCGTTAATTACAAGTCGGGGTACCCATTTAGCGCTCACCTGGCTTATGTTCAGATATTTCAGTATCCCCAAAGCTGTAAACCTGTGGTCTATTGCAATTTATTCTGTAATCTGCTTGAATGACAATCACAGACTGGAAGTGACCTGTGCGTCTTCTATAAACTGAGGACCTTTTCCAAACTCTTTTTGCCATATAAACACAAATGAACAGTAGCATTTACATTTACCGGCCTCCTGAAACATGTCATAGGAATGTGTTGGTGTTTTCCAAAGCGCATTTCAGACCTAAATTACTGCCCATAGCTTGACTCCGTCGGTTGACGTCATGACTGTATCCTCTCCGTAGACAGTGACGTGTTAATAGCGCTGTTTCTCAGTTATTTATAATGTTATTGAGTCCATACGAATTGATAATGTCGTTGTTATGTCACACGTTATGCTAAAAATTTGCGCGAAATTACCTTTGTTAAAATTTTTTTTTAAAGGTTTAAAGGGGGGCAGTTTTTATTTTTTGGTTATATGTATTGCAGAGCCCCCTGTAAATTTGTTAAAATTGGGAAAAACGTTTTGCTTTTTTTTTTGAAGATAGTATACATTTCAAGAAAAAAATAAAAAAAACAAAAAAATAAAAAACCTTTATAAATTTGATTGTTCCATTAAAAAGGGCTTATTTGTTCAACAAATTTCTTAATAAACTTTGATTAAATTAGGAATATGAGGAAATGAGGAAATAGAATCACCAATTGAATAGAGAAGACTTAACCTGGCTTCTTGTTTATAATATTTACTGATTTTAAGGATATCCTTCGAATAGAGGACCAGTTTGTTACAACTGTCCATCTCATACCAGTACTATGCCATGTCATGACATCGACTTTTGTTTGGAGGAAGAGGTAAAATTTACCTTGTTTGGCATTTAACAACAATTTGCTTTCTTATAAAACTTTTCGAGAATTTTATTTCAGTTGATGTTGGTCCATATCAATAACTTGTGTAAACAATATCAGATCATATGCTCTACCGTTTTTTCAAAAAAGCTTTTGCAGTTCAAAAATACCCAAAAAGCATAAAAAGTGCAAACGCTTTTTTAAAAAATTTAAATCCGGCTAAGAATCGGACAAAAGATCGATTTTCTACTTTAATTCCTTTCCCGTTTTAATTGCTTAATGATATGGTTTGGTTTGTTATGATTTTTCTAGTTTTAAATATAAATTTACAGCTTTTACCTCAGTACAGTGTTGTGGACCGGATGTCAGCGGTGCTAGGGAGATGATATGCACCATCATTAAAGAACAGACTCAATAAAACAATTTCTGCTATTTTCAAAGTATTTCTTAACATTGGCCTCGAAGGTTCTAAATAAAAAAAAAAGCTGACTATGTAGTGTGTACATTAAATTCATATACATAGTATTGTTGCTTAAGTGCTTATTTTTATAATATCATTCTATTAAAAATATGTAATTTAAACTGTGGTAAGTCATTACTATAAAGATAGCACCAACGATTTATATTTAGACATGCAGCATAGTTGGAAGACAGCTGTTTTCAAGTGAAGTTCGTACAAGCAAATGCATATCCAAACATGTAAGTAAGCTAATAATTATCCTTTACAAATGTAAAAAAGTATTTTTGTAAAGAAAAAGGTTTTATGACAAAAATAAGGTTATATTTTTAGCCGTTTTTAAAATATTTTAAATATAGATTCAGAAAAAAAATGTCACGATTTTCCCAAAAACAACAACGATACAAAAGTAAACATCAATTGCCCCTGAAAGTAACGATAAAAAATGTACAACACCAAATTTCACAATGAAAAACAAAGTGGGTACAAATCGATCACCCAATTTTAAAAAAAACCCTTAAAAACTCAGTTTGATTGCCCAATGAAACAAAAAATTTTTAGACGGCTTTTATTAAAGAAAAATAACATATAATCTTTGCAACATCATTTTATTTCTTTCTTTGAAAACTACCTTTTTCATGTTTCATAGATTCTTCTAAAAAGTTTTATAGTTATAGTAAAGTTAGCACATTTGGTAAAGATTCAACTTATTTTATTAGTTTAACCGAGGTAATTAGAGCTATAACATCCCGGTGAACTTTGTTATCATATCGTTTTCCAGAACGGAATTAAACAAATTTTCTTAACAAATAACACCTGAATAATCTGTTTTTTGTTGACTACCTACGTAATATGTAAAGGAATATTCAAATTAAATTCCAAATGTTTTTATTTGAATGTGCTTTTTTCATTTCAAAATTAAAATTGTTTCTCAAAATTAGAATGTAAATTTCATCTTTAAAATGATGAACACATATTTGGTTTTGCTGTTGTTTGATACAAATGTTAATTTAAATTGTCAATAGTCACTTTAAAATTTAATAATTTTAAGTTTTACATGATTTTTTTTTAAAATTGCCATTGTTAAAATCTCACATATCATTTGAAAGATTCAATTATCAATTGAAAAAAGTGTATATCATTTGATAATTGAGCTCAATTTTAAATGAAGTATACATGTAATTCATCCTTCAAAAATGATATCTGAGTTCGTGTTTTTATATTTAACTTTATCATTTTATTACTTAATATCACAGGCCTGTAGAGATCAAACGGGCAGCCATGTTTCTATAATTGGAAAACGTGACGATGCCTTTGCGAAAAGAACTCAGCAGCACACGTGCGACCTTTGTTGTCATGACGACCTATGCAACCGGAACTGCTTAACAGCGTCAAACATTCCCGGTATGATATTGTGTCTTTGTAAATCCTTTACAGATCGAAACAATTTCCCTCTCTAAATGGTTATATGCTCAAACAGATGTATGCTTTTTAGCCACGAAAAACTATTGAACATGTTTTCTAAATAGAAAAGCAAAGACAAATAAAACGAAATATGTCATGATACACAAAAACACGTGCACACGAACACGAACACGCACGCACCAACACACGCACACACACACGCACGCACACGCACATACAATTAAAAAAAGACCAAGCAAAACAAACAAGCAGAAGAAGAACCAATAACAACACATAAAAAACAACAATAAAAAAGACAAGGAAAGAAACGCATGACCTATACTTCAGTTCATATTGTCATATTATCAAGATATCTTTGATGTTTTCATGTTTATTATGTTACAGATAAAGATGAATGCACCTCAAACCCCTGCGGCTTCGGTGGAACCTGCTTTGACGCAATTAATGGGTACAATTGCGTTTGTGCACCTGGATTTTCCGGACTGAATTGTGAAATAGGTATGTATCATACAATGTGATAATTTATAAGTTGGAAGAAAAATCTTTTTGGACCGGGGCTCTTTAAAGTGTTTGGCCATAATAAGCTATTTTTCGAAATTATGCCGTAATTTTTCTCTTATGATTTTCTTTTCAAAGCAACCTGCCGAAAACCAAACAATATCAAGATATAGCAAATAGTTTCAAACGCCCTTATAATTTTTAGAATAACAGCACATTTAATATTATTTTTAAACATGTTTCATTTAAGTAAATATTTTTTGCACTTTTAAAACTATTAAATAGAAAAAATGTTGGTATTGAATATATAATGTTTTTTATTCTTAATTTTTTTTTCATGTAATATCATTTCTTGATGATAAATAATATATGTTGCATATAAAGAAAAACAAGCAATTAATTGTTTTAAGATATAGTTGATTGTTTAATTGGCTTATGTGGAACATATGGTACCTGTATTAACGGCATTAATAACTACACATGGGCATGCGAAGCAGCGGGATTAGCCAAACAACTGACATCTTATACGAAATAATCAAATCTAATTAATGATACTATATTTTAAACATATATCAGTCTTTCTGTCCTTTTTTGAAGAGCGTCACTTTCATAGTTAAAAAACAAAGACAGTTAACAAAGAAATACGTTGGCCGAAAAAAATCACCTAAATATAACATTTTGGTTAGACAAAATTAACAAGAGCCATGTTAGCATGGCCATCCCCCGCCGAATGTGTTTGCTCATTGTAAGAATGTATATGTAGGTATTTTGGTAATGAAAACTGATGGCTGAAGTGATTACAGATTTGAAACCTATGTGAATACTGATGGCTGAAAATAACAAAGGGCAATAACTGAAAAATAATGCAGGGTAGGTTATTATTCTTGTGTGCTACACTCCTCCACAATGAGATCTATCCACCTATGAAGTTTCAAGTTGATACCTCTTACACTTTTTGAGATAAGCTCCGGACAAAAAGTATGAAAAGGGCAACAGCTCAAAAATGATAAAGGGTAGAGTTATCATTCTTGTGCACAACATACCTCGTCAATAAGATCTATCCACCTATGAAGTTTCATGTTGACATCTCAAAGACTTTTTGATTTTTTATGCTCCACTGAGGTGAAAACTTAAGTATGAAAAATAACAAAGGGCAATTACCCAAATATTAAACAGGGTAGATCTATCATTCTTGTGCACTGCACACCTCCTAAGTGAGATATATCCACCCATGAAGTTTCACCTTGATATCTCAAAGGCTTTTTTAGTTATGCTCTGGATAAAAATTAAGTTTGAAAAATAACAAAGGGCAATTACTAAACAAATATGCATGGTAGAGCTTTCATTCTTGTCTGCTGCACTCCTCCTCAATATGATCCATCCACCCATGAAGTTTCGTGTTGATATCTCAAAGGTTCTTTGAGTTATGCTCTGGACAAAAGGAAAATAACTAAAAAAATATGCAAGGTAGGTTATAATTTTTGTGCGCTGCACACTTAATATGATCAAACCACCTTTTAAGTTTCAAGTTGATACCTCTAACGCTTTTTAAGATAAGCTCCCGACGAAAAGTATGAAAAATAACAAAAGGCCATAACTCAAAAATTATAATGGGTAGAGTTATCATTCTTGTGCACAGCATTCCTCGTCAATAAGAAATATCTATCCACCTATGAAGTTTCATGTTAATATCTCAAAGACTTTTTGAGTTATGCTCCACTGAGGTGAAAACGTAAGTATGAAAAATAACAAAAGGCAATAACTCAAATATTATGAAGGATAGAGTTATTAATTTTATGCAATGCACACCTCCTGAGTGAGATATATCCACCCATGAAGTTTCATGATGATATCTCAAAGGCTTTTTGAGTTATGCTCTCGACAAAATTAGGTTTTAAAAAAAGCAAACGACAATAACTCATAAATTATGCATGGTAGAGTTATCATTCTTGTGCACTGCACTCCTCCTTAATATGGTCTATCCACCTATTAAGTTTCAAGTTGATAGCTCTTACGCTTTTTGAGATAAGCTCCGACCAAAAAGTATGAAAAATAACAAAAGGGCAATAACTCAAAAATAATAAAAGGTAGAGTTATCATTCTTGTGCACAGTATTTTTCGTCAATAAGATCTATCCACCAATGAAGTTTCATGTTGACATCTCAAAGACTTTTTGAGTTATGCTCCACTCAGGTGAAAAATTAAGTATGAAAAATAACAAAAGGCAATAACTTAAAAATATGCAAGATGGAGTTTTCATTCTTGTGCACTGCACTCCTCCTCAATATCATCTATCCACCTATGAAGTTTCAAGTTGATACCTTAAATACTTTTTGAGATATGCTCCGGACAAAAAATGTCAGACGGAAGGACGGACGGACGGAAGTTCTTACCAGAGCTATATTATGGGGTTTTCTTTTGTTATTTCTTTTGTTCTTTTTAACCCCAAAATGCAGAAAATAACCCCACAAGAGAAACGGAATGAATGACATATGAGAACAATAGACCAAACCCCATAATGTAGCTCTCGTATGTACGGACGGAAGGACGGAAGGACAAACGGACGGAGACTATTTCTCTATCCCCCGCCGCCTTTCGGCAGGATAATTAGACAGTTGAGAAAGTTATGACGTTTTTAGCTTCTAAAAATCTTTTTACACTCATGATGAATGAAATTGTGAAGTACATATCTTGCAGATAAAGCCATTTTAGATAACTGTACATGATGAGTAGGTGAAAACCGTAGATATATCGGAGCCCATTACATCTTTGTAGTGCACAATATAATTAACAATGATTTTGCGAGTTGTTATCGGCCAGAATTTTATTTCCCGAAAGTTTCTAAGTTCCTTTCAGCACGGTCTTGATTTTGTTCAGCATCATCGTCACTGCGCATAAGTATGTTAGCTAAATTTGAACAAGAGAAATCACATTGAGTCAAATTTGCGATTGAATGAAGCATTAAATGATTCTAAAATCACTTTTATAAACAGACATCGATGAATGCATATCAAACCCGTGTGGCTTGGGCGGAACCTGCTTTGACGCAATTAATGGGTACAATTGCGTTTGTGCACCTGGATTTACTGGAGTTAATTGTGAAACAGGTATGTATGATAGAAGAAAAAATAATGTTTCTGGCCGGGGGCTCGTAAGCGCTTGGCGACAGATAACCAATTTTCGAAATCATGCCGTTTTTTCTTTTTTTCTCTTTTCGTTATCAAGGCAACCCGCCGGAAACCTCACATTTTGAAAAGCAGCATACCCATTGTAATATTTTTTCAGGCCCCACAGGTATCCCCATTAATTCGCTTTGTAACCTGGCAAAGTAACGGGTATACCAGATCTGAAACCAATGTAGTGAAAGAAAAGAAAAACAACAACAACACAAAAAAAATCCATTGTAAATTGTTCCAATCTATATTTACAGCGCATATAATATTCTGTTTAACCATGCTTCATTCAAGTAAATATCATTTGCGCTCTTGAAACTACATGTAAAAAAATACTTGTTTATGTTGAATGAAAAATATTTTACGCTTTTTAACAAAAACCTATTGAATTGATGATAAGTAAGAAATATTGAATATTAAGTAAAAGCAATCGATTTTTTTGTTTAAAGATATAGATGATTGTTTATTTGGGTTATGTGGAACATATGGTACCTGTATTGACGGCATTAATAGCTACACTTGCGCTTGCGAAATGGGATTTACCGGAAACTACTGTGAAATAAGTAAGTGAAATTCATTTGGGACCTTACATCATATACGAAAGAATCAAATCTAATAAACGATACAATGTTTAAAACATATATCATTTTTATTTCCTTTTGTGTTTTGACACTTTCATTAGTAAAATCAAAGACAGTCAACAAAGAAATGAGTTAGCCGAAGTAACACCAATATATAATATTTGTGATAAGAAGAAATTAATAAGACGAAATTTAGAAAGTTGTGACGCATATAACCTCTTAATAATGCTTAACACCATTGAATTGCTCTCAAAAAGGCTTGTTTGTTTTTGCTTTTTTCTGTGCCAATAAAAACATATTTTTAAGTTGTATTTCGGCGATCGATCCGTCGGCGGTCGATCCGACTTACCGGCTTTCGTAGATAGCTTAACTGTTATTACCGACTACTTATTCTACATGGTATCTGAATAAACACAAGAGGATGATCATTAGACTCATTGTCAAAGATCTATTATCATGGAGACATTTCTCCTAGCGCAAGGATCGAACCATCGAACCGCGGATAATTAATGCGATGTTTTTCTAATTGAGCTAAGCGGGCTGGGAAACAAAAGAAAGAAACGGTGAACTACATATCTAGTAGACAAAGGTTTTTACTGTTGGCCATTATAGAAAATTGTACAGGATGAGTAGGTAAAAACCAGAGATACACATGAGCCCATTATATCAGTAGTACATTAGTAAATTAACAATGATTTAGATAGTTATTTACAGGCGGAACTTTATGTCCCGAATAATTCTTATATAGATTCAACATGCCCCGATTGTGTCCGCCTCATCATCACTGCGCGTATTAAAAATAGCTTAATTTGAACAGGAAAAGTCCCATGGATTCAATGTCGCCTATTGGGAAGACCGATTGCATGCCTCAAATAATGATTCTATACTCAATTTTATTAACAGACATCGATGAGTGCGCCCCAAACCCCTGTGGCTCCGGTGGAACTTGCTTTGACGCAATAAATGGGTACAATTGCGTTTGTGCACCTGGATATTCCGGAGTTAATTGTGAAATAGGTATATCTGATGCATTTATATACTTTATTTCATAAACAATTACATTATTGTACTTTTATCACAACCAAGATTTAGCTGCAAAACACATTACACCTTTTCCTCATGTTTTGCAATAAGATATCGAAAACTTATTAGTGACACTTAAGTCATATTACACTGTTTGAAAATGAGTTACATAATTTTATTTTCTGATCAATATATTAGACAAATAAAGCTATATAATGTATTCAACGAATTCATAAATAACGTCATAAATAAGAGTCCAGTCTGATCGGATACCAATAGAATGTGGTGTAAAATAAAAAGAATTTAGTTTCTTTGTTTGGAGTGAATATTCTTTGCGCTCTTGGAAATAATAATTTACACAACACTCTTGTTGAATTAAAACAAACAAGCAAACCTTCTCTATGTACTGCTAACAGATATTGATGATTGTTTAATTGGTTTATGTGGAACGCATGGTACATGTAATGACAAACTTAATGGTTATATGTGTATGTGTGCACCGGGATTTACCGGAAACAACTGCGAAACTAGTAAGTGAAATTGATACTGTTTATACAAATATGTGACTTCATTTTTTTAATTAAACCTTTTTTCATTGTGAGAATAATCTGTCGTAAAATAAGATAGGACGAATGTTTGATATAGGTCAAGGCATCACAACAAAGTGCTCACATATATAAGAAATGAAATCATTTTTAGCCAGCGCATATTTTTAAAAGTAGACCTGAGTAATTAATTACAAATCATTTGAACTATATAACTTGTACGTAACAACCAATACTACATTTTTCTAATCTAACATGGTAATAGTCAAGAATATCGATGAAAATAAACCAACATGTCGAGCCAACACGTAATGTTTCTCCTGTCATTAAATGAAGTCACATAATTATGAAAATATATACTGTGTAAGCATTCTCTTATTTATCACGCGTATATATTGTGTAATTACAATATACTTGACTACCTGGAATTTTATTTATATAAATAATGTTATAAGTAATAATTTTTTATTTGGTTACCATTAAATATAATTGTGTAGTTAATTATTTTTTTAAAATTTCTTTTGATGTATGTTTCTGCACAAACAAAATTCTCAGACGTCCTCACGTACTAGTTTGCTTGCATTCTTTTTTTTTAGAGCTGACTGCTACAGATTGTACTGACGTATTACACCAAAGTTTTAACCCATCAAACGGTGTTTACAATGTTACAACATGGAAAACTCACCGAACAATCCAGGTTTACTGTGACATGACAACAGCCGGTGGAGGTTGGACGGTATGAATTTTACTACACCGGTTGTAAATCCTAAACACTGGTTGGCTCCTGTCCGTTCAAGGCGGTGTCCCTCGGTGTCTCTCGGTGTCTCTTTCTTTATGTCAATCAAATCACGTGAATTTAATGATTTTGCTTATATCTTAAGATTGAAAAGGGTTATGGAAGAATGGTCAATTTAAAGTATAGATTATGTATTTCGTTCATGAAGAGTAGAAAGGTGTAAATTAAAAACCATGAAAAAAACTATTCCAAAACATTATTTTTATTTTCTGATATATCAATTTATAAAGCCTTATTAAGCTTACAAATTGATTTCATAACTTCATTTGTCATGCAAAATGACTTGTAAGCACTGTTTTTATGCTGTGAATAAACTGCGAAGTAATAAATTCGTCTGCAATGTCTGCGAAATAAGGGAATATTGTAAATTTTGTTAGAACACCTTAAAAAGGTTAAAATTGGCGTTCACGCCTGGGCATATTTAAACAAATGTCTTACATATGGATAACGTAAAATTTGTGAAAAAATGCATATTTTCAGGTTTTTCAAAATCGATTTGATGGCTCTGTCACCTTTACTAGGAGCTTCTCTGAATACGTCAATGGATTTGGAGACATTCATAAAGAATTCTGGCTAGGTAATATATACAATGTAAATATATTCATTGTTAAAGTATAAGACTTTAAAAGTTATAAAGCTATTGATTTTCTGATAAACGATAATTCTTGTATTTTCATAAATTTATATACAGTAATATAAAATTGCTTCCTTAATCTTATAGTCTATTCTTTACAGTTGATAAAAAAATTCTACTTAGATATACATCTACATGGCATTCGGGATGGTTACTTTATACATATGACTACCGTTCGTGAACAGAATAAAATGTTCCGAAGTTGCTTTTTAGAATTTTTACCATTTAGCAATGATGCATTATTGATATGTTGTTAAAGCTGAATGTATATCACCAACTTTGCTTAATCGTTTTGACTACTTAAAGACGGTACTTAAAACCTGTTCATAATCCTTGCCTCTATAAGATAACTTTTGTAGTTGGTATATATATTTCAGGAGAATTCACGCATTGTATCAAAAATTTTATAAATTTTTTCCGTGTTTTGCTTTTATTTGTTCTATTAAATGCAACAAAATTCATACGTGTAATTCAACAATACAGGTCTTTCCTTTGAACTCAAAATTCCATATAAAAATGTTAACTTGTTTCTTTGTCTTTTTTTATGTCATGGATTTATGACAAAATTTTGAAATAGCTACACTTCCCTACCAATGTTTTTAAAAAGATACTAATGTAATGTAAGTAAAATTTTAAATATTGATATGTAAATGACTTATAATGTTTGCTACTTCAAATTAAAAAATAAGCTCCCTATCACAATTGGACATGTTGTCAGTATTTCACATTGACATTAATTATCATGTTTTCTTATATACAACTTTAAAGCAGCCTTAAGCATTTCTAAAGGTTAAATGTTATTTTTAGATCAATTGTTTCATATAATTGTCAAATTAATAGAATTAAAGTGGAAGATGAAATTTACTTACGATAAAATACATAAACAATAAGGAAACTGCTCGATAGCTTTACCCTACCGGTTCACTTACACCTTATAAATAGCTCTCGTAACGAATATTTGAAGATACTTAACAGTGATATGATGCACTTTACAAGATAAACTAACTGAAATGCATAGCTCGAAACATAATTGTTTTGTCCAACAGAAAATAAAAGCTGAAGACCGCTTTTATTACGTAACTGGTAAATTTCCAAACTGAATTGTTTCTCATTATCAATAACCGACCGAATATTGCAAGGGTGGTAAATATTTCATTGTTTTTATCTTAAAGCAACATGCCTCCAGATGAGCAAAAACATTTCAATAAAATTAAACTTGAAAAAAACTGCACTAAGATTGAAGAAAAACAAGAAAGATTCAGGATTAAATAATAAGATTTAATAATTTTACACGTCATGAGTGATTAATGGTGAATGTTTCATTATGTATAACTATATTCTTACTGAGTTACTAACGCAGTTAGGGGAATTTCTGCTTATTTTTACCTTTTTTAAATAATTAACTGTTGTTGCAAGTGCCTTTGATGATGTGATATTTGCTCGTTTTTGGAAACCGTACAATATGATACTTTCAATTACATTTTCAAAATTGTCATGAAAGTAAGCATTAATCTGGAGACGTGCTGCTTTACCATTAGCCGCTATTTACTTAATTTTTATAAGGAGTTTGCTTAACATTCAAGAAGTGTTCACTATCCTCGTCGTATATGTGAAGTTTCCTTACTTCAAAACCCTCGTATTTTTATGCAGAGATCTCTGTTTTGTTAGAAGAAAAAATCCTTAAACTTCTATGTAATTTATGTAATTACAAATATATTTATGATCGTGTCTTTAAAATAATATGTTTTTAAGACAGTCGAACTTTTTATCACTTCGAAATTTTGCCATTTAAACGTTTTTTAAATAATAATTTATATCGATATGTTTTCTGGAGAAGAAAGCAGCCAAATAAGGAAATACATATTCCGGTTCAACCGACTTGCCTGTGTTATATGTCACACATAATGTAAAATGTTCTGGAACATGTTTTTTCCCCTTCAAGATAGGAGACCATTTCAACTTATTCAAATGTCAGGTAGATCCACGCGACCCACGACTCAATGCGTGCCATAACTCCAAAACCTAATTGAGTGCGAATACATGTTACGTATTTACAGAAGGAAATAACAATACTTTGCTGTTAAGATGGGCTGTATCATTGGATTGGCTTGATACAGATGTATTTTACTACAACTTTTACATAACTCTAGCGATACAACACATATAATAGCATATTCATGTATTATTCCCTTAATAATATTGGTACATTATATCAACATTACGTGCAAAATGTCATGTTAAAATGTATTCAGAATACTGAAATTCAAGTATGCTGGTCTGCCATGGTGTCCTCAGATTTAGACACGTGACAAAATAGCATCGTCATTATCTTTAACAGGACTAGAAAATCTTCATGAACTTGTTAGTCAAGGTAACTACGAACTTCGAATAGATGTAACAGCCGCGAATGGATCTAAAGGATATGAGACATTTCCAAACTTTACCATATCAGCCGGCTCAAACTACACGTTGCATATTTCACCAGGTCATGGATCAATAGGTTTGAATTCAATAATTTTGTTAATTGACAGTAACAGAGGAAAGATCATAACTGGTTTGTCATTGGTCTGTTTGTAATTATAGATATGTCTTATTAATTTTGTGACTGGATATACTCTTACTATTTTTCACCGGCTGTAACTTAGGTTATAAAATGATGTGCCCAAAATGCATTTATGTTTACTTAAAGATATACTATGCTCAAATTTGATATTAGAAAATATTTATTATTGTTACGCATTCTCTATGTAAATATAAAATAAACATGTTAAATAGATATTTTATGTTTAAATTTCTACACCATCATAATAATATATATAGCGTCATTAAAAATGGCAGTTTTTGCAAGAAAAGATCAACTTTACTTGATCTGTTATAGGGAACGCAGCTTTCTGTAAATAGTTTTTTATTCATTTGTCAAGGCATATTCAGTAAGAATTTGGTTTAAACATATTTTATTCGTCACATCAGAACATATTTACATACATGACATTTACATTCAGTACAAAAAGGATTAGACTGGAAGCAACTTAATGCTTATTGAAATCGTTTCCCCGTAAGAATGTCATAGATATTTTTTTATAAATTGATGTGATAAAACATTTTACTCAAGGATGAGCATAAAATATCTGTATGCTAAACTTAAAATACTTGTAGCCATTAATCCATCCATCCATCTGTAAATCCATCCGTCTTAATTGATTATATTTATTCCGAACACTCGTCTGTAAAATATTAAGCAAACTAGTTGTACCAAAATTTGGACAAATTCATTTCTAAAATTGCTTAAAGATTGTGCACATTAAGTTTGTCGTTTGTTTATTTTTAGTAAATTATCTGATTTACAGGAGACAATGCTCAGCAGGGTATGTCGTTTCACAATGGTATGCCGTTCAGTACATTCGATCATAAAAACACTTACCAATGTGCACAAACGTATAAGTCAGGATGGTGGTATAACAGGTGTATGTTTGTGCACTTAAATGGAGTTTATTTTTCACCAGGTACGATCGACGACAGAGCAATGTTTTACAACATGTTTACCCAAGGAAACAAATCATTACAAACATCACGTATGATGTTTAGAAAAGTGTGAAGTGTATGACATACGGTTACTTATACTTTAATTTGATAGCAAGCAACATGGAACAATAGTAAGTGAATGTGCAACTTGTTTATTGCAAATACTTATGCAAATGTTTTGAAATAAATAAGATAAAGACTGAGATGGATAAATAAATTTTGGTGAATGGTCCCTTGCCTCTAAAAAGTATTGGTTTTAAACATAAAACAAATTTATCCGTATTTTTACTTAAAGTTTGAATAGGATGTATGATTTTAACTATCTTAAGAAATGAATCCACAGACGGGATTGTAAACAACTTAATAATTGCAATACTTTACAGTGATTATACATGTACCGGTCAACAACAGGAGGTAACAACAACAATTATATAATGAAACAAAACTATTGTATATAAACTAAAGTAATAAAAAGAATAATTACGTTTAGAGCCGATGGGATCGGATTTAGCTTCATACATTTTAAAATTTGTGCAAAAAAAACCTCTTTCCTGTAGCTAGTCTGGGTAGGAATCATAATTTTCTAATTTGCATACCGGCCGGTGCATAGTGCTACACTAACTACACCGCCGCTGTTACTACAGCTAAGATTCTTTCTGATAGTAACAATTAATGTCCCCCATATGGTCAATAATTATACAAAAATAACAGCTCCATATGTTTCAACATCGTGTATTCATATATATTTATTTTCTAATTATTTATATACAATACCCTCTTAAATATGCACAGTGTTCTTTCTCTCACATGGTTTAAAAGTCATTCAATCCAACATAAAAATGTTTTTCCAATTATTAAGCTGGAGGAAACATGTACATTCCTTCAAACTAAATGAATATGTATTTATGGCGAATATCTTATCCTTCCATATTTTGAGGCTACCCTAGTACTACTTGACAAATCTTAGCTTCCTATATACCGGTATATGACTGATTTACTATGCTAGAATCATACACATAATTCTTCAAATATTTATGATGGTAATCGATGATTGAGTAACCTTCCTACATCAAATGCAGGCTTCTTGCCCAGAATTTATGAGGATATCTGTTGCCAGAGTAATCATACTTAAATCATACAGACTGATACTGAATCTTTGCGACCATTTATGTCTAAATTCTAACACAAAATTTGTAACAAATCAAAACATAAAAAGTTGCATTTGACACATTGACCAGTTATAAGTGATGGTTTCTTCTAACTTTTGGAAATTTCTCTCAGATCTACTCTTCGAATTTAATTGTCTCTGTGTCTTTAATTTGTGAGTAATGCTTTGCTTGTAGTAATTGTTGATTGCCAATCTGTCATTCAACTTCAATGATATTGTTTCAAGTGATCATGATGTTTGATCTTTTTGCTAGTCTTCTACCGGTTTAACCGAAGAGGGGCTTGAGGTTTACCCTCCGTCAGTATGTCAGTCCGTACAAACACATAGTGACTTAAGAGACTAGGAGAACAATAGATAAATTTACATTTGTGTGTCTTTTTATGGCTTGTACAACTAAAAATGACTAAAAAGATCAAAAGAAAAGTCACATAAGTACCATTTCGTAAGTATGTCCGTCCGTTCACAAAACTGGATCCCATGATAATTCAAAAAGTACTGAAATATATTTTTTTACGAAACTTGAATTATTGGTATATGACAATCTGGAGATTATGTACGTCTTTTAATTTGTTCCTATGTTGAATAATTTGGTTGCTTTGGCAACAAATATACTTTAAAAATAGCAAATATAACACAAGAGCTGGATCCCGTGAAAATGCAAAAAAACACTGAAAATATTTCCATGAAACTTAAAATGTGGGTAGATGGCAGTCTGAAAATTATGCACATCAGTTTTGTTATTCATCTTATGTTTAAAAATTTGGTTGCTATGGCAACAAACAAACTTAAAATATTGCAAATGAAATGTGGATAGATAAAAGTATTGGAATGATTTTTTTGCACGTCAAGATTCACAACTCTATCACCAAAAGTATTAGATTTATACACCTTAAACTTAGAATTGTCATGAAAAATGCTGTTTGTTTATATTTTCTTTATTTCTTAATGTATCTACTTTAAACTGTAAATATATGTTTTTTTATCATCACTTACATATTATTAGGCAAGATTCCTAATTCTAGCTCATATGTTATCAGAATTATCATAATTGAATTTCATGAAAAATGATGTTTGATTCCTAAAGCTTCTTGATTTCTTAAAGATCCTGTAACACAATTATTTCATGGTTTTATATTAGATACATGTATATGATGTTAAAATTAGGATTCATCAATATTGTAAGTTCCAAAAAAGCATTATTTATTAAGATTTTTCCAAATTTAACATTTCAGGCAAATAGAGGGAGGTAATTAGAAATTCATTTTCTATAAAGTCTAAGTAAATTTTATTAGTAAGAAATGAATACATATATTTTAATGATTACATATAAATATGTACAAATATTTTACGTATTTTTAGAAGTTTGAAATTGTTAAAAAGCAATAATATTTACATATATATACATATTCACAAGATTTCACTAAAGTGTGGTAACAACCTGAATTACAACATACAGAATCATTAATGCATCTACTTCAAACTCGTTATCACTCAAATAATGTTTGAGAAGATTGAAAACTCTAGCTTGACTTTTTCCAGAACTATGCCCCCTTGAATGTTTAGAGTGTTTCTTAAAATTATTATATTCATTCATAGCGTATAGGATTTACTTTAAACTTCAAACTATCACATCACAAGGTTTATGAATCTACCGTAAAGAATAATCTCCCACGTTAATTTTGAATCTCCCTTTTCATTCTATAACTTATTTCGTCAGGGATTTACTTCAAATTATTAACACCTACACCATATGTGATTAGATCTAGAAGTCTACCACCTCGTTTTCCACGATTATTATCATTTTGATCTTGGAACTTATTTGAAAATTGTTATGTATTTTGTATTTTCTCTTTTGTCACAATAAAAGTATATATTTGAAAACTGTATTATGTTTCAATTTTCTTCTTTGTGACTATTAATGGCATCTACCTTAGACTTAAGATAATTGTTCTTTGTCACCACTCACATAATATATGACGATGTTCATAAGTCTAGCATCTTTATTTTAAGAGTTATCTCCTATCTAGTATTAGTCGGACTGGTTGACCGTCCATAAAAACTGAGATTATTTTGAAAGAACTTGGATCTTTTCTAACAAATTAACTTAAAAATAGCGAAAAAATAAACATAAGTTATACATATTTATCCAAAGAAAATTGGACTTTTTGATAATCTGTTGTATAAACATAATTTCTTCATTAGGCATGGAAACTTAACACATTATTATGATACAGATGAACTAAGAACTCAAAATATTTAATGTTTTAGATTTTACATATATTTATAAAGTAAAATGTGCTCTAACAAAATATTATTATTTATCTTATAAAGATGCATGGATTCCTTTTTTTACAAATTTAACAACATATATTCAAATAATATTTAATCAGAACATCTAAATGATATATTTCCTTTTTTTCATTAATATTTGAAATAATTATGGAAAATGTTCCCATTGTAGACCAATCCCCTTTAAAAACATTTTCAAAATTTTTAAATCTGGAGGCATGCTGCTTTAACGAGTCCTTCGAATACTATTCATTCCGGCTACATATTTTCAGTATGCTGTAAAAAAGAAAAAAAGAAAAGAAAACATATTTTTTTGAAAGAATAAAATGGGCCATTGAAGATTTTCGCGAACATTTATATTTGCTAGGAATCTTAGTATAATTTTCATTTGACAAAACTGAATGAAAAAACTTTGCAAATATTCTGGAATGTTGATTTCGCGAAAAAATTGTCTCATGAAATTATCAGGATAAATTTACAACAGAGATATAATATCATGTTTATTACGTAGGTAATTTTCATAATTTGATAAGTAAGTAACCAAAAGTCATATCATGTAATTAAATTAAGAAAGTCCATATCATGTTAATTAGGTCATCAAATGTCATATCCTGTTCATTAGGTACATGTAATCAACTGCAACATCCTCTTTATTAATACAAAAAAATTCATAAAATTATGTTGATATTGAGTATTTAAGTTTTATATGAATAAATATCACAAAGATATCCTTTCTGGACAAAACAAACGAAACATAAAAACAAAAAACAGAAAACAAGGAAAGTTTCATTTTTATGACAATCGTTAACAACGAAGATGTCAATGTTTGTTATCCGAAAGTAAGACCATGTGTCAACAATGCGGACAAAATCATCCATTTCCCGGAATAAATTTTAACGGTTAGTATTACGACGATTGTTTATTTTTCGGCAGGCTGTCGTCACTATACAGATATTGACCCACGTCAATCTGAACTGTTTATGAATTTGTCTTGTTTTCGACTCAAGGCACCTTACCTCCAGATAAGCAAAAGTTTTGAAAATCGAACTTGAGAAAATATATTAAGATTTTATGAAAAGTAAAAACATTTAAGTAATAATTTATCTGCTATATGCGATTAATGACTGATTTGTATTTTTTTCACTATAATTTTACTGCATGACTAACGTGATACGGGCTATTTTCGCATAGTTTGACCTTTCTTTGGTGCTTTAAGTGGATTGTAAGTGCCGCTTGCATTGTGTAAATAACATTTTGTTCATTTTTCAACTTAGTTTCACTTTCATTTCTAAAATGTTCATGAACATTAACATAAGTCTGGAGGCATGCTGCTTTAAAGTTTCCATTATTGCATTCTACGTGACTTAAGGAGAAATTAGGAACAAATGCTTTGAATGTCAAAATCACGCGGTAGGTCCATCTTAAATGTGACTATTAAACCGGTGAGGGGACCGACCTGTTAGTTTATAAACAATCGAACGAACAATCTATAGACACATTTCTAGTCCGTGTTTGTAGAAGCCCAAATGGCCGCTATGTAATATAAGTACAAGGAAGTTGGAAGTTGTGTGTAACGTTTGATTAGAGTAGAGTGTTGGAATGTGAATCGGACAACCCGGGTTCAAATCCCGCACGTTGCTGGTCTCATTTATTGTGATTGATTATAAAATCTTTTCTAAGGCTATTCGCCATGCTTTATACCTGCTCTGATACGTTCAGAGAGTTATCAGTTCCTTGCAAAAGTGAACGCTAAAGAAGTGTTTAAAGATATCAATTTTTTTTAAGTTTCGGAAGAAAAAACAATGAACCAACACTTCGATGCTCCTCGTAGCAGGATTTCGTATCCTATTAGTTAAACGAGTAAAACATATGTTAGCGAACTAGACAGTTATTGCATAAATGCTAACATAATGAGATATTTAGAATACGGACGCTTTTTATTGCCAGATTCAGGTATGTTTTTATCAATATTTTCACTGTTTACCATGCGAGTTTGCTTGTAACGTAATTGTTCAAGCTACCCGTGGTTTATCAAAAGCTCCTATTTTTTTTCAGATAACCGCAAAAATATCCTGTCCAAACTATACATTGTAGTTTCAAATGTAAGTTACATAGTATATTATATAAAATGACTAACCCTTGACCATTTCATATACATAGATTTTACAAACAAAAGTTAGAACAAGTAATTTTCTTAATAACATATTGATACATCTGGACCAGTTCTGATATCTTAATGATGTATAACAACGAGGTCGAATAAATAACTTTTTTTCTTATTCGGGAAACGGGTATTTATTTAAAGGAATAAGAATGGATGGATTGATGTCTGTCTAATATAAATATTCATCATTTAAAAAGAGGAACCATGACAGTTTCCCTATTGACATCAACCCTATAAAAGAGAAATTCGTGTTTAAAGACACTATTTTTTACTTGAGAAATAAGTTCAATGGGCGCCGCCATTTTGGCGTTCTGTCATTCTCGCGAGACAGACGAGACCGAGATTGTGACGTGTAATACCCACTTCCGGTATAGTTGTACACGCTGGTACAACTGAAATATATCTTGATGAAGAACTTATTAATTTAATTGCGTACATTATATATTATTTATGAAAACATCATATGGAACTGAATTGCTTTAATTAATTAATTGAAGACGCCGCGACATTAATTATCATTTGCCCGATACTCAAGCTTGCTGATGATCCCACCACATGATTTAAGCAATGACTGCTTAATTTTCAAAGATAAACCATCAATTTACTTTGGGTACTATGAGAAACTTCTTCAAATTGACGATATATCCTTTTATTTTGTACTTAATTTTCGCTAGACAAGCTGTCCAAATAGGGTACATCGCCGGTCATATATCTTTTTTTTCAAGTAAAATATCAACTAAATCCAATATGCTGAGGGCGCGATTTTCCGCCATTGACGCTAAAAAATGAGAAAGGCGCAGGAAAATCGGCAGCCAGACTTATATCGTATGAAAACAAAACTGTCCGTAAAGTTATTTAGGCACCCAGTCAAAACTGTACCAACAGCAACAGGTTGCCCATTCCCCTATAATTACGCATATTCTCGGGTTTATCCAGTTTCCCAAAGCTTTTTCCACGTTATCTACTTACCAAATTCCTTTCCCCGACAGATACGCATTTCTTCTACCGTAAATTTAATCCAAAAAAAACAAAAAATCATAAATCTACTTAATATTTAAAATGATTATTGGGAACTGAAAAAAATGTGTTGCTATTTTATGACGTGCTGTAATTTACTACAGTACAATTGACAGGTGTGGAACCGAATTCCCCCTAAGGTCATTCAGTTCACTGATGAAGCGTAAAAAAATAGATGTCTATTTCGTCATTAGAATATTTGACAAGGGTGATTAACCAATTAGGGCAACATTGTGCATGATCAATAGGTCTGTCGGCACAGAGGCATACAAGGAGCAATAAAAATCGTCAGTACACAGTGTGACAGGAGCATTTGGTGCAAATTAGGAACAATTAAAATGGACAATGCGCAGTATTAGACATAAGTAGTAAGAACCAGCAATTGTGTGAATAAATTATGCAAATTAGATTTTTGAGCAGCCAATAAAAATGATTTGCCTGCAGTTAATATTAGGCTACGATTACGATGCGCAGCATCATACGTTGACAGATATGTTAACAATTTACTTTTCAAAACAGTTGCTGATATTTTTGAAATGTGTACATCAATTATAACATATGTTCACACCTTTAAATTTGAAAGTCAGAATCAAACTGCAAAAAATTAATTATATGTACTATTAAGAACACGTTTTAGTAGAGTTTTATAATGGAAGTGGCTAGCGTACGGGCCCGTACGGCTAGCCAAAAGTTTTAGCCGTACGTGAGTCACGTACGACTAGCAAGGACACGCTGTATTGGCTAGCCGTACGGCACTTTTCAAAATTTTATGGAAGTCGAAAATGCATATGTTATTTTATGACTTTAAGCGAGGATTTTAACCAAGAAACAGCATTAATTGTCTTTGGATGTTAACTGTTAAGAGATTAATCGCCTTGATCGCTATATATATCGATCTTTGTCATCGCAAGATGTCGAGAAAAAAAAAATAGCCTTTGCTTGCATTTACACCAATTGAAATAGTTTACAAAATTTTGATAATAATCCTTTTTTGTTTCATTAAGTTAAATTTTCGACACCTTTTATATGAAAAAAAAACAACAAACACTGAAAATGATTGTTGTTAGGCTCTTGATAATTGCGACAATTACCGACGGTACTGTATAGAAGTTTGTCCATCAAGGAAAGTTTGCCTGTTCCGTGAAAGGCATTCTAAAATTCTATTGTCAGTCCCTGGATAAGTTTTAATCAAGGCTAATTAATTGATTGACTGTGCTTTTATGTTCGATATTTATCTACTGTTTTGAAAATTATATAATTATTTTTGCATTTCACCCTTTTTTTTCATTCAATGTTCTTTTTATTTATTTATTCCACTCCGATCATTTTTTATTCGATCCATGTGCTTAAAATTAACAAAAATGATTTAATAATTCATACAAATAAAACAACAAATGATAAGCATGAAAATCAACAATTTTATAACGTTTGACTTCCATATAATTTTGAAAAGTGCCGTACGGCTAGACAATACGTACTACGTACAGTGCGTCCTGGCTAGTCGTTCGTGACTCACGTACGGCTAGAACTTTTGGCTAGCCGTACGTTTCTTTATTTTTCTTTTTCTTTTTTTTTTGTTTTTGATATTGTTACGTATTTTGAACCATAAAAAATCTCCTCTACACCTCCTGTGAAAATTAAATTGTCTGGTCATTAATTAATATTTCCTTACGATTCAACTAGATTTATCATCAATCTAAAGATGTGGGGAAATGACATCACGCGCACCTGTTTTTATACGGCCAATACACAAACATGGTCGCGCTTACTGATTTGTAGAAATCGGTGATTTAGCGATTTAAATTTTGTTATCATTCGTTTAATATTATTATTTGGCGGCAGAAAATTTGCAGACTTATTATTTATAGTATTCTTTTTCTGAAATCAAGTTTTTATTCTAACCTTGTCTTTCCCTTTAAACTTATTTACATTTACATAAAAATACAATGACAATGTATCATTTCGATACATTTGATTGTTTGAAGAAGTTTTGAGGGCACTGGTTATGATACGGATATAGACGTGTCTCGTGACCGGTAAAATTTTGGGGGTTTCCCCGGTGGGAAAATTGGGAATTTTAAAAAAAAACTTTCTTTCCCTTTTTGGGGCCCACTGATCAGAAATAAATTAAAATTTTAAAATTTTAAAAAAGACGACAATTTAAAAAAAAAGTTTAAATAATAGGTTTTTAAAAATAATATAAAAAAAAAGTATTAGGTCAGTCAGTCAGTAAGTAAAAACTCAATAACTAAATAAAGACATTAATGACTAAATAAGTGAATAAATATTACTAACAAACTACCGACCGACCGACTAACTAACTATAAAAGCAATTACCATACCAGAGATAGTTTTTATTGCAAGGGAGGTAATATTCAATTAAACTAGATATTAGTTACTTACTAGATACCAATGTTTACGAGGTCACAATTGATCTTTTTTTTTATCTCACTCCATCATTGCAACGGAAAAATGTTTAAGTAAAATCCCCCGATTTTTTAAAACCGTCCGATGCTTGTTTTTTGAATTCCGCCTGACTTGCCTAACGTTTAACTTATTTATTTAATGATAAAGAGAAAAATAGCACGGAAATTGAACCAGTCTACAGAGTTATTTGAACGATAAAGGAACATTAAACACAAAAACGGTAAGTTCACATTACACAATTATTCATATACCGCACTTCTTTTATAATACACTTAAAATAATGAAATATGATGAACGTACAGATTAAGGTAAACTAACTTTTCACTTTGTCATTTTTTAAAAATTTATATTCTGCATTTTAATGTCAGTTATATACACTGTAAATAATTAATATTTCAGAAAAAATCAATTTCAACACTGAAAATATCATTTCAGATAAAGTGGGTGTTTCATATGCAGTATTCTAAAACAATCAATATAACATATGTATTTAAAGATAGTTCCCTATTCCTTATTCCTCTTTCGAATAAGGAATAAAGAATAAGTTCCTTATTCCTTTTTCGAATAAGGAATAAAGAACTAGTTCCTGATTCCTTATTCAAATCTTAATAAATAATGCACGGAAGGGCACCTGAGGTCTTCCTCCACCAGTTAAGCTGGAACGTCGCGATATGACCTATACTGTGTCGATGTGACGTAAAACCCAAAACAAACAAACAAATATAAATAAGGAACAGCAGGTAGAACTAGTATTTTTATAAAATAAAGTTATGGTTGATCAGAAAACTAGAACGTCAACAAAATCATAGAATAAAGCATCTGCATCGACATATTTTTAAACAATATTCAAGTCGAACAAGGAATAATGAACCCGTTCCTTATACCTCATTATGATAATTGTATAAAGCATCTGCATAAAAATATTTTGAAAATATGTTAAAGTCGAATGAGGAATCAGGAAACAGTTCCTTATTCCTTATTCGACTCCTGAAAGGAACATTAGAATTGCAAGGAGCAATAAATTGAATCATTGCATAAAGCATCCGCATAAAAATATTTTGTAAAAAAAATTTTACGTCCATACGACTCCGAATAAGGAACAAAAGAAAATGCGTCAAGAAAGACACCACTTGCAATTCAAAATATATTTATTCAGATGCTTTATGTTATGATTAAATTGGGTATAAGGAACGGGTTCATTAGTCCTTGTTCGAGTTGGATATTGTTTAAAAATATGTTATGCGGATGCTTTATGCTATGATTTTGATGATTGATTTTTGCAATTTTCAACAGACTTATGAAAGAAAGAACCGTTCTCATTTTCTGAACAACCATAATTTCATTTTATATAAATACTAATTCGGCTGTTCCTTATTTAGATTTGAATAAGGAATCAGCAAATAGTTCTTTATCCCTTATTCGAAAAAGGAATAAAGAATAGGGAACTAACTTAATAGAATAAGGAAAAGGGAACTAACTTCACATATATAACGGGCAGGGAGCATTTTATAAGCTTAGAATAACAAAAAAAAATCATTCAGATAAGTAAGTAGAGAACCACATTAAAAATAGGTCAGATTTGAACTTAAAGGTGGTAATTTTATGCACATGAAATAAATGATTAGTATATCAGGAAAGAATGGTAATTTTACACACACGAAATGATTAATAATATGTCGGAAAAAGTGGCAATTTTTTTGCACTTGAAATGATTTATATATCAGAAAAACGGCAATTTTATATGTAGTTACGAAATGACTTACCTATTAGAAAAAAGACCAGAAACGGATTAGGCTTGCAGTTTTAAGATATCGTTTGTCTCGTTACGAGGATGAACATGATTATATCTACCGGATCGTAACTCACGATGAAACATGGGTCCATCACTTTGATTAAGATTCCAAAAACAGAGCATGCATTGGAAGCACCCTGTGTCACCCCTTCCGAAGAAATCCAAGGTGCCATCAGCAGGAAAGATGATGGCTTCGATTTATTTGGTATAGTCAGGGGGGAATCATGATTTACTATCTTGAGCAAGGTCGTACAATAAACGGTACGTACTATGCAGACAAATTTAGACGTCTGCGTCAAGAAATCGCGCGTAAAAGAAGAGGCAAACTGACTCAAGGCGCTCTGCTCGACAAATAGCACTTGCCATGAATTTTATAAAACTAAATTCACAAGAAATGATTAATACATCAAATGGTACAGTTTTCTTTTTACACTCAAAATAATTCATATTTCAGACAAAGGGAGATTTTTGACTGAAAATGGTTCTCATCTACATTGGATTACTGTTAGTAGTGGCAGTCAGCGGGGGTAGGTATACTTAAAATTTTAACATTGATAGTGATGTGAAATTTGAAACTTATCCACTGCAAGAAGTGTTGTTTTAAGGATGGTATATCTTGCCAGACTTTACTTCAAAATCCGTACACCTTAGCTGTGAATGCATGCCCTTCCTAGGGCATTGTCAGCAAATTAAAATGGGCCGCGAGGCGCAATGGGTCGCGCACAAGCCAACTTTTATATACCATCCTAGCTGCGCAGACAAGAGGGTATATAAACTGTGTATTTTCTATATGAGATGAACTTGAGGAGTTTATTTAAGTTATTTGTTAAGTTTTTATTATTGCCTATTAGCTAACTATACAACCTTTGCTTGAATGAAGAATAAATGATGCATAAACTAAGGATTTATTCTTATCATAACAGCCTACAGAAATGATTCTGAATTGTGCTCGCGGATGCTCATGAGATTTTCTTATATTTTTCGCCATCTTGAATTTGCACTGGAAATCATTAAGAATTAATACAAAGTCTAAGTAATACACCAATGTGTATTAAAAATACAAATATACGTCGTATTTTGTTTTTGGTAAATGACGAAGATGCTAAAGATACTTGTAAAGAAATTCTTATTCTATACAGTCATGTACTTACATAATGATTCATCAAAGAGATAAACTACATTTGTTAGCAGTTTAAAATGATTGATGTAATTGACTGTAATTTTACAGACAATAATGTTTACTTATATAAATTCATATTTTAAAAATCATATGTTTTCTTACTAACAAATGTAAAAAAATCTGGAAACAAAGTGATCCCTCGGAAGCATTGATCACACCAAAATTACAAGAGAACTGCAGACTCGGTTTGATTGGGTCTGTACATGAGGGATAATGTAAAGTGTAACATCCCTCACGCCCCCTAGCACCGGCTGAGCGGTACTCAATTCTCAACACTTAATAGTCGAAGTTGTATAAAAATACTGTTTAATTATTATATTAAAATGTCATGCTTTTTCTTTCAGGTGAATGTTTAACATGTCTGCAATGTGACGGCGTTCTACAGCCTAGATTTTGTAGAAGAGTTGTAGATTGTTACGACGGAGAGGTAGTATAAGTCGGTATTTTATCATTCCCTGCGGTCTGGAGACCGCAGGGTATTGGTATGCGTTTAACTTTTGAGGCATGGAGGAGCACGTGACTTGTTTTCGGTACATGGAGGAGCACGTGATCTGTAAACCGTATATGATTGATTAATTGACCTTTTCGACAACCTAGCTAAATACCGTTTGCCGGTACATTACGGATTTACCTCTAGGGAATTAGTCCGAATTACACATAAGTAAGAACAAAAAGCTATTACGTGATATTTCTAATTTTCTATAATTATTTTACCGTTTAAGGTGGAAAAATTTGAATGATGTGTTTGAAAATTATCAATGATTCTATAATATCTATCTCAAATTTTACAAACAACTGAAAATCTACAAGATTAGAATGCACGTAGTGGCATCTGCCATAATAAATAGAGATATTTTCTGCGTAAACTTGTGTGTTTACTTATTTTTTTGCTCGGAATTATTCATAAAATGGTAGGCCTATTTGATAATTTTCTTAAAAAGAAATAATTGTTTTATGTTCGACCTTCTCAGATCTTCAATGGTCACCATGCAGTTTTCAAAGACCGTCTTCTATATTGATCGATTATTGTCAACTATATTCCTGATACAAACGTTTTTTTACCCCCCCCCCCCCCCCAAACAATGTTGAAAATAAATAATATCAATAAAAATGTTCCCCGCAGGAAACCATTTTACTTGTGTCTTAACATTGATTTATGTTGATAAAGTGCATGCCTGATACAATGTACATTAAGCTTTATCAGACACCCTCGGCTTTATCAGACAACTCATATTAAAATTAAATGCAGATAATGGAATATTTTTACCTGTTACTAGTTCGAAAAAATTAAACTGATGAACTTTGAATCAAAAATGTTTATTTTTATTATTAAAGTATCTTTTATATTTGATTTAATCACTTGGGTGTTATTCTTATAGATAATATCTTGGCATATTACTGGGCTTAGCATGAAATTAAGAAATTCTTGACCGGTTTTTGTTTGTATTTGAAATTCAAAGAACGAAACGTATTTTGAAATTGAAAACATGATAAACAGATACCAAACAAGTTTCAGTTATTGTAAAATTTATCAGGCTTGGTACAGAAATAAATAAAGAGATCGGCAGAGCCTCGCCCTCCCTTTTCGCTTAGCCTTGCCTGATGTATTTTGTTTTATATCAGACACTAGCATGATATTCTCTATATCACGTGACATTATGCCCATCAAATGGTGTATAGTTATTTAATAGGTCAAAACAAACTTGCGATTATATTTGTTTATTCTATGATTTACTTCACATTAACGATTATCAACTCGCGTGGCAACTCTGTAAATATCTTTTAGAATTTACCTATGACGTTCAATTTATGAAAAGAGAAGGGAAGTCTTTTTCATATTTTAGGCAGACTTGTATTTTATTTTAAAAATTTTACAAAATCAAGTGTTATTCCATTGTAATTATAACAGTCAATCTCTTGAAATTTTTATTCAAGTCCTCTGAAATTTACAATAAGAAAATAAGCATAATGTCACTTAAATACATTGGAATGCTACAAACGATAACGTCAGCACGACTCTTTATTATGTAACATTTTTATTTTCGTGCGACAATAACCCCCCCCCCAAAAAAAAAAAAAAGAAAAAAAAAGAAAAAAAGAAAATAAAAAAAATAAAAATATATAACCGGTTCAACGTCAGGGTCGTTTAATTGTTTTTCAAACACATTGGTTTATATAGTTTTCCTTCAAAGTATTGAAAAAAAACGTTTGTAATGATATCAATGCTTTACTGTCAATAACTTTCACTTAAATTACTTATGTTGATTATTTCCCTTTTAGTTATGCAGCGCTATGAGGGTTGTCAACGAATTTGGGGAGCAGGTATATAATCTCGGTTGCCATACACGAAAGGTATAATCTGATTTTATTGACCTGTAATGAATACAGTATAGCTCTCATTTAAATATTCGGTCCAACTTTTGCAGTGCATTTTAATTGAAATGACCGAGTGCTAAAAAATAAACACGGATATGAGACAACCTAAACATACTGTCTTGTCTTGTATTGTGCTTTATGACAATGAAATGACATGTATTGATTTTAATCCGGATGGATATTTAATAAAGATTCTTAAACCATGTTATTTAAAAACCGTATAGACTTTTCGAAATAATGCGGACCTACGCGGTCTTTATCTAAAAATATATGATCGTTTACAAGAAGCAATGATGGATTAAAATTAATGCATGTTCCTCATATAAAATTTTCGTGCATTGAATGTAAACCTCATTAAATGATTAATTTTCCATCACTCAGGTTTGTGGTAATATAACAACTTCTTCTAGCACGAAACAATGCGCAAATTGTTGTGAAACCAACCTTTGTAATTCCGAGGCTTGTGGGGAACCAGGTACTCATAATAGTGTTTATATTTTACATAACAGTGATCTCATACGAAAGTACATTGCGCATGCTCAGTGTACCATGAACGAATAGACCACTGAGCACGTTTTGTAAAGTAAATGAATTAAATTGTTTTGTTGCTACTAAAATTGAAGGGAAGCGAACTATAAGCATCAAATATAACGAACAAACAACAGCCCTCATCTTACTATAAAGTAATATGTATTACAAATGGGATTCCATTGTTACCAGTTATACTAGTTATACTAATTCACTTTAATTAACCAATGGCCAGCAGAGCAAAAGCAACAAAAGCAGTTTTTTTATGTGGTAAATGAATATTTTTTGATAGCATTTCTAAAGCATTATGGGCCTTTTAGAATTTTCTACCAAATTACAAATCAAGGGTCATTGAAAAGTAATCTAACACAGTTCATATGGTATTTTTGCAGTAAGAAACAAAGCTTGCAAATCTTACAATTAATGTCTTATATGTTGTATGGCTATATTTGTGCGACACTATAACATATCTTTAAAGAATCTACAATATCATCCTTATGAAAAATGTTTAACCTTTATTTTTTGTAAGAAACAAATAGTACTCTTCAATTCACATAAGCAAAATAATTGTTTCTACTCAAAATTGATGAAATATTTATAAAAATGTTACCCACCCCAATCATTTTTAACACGTGTTTGACAATTTGCCTTCTAAGAGAGTCCAGTCTAAGTTTCTCTATTTTTTTAATTGGTTAATCTTGTAGAATTTACGTTTAGTTTTGATTTCATTACACTTTACAAAAATATCAGGTACCATATTTGAAGTTAGAATTAGCATTATTTAACAAATTAATACATATATTAATTAAATAATTAAAATGTCACACTTTTTTGCCTTCCCAAAAGAGATATGAGAGATGCATAAATAATGGTCAAAGAAAAGAAGAAAAGGAAAAACAGTTGACCCTTTTGGTGTTTGAACCACGGCTTTAAATTTCCATGTAGTTGTCAGTAGTAAAGTAGACAGCCTGTTTTTACAGCAAAGGTAATGCATTAGGATGGTCATACCTTAAGAGAGACAAAAATATAATATGATTTAAACCAAGCTTATTCGAGTAATGTAATATCTATTATTTTAGGATATCCTTTGAACAGAGGACCAGTATGTTTCAATTGTCCATCTCATACCAGTACTGGGCTTTGTCATGATATCGATTTTTGTTTTGAGGATGAGGTAAAAATAAATACATTAATATGAGCAAATGGCTTTTTTAATCTAGTTTGCCATTTTCAACTACATTTGTGTATTTAACATACTTTGCTATTTTAAACAATACGGTAACATTTCTTTTGACCTGGTTTGCCATTTTCACTTATTTGGCTAAATGGCTTTTTATTAAGGTTGACATTATCAACTACATTTGTTGTATTTGACCAAGTTTGTTATTATTACCTGTTTAATTAAATGGCCATTGACCTAGTTTGCAATTTTCAACTACTTAGTTAAATAACCTTTCACTTAATTTGCCATTTTCAACTATTTAGTTAAATGACTTTTGACCTAGTTTGCTATTGTTAACTTTTGGTTTAATGGCTTTCGACCTAATTTGCCATTTTCATCTATTTGGTTAAATGGCCTTTGATCAAGTTTACCATTTTCAACTATTTGGTTAAATTTGACCTAGTTTGGCATTTAAAAAAAAATAGTAAAATGGCTTTTGACCTATTGTTGTGGAAGATTATTTTCCACCTGTGCTCAGTGAATACATTAGAAGTATTTCTCTTTCTCATATCTCCCATGAAAAGGGCCAAAAAAGTCTACCTTTTTACCTAATTGTACATGTTTCTGCTTTTCTCTCGGGATTAAAATAGATAAATCCTTATATTATATATTACTTTTGGCAGGTTTGGGCCTTGGTTCATATGACGTTCGTTAAATGTTTATTCATATCATTTTTTATATCAATTTGTTCTATTTTAAAAATACGTTTAAGCAATTAAATAAATATATGTTTTAAGCACCAATAGGAATTTTGTCATTTGTCAAGTGATGAACATAGCTTTCATACGATTTATTTTTTAGACATGTAACATTGTCGGAAGACAGTTATTTTCAAGTGAAGTTCTAACAAGCAAATGTGTATCGAAACATGTAAGTATTTCTTATTTAAAGTTACTTTAAATTTGTATTTGTGTGTATGTCGTAGGGTTCTTCTTGCCTTTTACAGGAGGAACTGTTTCGGCCTGTAATGGCACGGAAACAAATACAGCAAATTGAACGGCAGAATAAAAAAACGCAAAGTTCAACTACTTCGTAGCGCAAACAAAGGGAAATATTTAGGACATATACACATAATTGTGATATAACAAATTAAACCAGGGGATATGTTTAGGGGTTATATCACGATACAATACATACGACATAGGAACGAACAATACTTATTATATGTCGATATACTACCCTCGTATAGTATTGTACGAATTGTACCTGCAATAAAATTTTTGGACAGCCATGAACGGGCATATAAACACTCATCTATAAATGAAAGTGTGCACGTAATTACTTCTGTATACATGCACGTACTGTTTGTATACATGAGCAAAATATTGGCAAATTTGGTATCAAAATTTGCAGAAATGTATTAACCATGCAATGATGTAATTTGTATTGAAATTTACTCAATACCAGAAGTTTGGTGCGTTAAAGTCAACCTTCTTAACCACTAGGCAACGGACGCCCCGATATTAGGGCAAAAATACTTATTTATCTAATGCTTTATCATTTTATTTCTTAATACCACAGGCTTGTAGAGATCAAACGGGAAGCCATATCTCTATAATTGGAAAACGTGAAGTTTCAAATGTGAAAAGAACTAGGCAACAAACATGCGACCTTTGTTGTCATGACGACCTATGCAACCGGAACTGCTTAACAGCGTCAAACATTCCCGGTATGATATTTTGCCTTTGTAAATCTTTTTTAAGATCGAAAACATTTCTCTCTCTCTAAATGGTTATATGCTCAAACTGATGTATGCTCAAACTGATGTATGCTTTTTAGCAAACCAAAACTATTGAACATTTTTTTCTGAATTGAAAAACAACAGCAAAGAAAACAAAATAAGTCCTAAAACTCACACGCTTACGCACACACACGCGCACATACGTGCGAACACACACACACACACAAGTCCGCGCGCATATACACACTCAAAAAATAAACAAAGCAAAACAAACAAACAGAAAACACATAAAATCAACAATTAGTTCAATAAAAAAAGACAAAGAAAGAAAGAAACTCATGACCTATACTTCAGTTCATATAGTCATGTTAACAAGATATCTTTGATATTTTCATGTTAATTATTGTTACAGATAAAGATGAATGCACCTCAAACCCCTGCGGCTTCGGCGGAACTTGCTATGACACAATGAATGGGTACAACTGCATTTGTGCACCTGGATTTTCTGGAATTAATTGTGAAACAGGTATGTCTGATACAATATGATAATTAATCAGTTTGAAGAAAAAATAATGATTTGGACCGGGGCTCTTAAGCGCTATGCGATATATAATAAGTTTTTTTTCGAAATTATGCCGTTAATTCTCTTATCATGTTTTTTCAAAGCAATCTGTCGAAAACCTAACAATATCAAGATCTGCATACGAATTTCAAATAGTTCTAATCGCCTTTATACATTGTATTTATAGAATTGCAGCGCATTTAATATCATATTTTACCGTGTTTCAAATAAGTCAATATTATTTGCGCTTATGACACCATTTAAAAGAAAGAAAAAAAAAAACTGTTTGTATTGAATGGGTTATAGTTTTCATTTTTAAATTTTTTCAAGTAACATTATTTCTTGATGATAAATAAGATATATTGCATATTAAGTAAAAACAAGGAATTATTCATGTTTAAAGATATAGATGATTGCTTAATTGGATTATGTGGAACATATGGTACCTGTATTGACGGCATTAGTAACTACACATGTGCATGCGAAACGGGATATACCGGAAACAACTGTGAAATCAGTAAGTGAAATCCTTTTGAGGCCTTACATTATATATAAAAGAATCAAATCGAACAAATGATACTATGTTTAAAACATATATCATTTTTGTGTATGTTTTTTTTTACGATGCATCACTTTCATTAGTAAAAACAAAGACAGTCAACAAAGAAATGAGTTAGCCGAAATAACACCAATATATACAACTTTCCGCCCACGCCCCAAGCAGAATTCAACGTTTAATCATGGTGATGATTTAGAAACATCAGCAGATGTGTTCATACTTAAGGTTGTCATCATGCAACCTTCAATGTGGCACTTCCGTGTCATTGCACGAAAAGCGGCGTATCGTCCCCAAGTAAAAGAATGCGTGTGAAACAATGAGCGAAAGAAAATAAAATTTAAAAAGGCGACCAGAGGTTATGAAGCTTGCATATCATAGATAAGCTATCAAAATGTCACTTGTACTTACACAACTGCCTGCAACATTTACAATTTTGTCGCTTTGAGCGTTTTTGGATTGTGTGAAAACATCACAATAAAGTAATCAACCTGTTTTTAATTTAATTGAATAGCGTTATCGCATTCTTATACTCTACTTAATGCATAATGAGAAAAATGTTCATTAATTTTGTTTTGTATTTCACAAATATCTTTTGATGTATTTCTGCATCAAAAAGATTCTTAATCGATTTTTTTATCTGCTGTAGAGTTGCAGGCAGATTGTTCAGGCATAAAACATCACAATGTTAACGCAACAGACGGTGTTTACAGTGTTTTAACATGGAAAACTAACCGAACAATCCAGGTTTACTGTGACATGAGGACAGTCGGTGGAGGTTGGACGGTATGAATTCATCTAGACCGGTTTTAATCCTAAGCTCTGAGTTGCTCCTGCCCGTTCAAGACGGTGCCCTCGGTGTCTCTTTCTTTATGTCACTCAAACCATGTGAATAATGTGATTTGGCTTATATTTTCAGATTAATAAAAAGTAATGTTCTTAAAGGTTATCTAAGAATGAATAATTTAAAGTATAGATTATGTATTTAGTTCATGAACAGTAGAAAGGTGTGAATTAAAAACCATAAAATACCCTTTTCCAAAACATTATTTTAATTTTCTGATATATCAATTTATAAAGCCTTAAAATTTGAAGTTGATTTCATAAGTTCATTTTTTTTTCAAGCCACATGACTTGTAAGCATTGTGTTTATGCTGTGAATAAACTGCGAAGTAATAAATTCGTCTGCAATGTCTGCGAAATAAGGGAATATTGTAAATTTGGTTAGAACACCTTAAAACGGTTAAAATTGGCGTTTACGCCTGGGCATATTTAAACAAATGTCTTACATATGGCTAACATAAATTTGTGAAAAAGTACATATTTTCAGGTTTTTCAAAATCGATTTGATGGCTCTGTCAACTTTACCAGAAGCTTCTCAGAATACGTCAATGGATTTGGAGACATTCATACAGAATTCTGGCTAGGTAATATATACAATGTAAATATATTCATGTACCATGTAGCAGAGCCATTATTTTTGATCATTGTTAAAATATATTTATAAAGCTATTATTCTTCTGAAATATTTTTATAAATTTATATACAGTAAAATAATATTGCTTCCTTAATCCTATAGTCCATTCTTAACAGTTAACAAAGAAAAAGTACTGCTTCAATATACATCTACATGGGATTCGGGATGGTTATTTATTCATATTGCTACTGTTCGTGAACAGAATGAAATGTTCCGAAGTTGCTATTTAGAATTTTATTTTTTCAATGCAATGATGCATTATTGTTATGTTGTTACAGCTGAATGTATATTATCACCTTTGCTTAATCGTTTTGACTCCTTAAAGGCGGTACTTAAAAATTAAAACCTGTTCATAATCTTTGCCTCTATAAGAAATAACTTTTGTAGTTGGTATATATATATTTCAGGAGAATTCACGCATTGTATCAAAAAATTTTATAAATTTTTTCCGTGTTTGCTTTAATTTGTTTCTATTAAATGCGCAACAAAATTCATATACGTGTAATTCAACAATACAGGTCTTTCCTTTGAACTCAAAATTCCATATGAAAAATGTGAATTTGTTTCTTTGTCTTTTTTTTATGTCATGGATTTATGACAAAATTTTGAAATAGCTACACTTCCCTACCAATGTTTTTTAAAAAGATACTAATGTAATGTAAGTAAATTTTTTAAATATTGATATGTAAATGACTTATAAAATTACTTCAAATTAAAAAATAAGCTTCCTATCGCAATTGGACATGTTGTTCAGTATTCACATTGACATTAATAACTAATGTTTTCTTATATACAATTTTTAAAGCAGCCCTTTAAACATTTTTTAAAAGGGTTAAAAAGGGTTTTTTTTAGATAATTGTTTCATATAAATTTTTAAATTAATTTTGAATTAAAAAAGGGGAAAAATGAAATTTTCTTAGATAAAAATTTTCATAAAACATTTAAAGGAAAATGCTCGATACTTGACCCCACCGGGCGACTTTTCACCTTAAAATAGCCCCGGAACAAAAATTCGAAAAGGCTTTAAAAGTGGGTTTTAAGAACCTTTTTCCAAAAAAACTTAATGAAATGGAAAAATTTGAAAATAATTGGTTTTGGGCCAAACCCGAAAAAAAAACCCGAAGACCGTTTTTTTTTTCGTTAACTGGTAAATTTCCAAAAATGAATTTTTTTTCTTTTTTCAAAAACCCACCGAATATTTCAAGGGTGGGAAATATTTGATTGTTTTTATCTTAAAGCAGCATACCTCCAGATGAGCAAAAATATTTCAATAAAATTAAACTTGAAAAAACTGCACTAAGACTGAAGAAAAACAAGGAAGATTCAGGATTTAAGTAATAATTTTACACGTCATGAGTGATTAGTGGTGAATGTTTCATTATGTCACTATATTTGTACTGAGTAACTAAGGGCAATTTCTGCTTATTTTTACCTTTTATAATTAACGGTGGTTGCAAGTGCCTTTTATGATGTGAGAATTGCTTCCTTTTGGAAACCGTACACTATAAACAATTATCCGCTTTTTCTTAATCTTTTGATAAGGATTTTCCTTTACATTCAGGAAGTGTTCACTATCTTCATCATACATGTGAAGTTTCCTAACTTCCCAAACCTCGAATTGTTATGTAGAGATCTCTGTTTTGTTAGAAGAAAAAATCATTAAACTTCTATCTAATTACAAATATATTTATGATCGTGTCTTTTAAAAAATTAAGTTTTAAGAAAATTTGAAACTTTTATCTTTCGAAAGTTTTTCTTTAAAAGGATTTTAAAAAAAAATTTATATCGTAAGGGTTTTTTAAAAAGAAACAAAAAAGGAAATTAACCATATTCCCTTTTTAAGAAGCCTGTGTTAATTTTGTCACAAAATAAAGTAATTGTTCTAAAAATGTTTTTTCCCCCTTTAAAATGGGAGCCCATTTCAACTTATTCAAATGTCAGGTAGATTCGCGCGACCCACGACTCAATGCGTGCCATAACTCCAAAAGAATACATGTTACCATTTACAGAAGGAAAATAACAATATATTTTGCTATTTAGATGGGCTGTATCATTGGATTGGCTTGATACAGATGTATTTTATTACAACTTTTACAAACTCTAGCGATATAACCCATATAATAGCATATTCGTGTATTATTAGTTTTGTGACAAAATTATTAAGGGAATAATACACGACTGGATATCAACATTACGTGCAATTTGTCATGATAAAATGTATCTAGAATACTAAAATTAAACTAAAGGAATGTGAGTATGTTGTTCTTCCATGGTGGCCAGATATTAAGTCAAGGGACATAATAGCATCGTCATTATCTTTAACAGGACTAGAAAATCTTCATGAACTTGTAAGTCAAGGTAACTACGAACTTCGAATAGATGTAACAGCCGCGAATGGGTCTAAAGGATATGAGACATTCCCAAACTTTACCATATCAGCCGGCTCGAACTACACATTGCATATTTTGCCAGGTCATGGATCAATAGGTTTGAATTCAATTATTGTCTTAATCAAAATTACAGAGGAACGATCATAACTTCCTTTCTTTGGACTGTTTTGTATGGTGGCCGGTAGCGTCCATTTTAAACCGCGAGAATTTTTACCATCAGTTTATAAAATGTAGCGGGCAGCTTTTAAATCGGCGATATTTTATGTTAAAAGTGTATAAAATGTCAAGACTTATAGAAACTCTTATAGAAACTCTTATATACAGAGTGATTCTGTCACACTTCTGTCGAAAAAGAAATTGAATTTTACGAATGAATCCGCGACATTTTCTGTCTACATAAGACTAACCAACGCAGACATATGCCTACTTTATGAAGCCGATTGCGGCCATTATTATTCGCGATATGTTGTTTTGATGCATCACTTGAAAAAAAATCGCGTTTAAGCATTTAGCGTCGACTTTTTCGAGAGGAAATAAATGTCGCAAAAAGTCGCTGCTGAAAATTGCTATTACTTGCGTCGATATTTTATGGGAACAAGATGTCGCAGCCTACACCTTTTTACCATGACTTCTTGTAGAATGTCTACAACAATGGCAAATGGAAGAGTCAAACAATAAACGCCATCGGTCACTGGAGCCAACTGTTTTAAAATATCGAGGTTTATACGTTCCCCAAGACATTTTGTAAGATTTAGGCAGAAAATCTTTTGGGCGAGTAAGTTACCCGCAACATTTTCGAGGGTTTGAACTGCCAACAACAGGCAATCATAGTTTTGTACATTATAGATGTGTCATTACTCCGTTTATATGGTTAATCATATGACTGGGTACAATAAGCAGAGACTGATTTTCCCTTACTATTTTTCACCGGCTGTATCAAAGGTTATACAATGATGTGACTTATAAAATGATTATATGACTTAAACAATCCACCCATCTGTTAATCCGTCCGTCTAAATTGTTTATATTTATTCCCATCACTCGTCTATTAAATAATTCAAATTTTAAGGAAACTAGTTGTTTAAAAGTTGTACAAATTAATTTCTGATTGTACGTACAACTAATTAAAGATTGTGCACATTCAGCCTATTTTTGCAAATTTTAAGGTAAGTTATCTGATATTTACAGGAGACAATGGTACGCAAGGTATGTTGTTGCACAATGGTATGCCGTTCAGTACATTCGATCATGATCGTGATCATTACAACGGTAACTGTGCACAAGTGTATAAGTCAGGATGGTGGTATAACAAGTGTATGTTTGTGCACTTAAATGGGGTATATGATTTACCAGGTACGACCGACACGAGCGCAATGAGTTACTACATGTTTACCAACGGTGAATATATATCATTAAAAACATCACGTATGATGTTTAGAGAAGTGTGAAGTGTATGACATGCTGTTATATATACTTTAATTTGATAACAAGCAACATGGACCAATAATAAGTGAATGTGCAACTTGTTTATTTCAAATACAAATGTAAATGTTTTAAAATAAATAAGATAAAGACTGAGATGGATAAATAAATTTTGGTGAATGGTCCCTTGCCTCTAAAAAGTATTGGTTTTCAACATAAAACAAATTTACCCGTATTTTTACATCGAAGTTTGAATAGGATGTATGATTTTAACTATCTTAAGAAATGAATCCACAGTCGGGATTGTAAACAACTTAATATTTGAAATACTTAACAGTGATTATACATGTACTGGTCAACAGCAGAAGGAAACAACAACAAATAAATAATGAAACAAAAATATTGTATATAAACTAAAATAATAAAAAAGAATATATACCTTTAGAGCCGATGGGATCTGAGTTAGCTTCATACAAATTAGAATTGGTGCAAAAAATACTTTACTGTAGCTAGTCCTGGCAGGAATCATAATTTGCTAATTTGCATACTGGCCGGTGCATAGTGTTACACTAACTACACCGCCGCTGTTACTACAGCTAAGATTCTTTCTGATTGTTACAATAAATATATGTCATATGATAAACATAAACAAATAACAGCTCCTTATGTATCAACATTGTGTATTCATATTCGTTTACTTTCTTGTAACTTATATGATTGTAATATCTCCATAACTAGATAGAGAATATTCAAGTTTTTTTCCCATAAATACTGGATTTATTTTCATCGAATTGTATGAAAAATGATAATTTTCATACCGCAAGATGAAAATAAATCCTGTATTTATAGATAAAATCTTGAATTTTCTGTTTATTCTCTCTTTTGACATGACATTTTGAGAGGCGTTTCCTTAAATTTGTATACTGGCAGAACTTAGAAGAAAGTAGTCCGGCAATTCACCTGTGAAATACGGAAAATATGTTTCATTGTAGTGAAAAAGAAATTATAGGTTTATGAAGGGGCATATCACCTGTCAAGAATCTTTATAAGGAATTAATATCATAGTTATTTTCATAGATTTGAGAGAAATAAATACGTAATAACTTGACAGCAGTCGTGTTTATAATTATAAAGTACAGACGTTACGATTATTCAATGAAAAGGGACGTTACATGTACAAATGTGCAGTATTATAAACGTTTACGTATAATTAATTGTATATTTTCTTTTCAATAAACATTTACCTATTTACAATTCAACACTTAAAAAGAAGTTAAATTAATCATCTGAGCTTAGTTTTGTATTGATAACGAATTTTTCAGCTTGAGTCTTGGACGATGTACACGTTCCTTGTTTTACTTTAATATGTGTATGAAATAATTCGTAATATATCTCTTATTCATATAGAGAAGTTGACAGTTACTGCCTGCCGCTATATAGGGAATATAACTGAAAAACCTTTTAAACGCAATATCAAAACGAGTAATAAGATATTTATATTGCTTATATCATTTCTAGCATTGTTTAAAAAAATAAAATAAAAAATGAATGAGCTTAACCAACAGCTGCTTGCACACAAATTCGTGCTTTCTATATTTGAATAAATTAATTTGTTTTTATATCAACAGCATTAGTGGGTCTCTCTATTTTTAATAAGATCAAAAGTCACATGACATGTTAATATTTCTAAATATATTTCTTTTTAGAAAAATAAGCATGACATAAGTTTATATAGGAAAACAATGAAAATCGTATTAAAGCAGCTGAATAGTCTTTACAGTAGCAATAATCACATATTAAAGGAACTCAACTGAGGACACTTAAAACAGAAAGATATGCAAAGGATAGAGAAAAAAAATACCAAGAAATAAATTTAAATCGTATTTTGTGCCATTCTTAACCCAATTTAAGTGTAAAACGTTGCACAATAAGAGCAAATGTTCAGGAAAATCGCCAAAAATCACTATTTTGCCACGAGTTTTTCCATCAAAATTTATTTTAAAGTGCTGCAACTTCTCAAGGGATTGAGATAGAGTCAAAGGCTTTTCAGTGTTGGTTACACGGTACCATATGATCGACCTGGGGTCATTTTAGCCTCCCACAAGTTCAAAATTTTCTTGGCGACGAGAGGGACACCGCCCCCCCTTCAAACACTCCCCAAACAGAAGGGGCACATCCCCCTTCTGGTAACCCCCTGATTTTTCTTTTGGATGGAGGACGGCGCCGAAAAAGTGCTCACTTTTTTAAGCAACATTTCTCAAACGAAAACATGTGTTTGGGGCCCAAATATGACATTTTTTTCACTATTTCAGGCCTAAAGGGGGGGGGGGTCGAAAGTGCGTTGTTTCGCGTATATATGAGGTAAAGGGTTAACAAAAATGATGAAAAACTTTGGAATCACCCAAAATCTAGTTTTTCCATGTTAACATGTGGTCTTTCACCTAATTTTGGTAAAAAATTGTTGTTTTGTAACATTTATAATTTTTTTAGTTACTACTTTCCCTTATGAGCATATTGTGAAAAGTGGCCGTATTCATTGAAAAGCCTCCCGTTACAAGTTCCAACTGCTATGAAACTACTATGAAAAATGCTTCAATACTAATCAAACTTGGCAAAAATGTTGACTGGACCATTGCCTTTGTAACGACATGCTCAGTCTTAAATTTCCTGTTACCATGGCAACGAGGGGACATCTAAAAATTGCCAAAAATCACTATTTTGCCTCGATTTTTTCCATCAATATTTATTTTAAAGTGCTGCAACTTCTCAAGGGATTGAGATAGAGTCAAAGGCTTTTCAGCGTTGGTTACACGTTACCTTATGATCGACATGGGGTCATTTTTAGCCTCTCACACGTCCAAAATTTTCTTGGCGATGAGAGTGACTCAGTCCCCCTTCAAACCCCCCAAACAGAAGGAGCACGACCCCTTCAGACAACCCCCTGATGTATCTTTTGGATGGAGGGCGTCGCCTAAAAAGTGCTCACTTTATTGGCAACATTTCTCAAACGAAAACATGTATTTGGGGCCAAAATAGGACATTTTTTCACCATGTCAGGCCTTAAAAAGGGGGATGGGGTCGAAAGTACGTTGTTTCGCGTATATATGAGGTAAAGGGTTAAGCATAAATGTACAATAATGTGGCGATTTGTGAGATGTTTGACAATATGGCTTTTGTCACTGAGTCGAGAAAGTAGATACAAACAAAGGAAAAGAAAAAAGTTAATAGATATAAGAAAAATCAACGAAGAAAACGTTGAAGTAGTAAACCATGCAGGGTGAGAATAAAGAAATGAAGGGGTGAAGAAGAAAGAAAAAAGGAGAGCAAGAGGCCGATGAAGATGAATATTGAGGAGGAGAATAGGACAAAGAAAAAGGATGAGAAAATTGATTATAAAAGATGAAGATGAAATGAAGGAGAAGTATGAAAAAAAACACCTTAATTATACATAGTTATAAGGAGGATGATAAGCCGCACGGAGATTACATGACGACGAAGAAGAAAACGAAGTGGAAGAATTTATTACTGAGAGATGAGTGGGAGAATTAAAAATGCAAGATTAAATGACGATGATGAAGAAGTAGAATAGGAAGAATGAGAAGAAAAATAGGATAAGACATAGAAGATGAAATGACGAAGAAGAAGTAGAGGGAGAATTTAATCCTGAGCGATGACCGGGAGGTTTGGAAGATAAAATGACGATGATGAGGAGGCATAGAACAAGAAAGTGACAATGGAGAAGAAAAATGAGAAGAAAAAAAGAAAGAAAGCAATACAAAGCGCACTTCGCCATCAAAGCAGTCTTCGACATATCTGCACTGCCTTGGATGCGACACTCCTTCACATTGCACACACGTCAATGAATTATCTGTAACAATAAAACGGAACGGATTCAAAAGACAAACTCTAAAAAACTTAATGAAATACGGAAATAACTTTTGCTTTAGAAATGTTAACAAATATACAAATCTTTCAACTTTTTCTTCGCCAAATTCATGAATTAAAATAAGATATTTTACATATTAAGAGGAAATGTTTTTCAAAAATTATATCGAAGTAAAACATTTAGCATTTACATTTTGAAATTTAAATCATGAGAGAGTGTTGCTTTTAGTTTATACGAATTTATTTTAGTTCGATTGTGTTGGAAGCTTTAAGCTAACTACACACTTTCAAATCCGTTCCTGGAACCAACCAATACTAAGCAATAAGTTTATTGTCCAAGGAAACAAAGGCCTGAACGATTGTTGTAAAACTAATACTACACAATTGAGCGTGTTTCAACTGAAACAACTAACCAGAGCCTACAATTAGAAAAAGTACGGTTAGCCAGAACAACATTTCCTGAAATACATTTTAACGTGAGTATAATCACATTTGGTATTATGATACACTCCAAAAGCGTTTTTTTATTTCATTTTAATGGCGCATCTGCACAATTTAGGCCATATGGCACCGGAACGAGAAGGGTGAATTTAGGTAACTTCGGGTGTTACTAACTTAAAAGAACATCAGGGGTCAAAGCCTACTCACCTTCAGTAGCTAAGAGATTAATAGACTCCAGTAGTTCGAATCCTAATAGTCGCTCAACAAAGTTTAAACGGTGTATGCAGTTCCGATGCCTCAGCCTGTAAGGGCAACTCTCCGCTACAAGGGGCATCTTAAAGTCCATAAAATATCAAAAACTTATATATAGTGGTAAGGTTATGTATATTTTATTTTTCTCTTTACGTAACATAAATGTTTACTCGGAATTTTAATTGTTCAACAATGTTTATACTGACATTATATTAAAATGGCTGTATTCTTACTATAATTCAGAGATAAGGAATTTTGTGTGACTACGTTTACAATCATATCGTAAATGTGTAATAATGATTTGTATTTTTGGGTAATATGTTACACTGTGTATTTGCTAAAACTTACACATTTCAACTTTCAACATCGTCGGAATCCACAGTAGATTTTTTCACGTACATAAAAATTACCGATTACTGGGGCTGTTCATACCAATAACAACAGCAAATAGTCTTCGCTTTCAATTACAATGGAAGATAATGCATCATACAATATATTATTTTACTATGATTAACGATATCAAATTGGATTTATGATTGACAAGAACGTCAAAACAATTTCTTTTGGATAGAAGGGAAACAAATCCCAATATTGTGACAAATAATCATTGTTCCAGTTACTTCCCATTTCATATGTGACTAAGTCTTCAAAATTTTATCATTGTACAGTAACGACGTTGGTAGAACGTCATATAATGAGCATTACAATATGCGAAAACAAAAGATGATGAATTTACATAAAAGATAGTATCCAATATATAATGGCATAAACCACTCTCCTTTGAGCTGTCAGTGTCAATTTTGATAACATTTTATATTCTTCTTTGCATTCTAAAACATTTTCTTTAAACATTTCTGGAGACTTGGATGACTTTTATAAACTAATGCTATCTCTTAGGCTTTTAAAATTCCACTGCGGAATATTTTCTTCGACATTTTGTGATATATATATATTGGGTCTATTGAAAGGATTTGTAAATATTTTAATACTAGAAGACCTTATGATTTAATTTATTTTTGTTTATTTAAAAATGTGCCGCTCTACATTTGTCTTTTCTAGTGGGAATTTACCACTTCTTTGATACTCTAGCTGTATATTGAAGAAAAAACTTTTTTCGATAAGCTTTGGTAGGGTTCATCTGCTTCTTCATTAAGATTTTCTACTGTTCGTAATGTGCATTGTTTGGTATTTTTTGTTTGGATTTACGGCAAACACCAACACAATTTAGGTCAAATGGCCCCAAAACAGGAAAGATGATATTTTCTTAACTCGGTTTCACATTTTATTAATCACACCAGGGGTCAAAGCCGCCTCATCTGCCATCTGCTGGAGCTAAGAGATGCATAGACTCTAGGCAATCGAACCATTATGTCGCCTCTAAAAATGTTTGCTTTAAGAACATCATTACTTTTGGGGCCGGATATATTAAGTTCATGGCAATTATGATGTTTCCGAAATCGCCGATTGTTTGCTTTTTTACTGATAGCATATGAGAAAATATTTAAAAAAAACCAACCTTCAAACTAGTTGAGAACGTTATTTTGTTGAATCTATCAAAAAGTAGCACAAAAAGTATACTTCCCTGAGGTACCCCTTGTTCCTACTGGTGGCTTTAACCAAGTCTTACGGTGATATTGTTAATTTTCAGATCAAAATTTATTCTTCCCTGAGGCATACCTGTTTGTGACTCTCAGAAGAAGATAATCAAAGTCTCACTTTAATGTTTCTTTTGGATAGGAAGTCGGAAATAAAAAATGGAAGTATGCCATTTAATTATGCATCCTTTAGATCTTTGAGGATACAATGTTTCCAGATTGTATTATTAGATTTATCAAGATAATAAAAGAACAAAATGATACCAAGTGTTGTTTGTTTACAAAAGCTTTCAATGATGACATGATGATCGTTTGTACTACGTTGTTACTGAAAGATAGTTGATATTCTTAAATAATATAAATACCAAACCAGGCGGTAATTTACCATTCTTTACAAAAGCAGCTTATAAATGAAGCCTTTAATCTTTTTATTAGTTTGATTGCTTTTCTTGTTTTTACGCCAATTATAAACACATGCTTGATTTTATCTCAGTGGAATCAAACACAAAAAGCAAAACATTAAACGACTACTAGTCCTACTTGAATTATGAAAGTGTTTTAACTAGATATAAACACATGCAATGATTCTTAAAAAGGCAGGCATACTTGGCATATTTTTTACATTTATAGAACACCAATTGAACTTGTAAAATCATTTATTAAGTAATTTGGAATCACTCTCTTTAAAAATGACATTTGGTTTAGAACTCAAAACAGACTGACTAAACATGCCTCATTTGCTCTACATAACCGTTTTAAAGTATTTAAAAATATGGAACTACTAAATGCTTATTCCATAGTCGGCTCCATTTTGAATAATAATTCGGAGATATGGGGAAAGGACGATCCTAAAGATATTTGCTTCTCAAGTCTGACACAGATGTTGGTCGATATCATAACGGAAAACATCGGGCATTTTTGTTAAAGACATCTTGTCAAGTCTCGGCTTTTCATATATTTGGGAAAATCAGTTTGATATAGAGATATACCATATTATACGATTAAACAAAAAATAATTGACAAATAATTCTCCAAGATAACAAACATACTGCATATTAAAACATTCTTTTGAAGTGGAAAATATTAAGATTATGTCCAACTAAAAGTGAATACAGAACTGCTTTAACAAGATTTCGAACTTCTTCCCATAATTTAATTATAGAAACAGGTAGACATGAAAACACTCCTAGAAAAACGAATATGTAAATCATGCAATATGAGGCAAAAAGAGAGTGAATACCACTTTCTTCTTTTATATCCAAACTACTGAGATCTTTACACAATATATTTTAAACCATACTACGGCCATTGGCCGACATTAAATGAACTTGATAGTCTTTTGTCGTTAGACTCAAGAAGATTTTTTATGTGCTTAAGCTATTTTTTTGTATTTGGCATATCTCTTAATTTGTTATTTTTCTGTAAAATTATATTGTTGATAAATGCAGGTTTCCTTTGCTCCTATATTAACTTGTATTCTTCAGAAAACGGCTATTTTTCTCACTGTACATGTGTTTCATTGTAATCTGTCTATATGCAAATGAATGTTTTTTGCATTATGCTTATTAAAATTCGTATTAATAAGCAAGCTTAAGTGCATATTTTTCTAATCATAGTCTTGTTTTTTCATAATGCTACACAGACAATTTTACTTGTCATCCCGCGCCGAACATTATTAAGCCTGAAGTTTGATTGAACCTATTTATATACGGTACTGGAAACTGCAAGCCATTATCCGCACACTGCACTACCTTAAGCAGCATTCAACATTTAAACATGAAAATGGTAACATTTTTAATTTAGAATTTCTGTAGATGTGTTCATACCGTGGTAGTCATGAAAACTTCAATATGACACATTGTGACACATCGTGCAATTCAATGAAAGACGGCTTATGGACCCCAAGTAAAAGATTGCGTGCGCACAATCATCGAAATTAAATAAAATATAATTTTGAAGTGAATCAGATGTAGCTTGTATTTCACAGATATATAAAGTTAGTATGATTAAATATGATAGTAAGTATGTTACAAACGGATTGGCAAGCAAAATTAAGTTTATATGCTTTTAGTAATTGATAAGTTTTTTTTAAAAAAATGATTAGAATGTTGAATTCATAAGACAATTCGTAAGTTACTGCAACATTTTAATAACGTAAGTAAACGAGAATAAAATTGGTTGAACATGTCACTTTATAAACCACAAACAAACAACTGATTGACCAAATAACTTAACATTGACATTAACAGCAAAACAGAAAAATGCGTTCGAAACTTAATTATTCTACGAAGCCGATTGAGGGCTTTCTAGTTATCTTATATTGAGCCCTTCTGTTCGTTAACACCTCAATAAAACCAAACATGCATCATTTTCACAATTGCGACCAAGCCTACATCAACTCCCTTATTTTATCATTTCCCCTACTGACAAGACATACCTATTCACAACTTTAAACGTCAATACTTAACAGTATCTATTTTTGCGTGGCCATCCCTGTATTTTACGTATCGTTATTGCACATCCGATATGAAATACATTTTTAAATAAAACTGCCCAGATGAATATGAAGATATATAACTATCACAAAGATTACCGACAAATCTCTGGAGAGTGTGTACACATTAAAGACACATAAAAAAGCATAAAGATATATAGCGCAAAAAAAAACACGAATGAAAACCTTAAGAGAACGCCAGAATAAATGAGAACAAAGACCACAAAGGCAAAGAGACGTTCACAGAACGTGACCACCGACATTACCCAGCCATACCAGTAGGGTACTAAGAAGGCACTGAACAAAAATGTGTCACTTAAAAAAACCCGAACCAAACCCCAAACGGCAACATTCAAGACCTTTTGTAAGCCTTTCGGTTAATTTTCATTAATTAAATTTCATCTTTAATTACCTTGTAGGTTTTTTTAGTTTTAAATAATGTTCCGTCTGTAATTTCGCCCGTATGCCCCGTCCATTTTGGCGCCCTGCTTGGCTCCTTGCCGGTGGTCCTGTGGTGAGGGTTGCGTTCATTGAATGCATCCTTTCCTTGTTGTACTTGTTTTTTTGTATACTCAACATGTTAAAAGCTCAGTTTGACTTTATGTTGGGTTTGATTTTCATGGATAACTAACTAGAAATTTATAATTTTTCTGCAAGTGACCGACTACGATTTCTGAATTAGCAGTGATAATGGTCTGTCAGACTTGATGTCCGAAATCATTATTCTTACAATAACCACGCCTCGCCCGAGGATGGCAGCAATAACCACGCCTCGCCCGAGAATGGCAGCAATAACCACGCCTCGCCCGAGGATGGCAGCAATAACCACGCCTCGCCCGAGAATGGCAGCAATAACCACGCCTCGCCCGAGGATGGCAGCAATAACCACGCCTCGCCCGAGGATGGCAGCAATGACCCTTTCAATGAAATCTATTATGATTCAAGAACAAATGCATCATTTTACACATTAACATATGGAAAAAAACATTTATTGAATAAAAAGGAAGCAAAATGTGATAAATAACATAAAATATTGGCAATAAAATAATTTAAAAAAAGCAAAATGTGATAAATAATATGTAATATTGACAATATATATAATGTTGTTTTTTGGGGGGCTTTTTTGTTGTTTTTTTTTATAACAAAATATTTATTTCGGAAATAGGTTAACCCATCATTTTAAACTATCGCCCCTTAAGAGGGCTTAAAATGAATTAATCGGTAACGTATTCTGATTTAGGAAATAGATTGGAGAGAAATGGAATACTAAGGAACACCCAAAAGGGCAAACATTTATTATGTTGCAGGCTCGGTAAGATTGAGTCTGTTCATTGGCGGTAATGTAAAGTGCAAGTTACCGTAAACGTCCGCAGCATCGGCTTAACAATATAGGAAATTGGCGTGATAAGGCTTGTTCTGAGACGGTGCTATCAGGCGTGAACGGAGTGATGGTGAGATATCTAAGTTAGCTTTTATTTATAACGCCGTATTAATTTGGTACAAGAGTAACAAGCTTATAGTGACACCTTGAGCTTAAGCTTGGAAGGAGAGAGACATCAACCGTTCTCACATTTATTACTGCTGTTCATTTTCATGGTTAAAAAAGCCAGGTCTGAAATATTTTGATAACCCTACATTAAGCGACTTTTAGGATTCTTTGTACAATTGGTGTATGGATCTTTTCAGTTTTAGCAGTGAAAATTTTAGCACGGCCTTTTCTGTTTGTTGCTAGGTCAACTCCTCACAGATATTACCACATACAGGCCTGTAAACTAGGTCAAACAGTCACTATGGTTTATCCCAGTGTTGTAATTTGACAGTCAGTCAGCAAATTTGTATGCCTCTGTAAGCACTCCACAGATACATTACTTCTGATCAGTGCAATTCCACCAACGGCGTATGGTCCTTAGATCAGGGTGGCAATCTCACTTTACTTTTGACATAAGGATGGTATGGAGTTGAATGGCGGCACACGTAAACAAACCTTGGGTCTAATGTTTCAACAACTTACAGTTTTTTTAAAGTCGAAACTACAGCTTTGCACTGCCTCAATTCGTTTTGAAATAAGAGAACTACCTTGGTATCTGTTGTTTATTTGTACCGCCATTCAACTCCATTTCCATATATTGTCTTTATACCAGTGGTGCAAATAATATTTTTATGTTTTCTATTTTCACACTCTTCTTATCATCATTTTTGATGTCTTTAAACATTCAAGCCCTTTGAAATCTTTATACCAGAATCCCCCATACCCTTCGTTAATTTTGGATACATCACCAGGTTTGCAATATTCTCCGTTTAAATTCGCAAAATGGTTTGCTTTGCAATAGCCATGCCACCAACCGCTATGATTAACGACGCCACAGTTTGTTTTGTCATCATCATCATTATCACTATTATCACCTTCTTTGTCTATTTTCACGTCGTTTTGAACTTCAAGATCAAAGTCTCTGTCTTTTGTTGTAAATGGGTAGCCGTTATAAAGCATCATGCGAAAGTTTGAATTTCCTGAATAGAAAAACAAAAATACAGGGTTGAACGCTTGTTTCTGTTCATTGGTTCAAATCTATGGAGATCAAAAGTTTACCTCGTGCAGTTAAAAATAAAAATAAAAAAATAAATAAATTAATAATAAAACCAAAAACGCCAATGTTTTACAATTGCAATCATTGGGAAAGAACACTCATATGCTTTCATAGCTTTCTTGTCCAGTCTCAAATTGTAATATGTAAATATTATTCATCATACATATAAAAATATATCGAATAAATATGTTTAAATTAATTGCAGTTATTTGGTGCTAAGTCATCGAGCGAAAATACTGAATTCTCGTTATAGACATCACACTACACTGGCAATAATTGAGCTTTTCTCTGTCTGCAAGTTTGCGTCTGTGTCTGTTAGGGATTTCTTTGGGCAAAAGTTGGAGACAAAAGCTCACACGAGATGGCATAAATTACCCATGCACCATTGTATTTAGTTTCGCAAAGTAGGGATACCATCGGATGATTAGTAATATATGGGCCCTGCTTTGATTCTTGGATGAGGCGTTAATATTTCTTGACGTTGTGACAGTTGGCACTGAGTCAAATAATCATTTGCCTCATACTTCTTAGTTCACAAATCATTTGGTATTAGTAAAAGAGCACTTCCGGAGAAATTGATATCTACAAGTTATTTATCTAGGTTGATGGATCGATCGTCGAGATTTAACAAAAATCGTGTGCTAAAATCGATCGGCGTAAAATCTTAAATCTAACCAACTAACCTGACGATTTATAACCCATGGATATGTTCAGGTAGTACTCGGTGGTTGAAGAAAGTCTGAAGTCAGTGTAAGTCTCAAACCAGTAACTGTCATCTGCTCCAGTCAGGTCTATCCGTAACTCAGTTGTACCTTTTGATATTAATTCTTCTATATTCTGAAGTCCTAAGGAGGGAACATAAAAAGCGTATGAAATTTATAAAGATACAAAGTCATCATGAAAGGTCGGCATTTTTGTTCGCCCAAAACAATAAAAAAAAACACGGCAGGGTACACTGCTGGACACCCGATACACAAATTTGGCGGAAGCAGTTAAAATATGCAAATGGTATTTGAGTTGAGAAAACACACTCAAAAATGTGTTGTTTTATTTTACGAAATGAAGTATTGCAAAGAGGATTTGGTTTCAGATTTAACAATTATATCTCTCTCAAACATATTTAGGGACATAATGTTTAAATGCCATTCTTTCCTGATAATGGACTGAAATTAAATTAGTACAAGTTCAATCTGAATTGACAAATGAATATTATTTTGTATATTTGTAGAAAAATATACTGCTATGTAAATTTGATAAAACTGAAAATACAACTATAAATAAATCTGAGGGTGTTTACTAGTATTACCGGGTACCAAAGAGTATTTCAATGTACCATAAAGCAGTTTTCGAGAGTCTCGAGGTATATCGAATACATACTTCAAGGTTTACAGGGGGCGTACAAGTTAAACACAGCACGACAAAATTCCTAACATCATTATCACTTTTATTATCTTAAAGGAACTCCACTGAGGTTTAAAAGCCTAAACATATAACATTTGAATTTCTAACATAAATGAGCTGGGGCACTTTGACCAGAAATATATGCAAAGATAGTTAAGAAATACTCGTATTTTTATGCTTTTCTTAGCCCGATCTGAGTGACAGGCGTTTAAACGCTTTTCATTTTGAATTTAAATAAGCATTCTGGAAAAACGAAGTGCGCGAATGATCTTACATTTTGCACAAAGATTAGTGGTCTAAACCTACATCAAATGGTACATTTATCCGGATTTGTTTTCAGTCCCATCATGTCAAAAAAACTTCAGTGTAGTCCCTTTAACTTCAAGAAAATTACTAATAACTACCAAAATTAACAAGGTTTGATATTCATTATCGCTTGAAAGGCTGAAATATTTTAACCTCATTCATTTCTATTTTTTTTCTATAACACTGTATCGATTTCGTATTCATATCTCATTTACAAGGACAGCCATTTCGAACATTTTTCTCACGTATAAAAATATCAGTTAATGTCTAAATCAATTTCGTATATCAAGAAATTATCAATAACGTATTCAAACGGGAATGATTTGAAACTTTAACGTTTGAAGCCCTGATTATGGCACTCCAACATGCTGTGCCAGTAAGATGGGGCTGAGATTAACAACTAAATTGCGTTTTACATGATTTAATAACAATTAGAGCTTTATCAGTACCTAGCCAAAATTCTTCATATGCGTCACCAAAACCCATTTCATATTCTTTAAAGCTTCTGTAAAAGTCTACATCTCCGTTGTAACGTCTTTGAAACACCTGGAAAAATATGAAACTACAAAAGATATTTTTATAATAAGTTTTGAAACGCACAGATAAATAAAATAATTTTTATGTTTAGTTTTTAGATTAAGAAAAATACATGTATATACCTTTTTATTCAACATTTTCTCTGAAAAAATTTTACTAGTAAAGTATAAGAATTTCATTCTTATTTCTAAAAATGTTATATCATTTGAATAAATTCTTATTGTGTATTTAATTATATCTAGCTACTAATTATGATTTCGTTCTTTAAGGGACTCCACTGAGGTTTTCTTTGACATGGTGGGATTGAAAATATTTTTTTGAGATAATTTGATGAAGGTCCAGACAAATAACATGGTCCGTTATTCTGACAAACCTTACCGTCCAACCCCCGCCATCTGTTTCCATGTCACAATACACCTCTATATATATCTGTGACCTCCATAATTGTATTTGATATACGCCACTCTTTGTAACATTCCCTCTGTGTCTTAATTCATAGCAATCAGTAGCTGTAACTGATAACAAGAAGAAAAACTAAATGAGCAATAACTTGGTATGACTGTTTGCAACATCAAGAAAAATGTACAAAAATAAATAGATTAATTAATTAATTAATTAATGTATTAGAAACCAAACTAAACAAAGTCAAATGAATACATAAAAAAGGAGAACAACGTAATCCCCAAATAACTTAAAAACAACCGGTAAAATTGAAAATGTTGCAGGCCTGGTTTAATTGAGCATGGACAGTGATTTCATAAGCCTGTGCTACGGGATGTGGACGGTAATGTTTACTTGTCGGTACCGTTCATGATAAACAGGCATGATCAAAAGGAGCATGCAACATTTTAAGTTCTTTTTTCCATTTTGGATGCTCATTAGAGATTTATCTTTTTCTCTAGTTTAAAGATCCTGTATGTTGTTATTCATATTGTATATCACACTTAAGTGAAATCTTATATATAACTATGCTTCTAAAACAATTTTCAAAAATCGAAGAATATGTAAAATATGTACTTCAAATATTTGTCCACATTATATGTAATCATTAAAATATATGCATTCATTTCTTATTGAAAAAAAATGATAATAAGACTTTATAGAAAACGAGTTTCTTATTACCTCCGTTTATTTACATGAAATGTTAAATTCGGTAATATCTTAATAAATAATGCTTTTTTTTGAACTTACAATGTTGATAAATCTAAATTTGAGCATCATATTTATAATATAAAACCACAAAAATTGTGTTACAGGATCTTTAATGATAGCTATTAATAAAGCCATATACGACCTGTTGAATAAATTATAGACAAAATCATGTTTGCCAACGGTTTGCAATCGTTATAGACATATAAGCAATGGATGCTCGTCAAATAAATAGAGCAAAATCAGATAACATGTCAATTGTATAGGGAATTACAGACTTTTTTCATATCATCGTATGGTGAAGTATACCTACTTTTGTTTGTGCATGTTTTCCCAAAATAACCAGCTTCGCACGTGCACACAAAGTCGTCGCCAGCTTTCATACATTTGCCATTCGCGCAGGGATTTGATGAACAAGGATCTGAAACATATTTGTTTTCATTTCTTTAACATTCCAGGGAAACTATATTCTTTGACACTATGAACTTATCTTTTTCATTTTATGTTATTATAAACCGTCATAGGGATGTTTATTTGGCAAATTCCTAACTTTATTGTTTGAGGAAGTTTCAAATACAAACCATTAGCGGCCACTATTTAAACTTCCGTACAAACCATAAGCGGCCACTATTTAAACTTCCGTACAAACCATAAGCGGCGACTATTTAAACTTCCGTATTTGTTTGTTTGTTTCATTTTACGCCTTTTCCCAACAGTATTTCAGTCATATAGGCGGGTAGTTTCCTAACCATCGTTCCTGGAGTGTTACACCAGTACTAGACTACCTTCCTCCGCGCTAACCTACCAAAGCATCTCCCGAGGATCGAACCCATGCTAGAGAAGTACATGTAACTGGATTAGAAGTCATCGACTCTAACCCCTCGACCACGGAGGTTGTTTAAACTTTCGTATATTAGCAGAATAGTTTCCAGACATGAAAAATATGCTAGTTTGTTTGGCAACACTTGAATTCACAGAGGTGTGAATAAAGGATCCGGTGGCACTGGCCTTTACAAATTAGCCATAGAGGTAACTTGGAAGGTGAAAATAGAGTTCGCATTCATGGCTTTTTCTCGGCATCCACCGGTCGTTTTTGCATAACATTGAATATGCATTTATGTATGTGTGTATACAGTCACTATTGCAAATAAATACTTAATTTAAACCGTTCACCTGTCGTATTTTGTGTTTTTGAGTTGCCAAATGTTGAGATTTGAAAAGTTTATTCTATATTAAAGTGAAATGGTGATCAATGGAAGGCCTGTTATAACATATAAATGTCAGCATAATGTACCAGGCTTGACAACAAACTACAAACAAATTTATACGGACGTCGGTAAGATCCGTCATGACATCTATATAAAGCAGATATTTTTTTCCTAGAACGAAATTTTATTATCCGTCCTACAGATGTGTTTGGGTAGCGTCCGTGACCGAGTGGTTAAGGTCGTTGACTTCAAACCACTTGCCCTTCAACGCTGTGGATTCGAATCCCTACAGGGACTTTGGGTTCTTTCATGTGAGGAAGCTTTCCAGCTAGCTTACGGAAAGTTGGTGATTCAACTCAGATGCCAGTTCGTTCCTGAAATAATGCATGAAAAGGCACATAAGGTCTTCCTCCACGAGAGAGAGCTTGAACGTCGCCATATGACCTAAACTTTGTCGTTGTGACGTAAAACCCAATCCAACAAACAAATGTTTGAACTAAATAACTAAGAAGAACTATATCGACATTTTTGAAAAAAAAAACAATTATAAGAAAAGCCAAATGATAGATTTCTATTGTTTTTTTTTTTGTTTCGTTTTTGTTTTGTTTTCTTTAAGACAATATTTGAAACTCTGATTGGAAATGTGCACATTGTAGACCTACCAATCCACATTAAAAGATTTCAATATCGAATTCAACATGTTAATAATACATTTACAATAAGAAGAAAACATGTAAATGTGAAAGTTATAAACATTCAAAAGGTTCCAAGAGGTTCCCACTAGTGGTTCCCAGCAGGTTAAAAGTTGAACGATAACTGACCTAGTTTATAATATCTGACCTATTTTTTTAATAACTGACCTAATTTTTAATTTCTAACCTAGTTTTTGCAGTATACTGTTCACCTTCTTGTCAAGATCACGGAGTTGACTTTGTGTTTTCATCTGTATTCCTGAAATACAAGTAAAAGCATTCGGCGGGGTGTTCGAAAACATAATAGTGAAACATTAACGCTTATGTTCCTTTTTTTAAATTGACATATTTCGAATATTGTTTACCATGCATACAAAACACGGAAAATTCAGAGACTTAGACCTCCTTACTTCCCGTTCCCTCGGGCTATATTAAAAAGTTTTCTATGCCCATTGGCTCTGACAAATCCTTTCCAAATTTAATCCCAGGTTACAAACAAACTTTGCAATTACAGCTTAAGTAAATCGATAAAAATGCAAAGCGGTGGTACATCGTGAAGCTATAACGATAAAAGTTTGTTTAGTCGAGGGAAAAGAAACATTTGCTTGATGACATCTATAGAAGAAGACTCGAAAGGCGCTTTTGCTTATTTCTTTGCTTAACACCAATTTAAACGTAGCTTGGATTATATCTCGGTGGTAGATCCACCTAACCCGCTTTCCTGGATACCTAACTTGTAATTACAAACATCGCAACTACTAATCTTTCTTAATCACGTGGTTGTATAATGCCAATTTCTTTTAAACTTTAATGTTTAGTGCTAGACCCTTTATTTCACGCGGAAGCATACTGCTAGATTCTATTAATCACACGGTAGTATTAATGTCAGACTCTATTAATCAGGTGGTAGTATAATGGCAACTCTTTTAATCACGTGGTAGTAAAATGCCAGAGTCTACATATCACGTGGCAGTAATAAGCCATGTAACACCGCACTTTGGGGTCAAACGCACTTTGGGGTCCGACCCCAAAGTGCGTTACGTACTTTGGGGTCCGACCCCATAGTGCGTTACGCACTTTGGGGTCCAATTTCGACCCCAAAGGGCGTTAAACAGGTACATATACATTTTTTAACATTAGGCAAAAGACCGCACTTTGGGGTCATAGAGAATGAATGTTCAATATGTTTTAAATAATATATTGTAGTCAAAGCCAATGGTAAACAAAAAATCAGGGTATTAAATAGACGCAAAACATGTGCCCTGAATTATAGTAGAATCAATAGGGATTTAAATAGTCTTGATTAGTAAGTGAAGAACTTTCACCAACTAAATCACCAAATAAAGAATTTGTATCAATTATTAAGCTTAAAATATTTTTTTCTCAAATTTTCCATTTATTTTAAAAGAATACCTTGCATTAACTCCATTGTTTTTAGCTAAATGCATTATTTTCCCGTATTTTATTTACACATTTTATAGAAATATGATAGTCTTTGCATAGACAAAGGTACAAATTCTGTGTAATCTTAGTAAGACATTTCAGTTAAAAATATGGGTCTGATAATATGTTGAAAGTGCCGTTTATTTAGCTAAATGTGACATAAAAGAATCTTGACTAGGTGTAGATTCGGCTTTCAGTAGTAGTCCGTACAGGCAGTACTAAAAATATCAACTATTTAAGTAGTCGCACATTAAGAGTGGAGCTTCAGAATAACGTAAAATTCTCAGTGGGGGTATAGAGGGGATTGTGGGGTATCGATCCCCCAGAGGGTTAAAAATAACATTTTAAAGGCCCATTATGCTTTTTTTGTTTTTCTTAAAAGCTTTTTTATTTTGATGTTCTTCTATATTATCCAAAAAATACACATTGGCCAATGTTTGCGCTGTCCCGGGGCATAAGGCAGGAATGTTATTATCTGAGTATTCCCCGCAGGGCGAAGATTTTACCAGTGGTCGGCTTGGTTTAAAGTCAATGACCACCTCACCACCACCCCCCACCCCCACCCCCCGAATGGGTGGGGTTAAGTGGTGCGTATTCATGGAATAATAACTGATCACCAATCCAATTATAGTATATAATAATAAAAAAAACAATAATTATATGAGATACATATAATTTAAAAAATGGGCCGAAAAGGGTTGGCCGAAACCATCTTTGCCCTGCCGAAAACGAGAGGGCCGATTCCAAAAATGGTCCGAAATGTGTCCAAACCACTGTGCTAGTTTTATACTCAACTATGGGCTGTTATGAGATGTGAAGGCTGTTTTGATTGGCTAAAATATGTACGAAAAACAAAAATAAAATATGTGCGAAAAACTAAAATAAAATATGTATGCAAAACTAAAAAACAATATGTATACAAAACTGAAAAAAAATATGTATGCAAAACTAAAATGAAATATGAATGCAAAACTAAAAACAAAAAAAATGCAAATATCTCTATTATGCCAACGTATGAACACATTTTTTAGATATTTCAAGTGGTAAAATTAATGAAACTTTTATCACTTAAGCATCATAAAGTATTGACCGCCATCTTGAACTCCACCTCAAATATTTCAATGTCGCAGATCGAAAATAAGTCAGTACTCAGTATTTAAGCAGAACTCAGATGACACCTTTAGACCTCTTGAACCCAAAGTGCGTTGATATGTAGCATATTAACGCACTTTGGGGTCAATTTCTCGATTTTGACCCCAAAGTGCGTTGGACCCCAAAGTGCGATGCGAAGTTTAACGCACTTTGGGGTCGGACCCCAAAGTGCGTTTGACCCCAAAGTGCGGTGTTACAAACCCATTAAATACCGGATGAAACCCGGCAGCCCCATATGATGGACTAGTAATATTAATATCAAACGTGTGTAATACAAAAAAGGATACGTACTTGTTAACATCTTAATATTCTTACATTGAAAACAAACGCTGGCGTGGGATGAAAAAGTTTTAAACCGTACCCGTTTACTCTCGTATTTAAAATAAATATTTTAGTATATAGTTTGGTAAGGAAATACGAGCATTGACATAGTATATAAAGTCAAAGTTAACAATACAGTTTAAAATTCACGAAAATCTTTGTAACTAATAATTTAAACTGTTAAAAGTCATGTAACCAGATAAGAGTAAGATAAGCTTATATAAGTTTGTATTGAACCATATAACATGCAATCTATCAATTAATCAAGCATAATGGTTAAATAAGTTTGGACTCCTTTAAACTGGACTAAATGTCAGTGCCCTCAAAATTGGTATTGCACAGCTATATCAAATTTTATTAGCATAAAGGAGTCATCAGAAATATTTTATCTACTACGTGCGCACGCGATAGCTACCACGTGCACACGCGATAACTGCCACGTGCATACGCGATAGCTATTATGTACGCACGTAATGAATGACCAAAGTATGGGCGTGGGCACGTAGTAGCTATCGCGTGCGCACGTGATAGATAAAATATTTCTGATGTCCCCTCTATGCCACCGTATAAATCACATAAAATTCATAATTTACCTTTTTGCGCGTTGTCAATATTGTTAAGCATCGCAAATACGTTACAGCTATCTATATAGGTCTCCGAGCATTTCTTAGCCGTTGTACCAGTCTGTAGATTCGAACATTGGTTCACGCCAGTAGCACTCCCAATTAAACCAGCAGCCAGTAGAAAATGAGCAAAATTTAATAGATTCCGTTTTCTTTCCATGGCTATATTTCAACTATCAAATAATACAAACATTTACACGACGTTTTTAAATTTTTGATTAAAATTACGGCTGTTTTATTTGCCTTACGATTTTATATTTATATGAATATTCAACGCCTATATAACACAAACAGATTATGAATCATTGCACACAACATTAGGCTATTACGCTTTATACATAAAATGTATACATAAACAAAAACTTTCGTTTGATGTTGTTTATTACATCTATACATCATGTGATGTAAAAGCTACCTTTTTACGATTCTTGTGCATTCATTCATTCAATCACTTATTCATACATTTATACAGTCATTTCGTTCATTTGCCTGCACATATTTGTATGTTATATCTTAAACATGAAGTTTAAACCATCACCGCTTCGTTTTTTACTTTTCATATTATTAATACTTTACAGCCGAGTGCATTCAATTTAAGATATTTCGACATCTCATTTTACGTGTTTTATATATCTTATACAACCATCTATATGTTTAATAAAGTATTTTCAACTTCATTTAAGAGTAAATTAAATACTCCGCATTGAGCCATGACGATCGCGCACTAAAGCAAAACTGATTTAGTTAAAGGCTCATTATGCCCCAGAATCGAATAAATGTTTATTCTTTAGAAAAGGCAAAAGGGAATTTAGTTAAGTGTAAATAATGGGTTTAGAGCATGTAAGATGTATCATGGTACGTGAAGAAAGTAGGGCTAGATGTGAAATAATTTGTCATAAAAAATGCAAACAAAATAATCAATTACAAAAACTGTATACGTAGTTAATGCCAAAAAGTAATCGAAGTAAAAAAACTGGTTCAGGCCAATTAGTAACTTTGAAAACTATAGAAGTTCACAAAAAAATATAAAAAAAAATCGAAAAATAGAACTAAAAGCATTTCTCGGGCATAATGGGCCTTTAAGTAAAATAATTTACCAAGCTTAAACGTGTCATTTGTGTGGTTGACTTAATTCAAGATATAATTGAGATTTTGATTTCTTAAACAAATATAATCCTTTTATTTATATATAGAAATGTATAGCTGAGTGAAAAATGTTCATGGCAAGGCTAAAATTAAGGGTGCGTGCAATGTTTTTACTGCTAAATGAGGCTAAATATAGCTAGAATTAGTCATGCCCTTGTGAAAGCAAAGTCAGAAAAAAATCTTGGTGTTGGAAAAAAAAATAATATAAGTTAAAAAAAATAGAACATACAATACAATGCAATATAGGCGCTTGAACTTAATAATCGTAAGGTTGATGGACCTTTATAAAAATATAATTGAGCAGCGTCATGACAAAACCAACATAATGGGTTTGCGACCAGCACGGATCCAGACCAGCCTGCGCATCCGCGCAGTCTAATCAGGATCCATGCTGTTCGCTATCAGTTTCTCTACTTGTAATAGAGTTGGTAAGCGAACAGCATGGATCCTGATCAGACTGCGCGGATGCGCAGGCTGGTCTGGATCCATGCTGGTCGCAAACCCATTATGTTGGTTTTGTCGTGACGCGGCTCAATTAATGTCGTCATTTCTGAATGATGTATATTTATAGTGTTTAAGTATTGCTAAGTGAATTATATCCAAGGTTAGGGAAAATAGGTATAATTGCTTAAAGAGATTTATCTTTAAAATTATTGCTGAGTAAACATTATTTTTGGTAATGTATGTTTTGCTATTGGAGCTTTAACAAGTTTGAATATTGCTAAGTAAAAAATTATCTGTAGTATAGTTGGTACTGCAATATGAGCTTTAAGAGAACGTTAGGTCCTAGGTTTCTATTCCCAGACGGTGCAGGTCACTTTTAGAGTGATTGATCATGAACTCTTTTCTACGGTCATTCGCACTGTATTTCTGCTCTGGTAGACCGCCTCCGTGGTTGAGGTGTTAGAGTCGATGACTCTGGCGTAAGTTCGATCCCCGGAAAATGCTTTGGTAGTTTAGCGCGGAGGAAGGTAGTCTAGTACTGGTGTAACTCTCCAGGAACGATGGTTAGGAAACTACGCGCCCATATGACTGAATTTCTGTTGGAAAAAGGCGTAAAATCAATCAAACAAACACACAAACAAAATCTGCTCTGGTATGTATTGCTTGCGATAGTGAATGCAACTAGTGCTGGATAACTGCTTGATAACCTGCCGGGGAACGATGCGGTTGATGAAATGTGCTCTGGTAAATTCGATGTGGCTAATTGTCGTGATCCGGAGTGATTACTACTAACACCACCACTACCAACGTCCATGCAACATTCGCTTCTAAATAAATATGTAAACATATTTATTTCATACTGGCATTCTCGATGTATTCTTTAGTTATATAAATATTCAAACAATGATTTGCAGCAAATATATAGCTTTCAACACTTTTAGCCTTTGCTAATTAAGAAGGAAAGGTGATAAATATGGGAGAAAGGTGTTTATTTATTATTTCGTTTATTCTTTTTAATATTGAAAAAGGTGTTTAACTTTTAATATTCGATCAGCAAGCGTAAAAGCGATGTCTTTCATTAACAACTTAAAAAAAAGAGTAGGAAGTGTTGAATATTATTTTGTGTTTATTTTTTATCTAAAAAGGTGTTTAATAAAAAAAAGACTTAAAGGTCATTCCTCTACAAAGCGCACTTTGTGACACTACATACATTAAAACAGAAATAGATGCTGAAATGTTCTTATATATTTGAAAAATTAATGTCCGATACTGTTTAATATCATTCTCATTAAAATCATATTCTAACTTTCGCTCCGCTTCGCTAGCGAATAGTAACGGAGCGAAAAAGATGATCCGATTTAAATCTTAGAAAAGAATGAAATGCTATCGGTGTCAATGACTGATAAATGTAAATAATCCTTAAATACCGGCGTCAATTAATTTTCGCAATCCTTAATATAAACGCCCAATCAAAGCTTGTGGGAAAAAACTTAAAATCTACAACGTTTTGTAAAAGAAATTAAAGAAAGAGTTACCACGAATACTATATGGACTTGATAGTTAAAGGAACTCCACTGAGGTTCATAAGCCTAAAACCATAAAATTTTAATTTCTCACATAGATCAACTGGTGCACCTAAAATGGAAATATTTAGAAATATACCTTGAAATACACTGAAAATCGTATATTTGTGTTATTCTCAGTCCGATTTGAGGTCAATTTTAGGTCATTTTTGACAATTAAAACAATTATTCTGGAAAAACGAAGCGAGCTAATGATCTGAAATTTTGCACATAAGTTGTTGGTATAGACCTACATCAGATGGAGTAATAATCTAAAAAAAATATATATTTCCAGTCCCGTCATGTCAAAAACCTCAGTGGAGTCCCTTTAACATTTAAAGCCACAAAATGAAAACGAGACAATATTGAGTATCATATGAACTTGATAAAGAATTGGCATGGATTGTTTATTTGCCGAAAGAATAAGGCTAATGGAATACAAAATGCATTTGATACCGCCAAAGTTTTGAAATGAAAACAAGGTTAAATGGATAAGACGGGATCTGATAATAAATAAGAACATCACGTGGTGAAAATGCTGGATGTTCATTGGTTATAATATTTAAGATAAAAATAGATATTAAGAATTTAAATGTTGGTTGATTAAAATACCTTAAAATTGATGATCTTTCATTTTACATAATTATTAAGAAATGCTATAGAAACAACAATCACAAAACAATATTTTAACATTAACTAAGAACACAGTTGCGGCGTTCCATAAGTTTTTCATTGCAATATATTGGTTTTGTACGGATATTCAAGTTGCCCGGGGAAACAAGAATCCTTCCTTCCGCTTAATGCTTTGTGCGTTTGTAACTCTTTAGCCTTTGCTTGAGAACCAGTCCACTTCCGGTAGAAGATACAAGAAGAAATTGCGAACCCGACAAAACCGGAAGCGAGAAGAATCATAACAGCAATCAGAATGGCAGCATTTATACACAGATTTTCTTTTGATACTATTTCTGGAAAAAATAAATGTTTAATTTTAAAGCGGTATGGTAAACCTTTCAAATTTCTGGGAAAAAAAAAAAAAACCAAAAAACAAATAAAAAATTGCAACCAGTTTAAAGAATTGGCCTAAAAAATGCAAAAACCACGGTTGAGGTGCGTTTTTTTTTAGTCCCTGTTTACAATATCACATTTTTTTATTCAAATTTTAATTTTTTTTAAATGTTTGATTTTCCGGTCGTTTTTTAAAAAGGACCGGGCAATAGTTGGTAAAAAGTTTAAGTGTAAATGTGCGCATGCGTCGGACGGCGTAATGTTTTTCCATTTTAAAAAATTGAAAGTTTTCAAACAAAAAAACCCGTATTTTTAACTTTCAAGATGTTTTTTAAAAATTTTTTTTGAAAAAAGAACCCCCCTTCAATTTTTTTTTGGAAAAAAATTTCCCAAAATTTACAAAAAATAATTTTTTTTTCTTTTCTCTAAAAACGCTTAAATTAAAAAACTTAAAAAAAGTTTTTAGGCAAACTTACGAATTTTGTGTATTTTCACAAACCACTTTAGCCCCACGTTATGTCCCGAATTTTATCTTGCTTTTTTTCTCCATGATCTTTTTTTCAACAGGTAAGGTTTCCTTGGCTGAAAGAGTTACCTTTTTTCCAAATCCGTTTCTTTCTTTTCCCCTCGGATTTTCCCCCCGCCCAAATGTCTGAAAATATTTTTACTTTATAAAAATAAAATTATACACAATTAATTATATGATAATGTATTAGAATTAAAAGCACAAAAATCCCAAAAAAAATATAACCCTAATAAAATGGCCAAAAGGTGATATCGACCAAAAAATTCCCTTTACACGGACTAATTTATGCTATTTGGCCCTTAAAAAAAACCCAAATTTTTTCCCTTACATTTTTAAACCGACAACGTCGAAGCCAAGGTTTGTAAATTAAGGGGCGCGAATTTGAAAATTTGCAAAGGAGGACCAATTTTTTAAGCTTACGTTGTTTTTTTTTTTGACGGGCTGCCCCAGGCCCATAACTATGGAAAAGATTTACAGGGTGGAATTGAAACAACCGGGGAAATGGGAAATTTGTCATGAAAACCCCCCCCCAACCCAGGGGGAAAAAAAGGGAAAATGCTGAAATGCCATAGACGCATTTTAAAAGTTATCGTTGGGTAAATCTAAAAATTTAATTAAAATTTTTACAAATTTTTCCCCTTTTTTTTGGTATAAAAAAATTCATTAATATTTTCTCACCTTAACAAATGCCATAAAACGTTATTGTAAAATATGTTTATTTATCATAGATTTTTCATATATGATGTGTCAACCTCCTGCAAGCGTCCCCGCACTCGAGTATCCGTGAAAATTTATTTCAAACCTATCCCGCTAAGTTAGTAGCCCAAAATGTCGAATTCACTATTAGGACCCCCGGGTCTTAGTCCAAAAAAATTTGGGGAAAAAGTCTGTTCAGTTAACAGCTAAAAAAAGAAAAAAGGCAACTTCGTTAGAAAAGTTTTAACCCCTTTTAAACAACATCAAAAGTGCACACGAGCATTTTTCATGATTAGAATATACATTGGTGGAAAGAGAGGAAATTCAAGTTTTTTTCTACAAATACAGGATTTATTTTCATCGAGGGGTATGAACAAAAAATATTTCATGAGTGGCGGTAGCATACAAAAAGTTGAAGATAAATACTGTGTTTATAAAAAAACTGGATTTATTTTGTATAATACAAACATTTTTCTTTTAGATATTACCATTTGAAAGATTTCCCTTAAATTTTGTGTATTAGCTGAAGTAAGTACTAAGTAGAAAGTAGTCTGGCAGAACACCAGTGAAAATACGGGAAATATATTTCACTGCAGTGAAATATAAATTTTTTACAGAGAAATACAAAAAAAAATGAAGAAAAAAAAAACGCATTTTATTTCATCAATTTTTCTCACTCAATATTTCGATTGTAAATATATAATAAATAAAGATATAAATAAATCTGTAAAAACTTGTTTTTGCAAAAAAAAATATATGTTTTTCAGATAGGCTGAATACGTGAGGCGTAAAATCTCAATCGTAAAATGGCTGAGTTAAGGTTGGGTTACTGATAATAAGGGATATATATTCCCCATAAAGCACAGTTCTATCAACAAAAACAATAAGCCTTTCACACAGGAAATTGTTTTCCCCTACCATATTTTTCAATATATTAAAAACGTTGGTAACGTTTCACACGTCAAACATTAACACTTTAAAAGGACTGGTAGGGTATATTAACAACTTTGCGAAGTGACAGAGACAGACGACAATCCTTCAAAAAATCATTCAAAAAAAATTATTCAAATTGTTCATTGCATTCAGTTTTGAATTTACAATAGCCTCAAAAAGTGCTTTTATTTTTATTTCACAAATTTTAAAGCTTATTATTCATAGTTTCCTCAAAGTTACTAACTGGACAATAATATTAATCATCTTTTGCTTCTGTTGCATTTTGGCAATTTGCACAGTTATATAGTAATAAAACATCACGTAACGTAATATTATATAACGTAACGTAACATAACATAACAAACTGTAACATAACGTAACATAACATAACATAACGTAACGTATCATATAATAACATAACGTAACATAACATAACGAAACGTAACATAATATAACTGTAACATAACATAACGTAACATAACGTAACATACTATAACATAACGTAACATAACATAACGTAACGTATCATATAATAACATAACGTAACATAACATAACGAAACGTAACATAATATAACTGTAACATAACATAAGATAACAAACTGTAACATAACGTAACGTAACAAACTATAACATAACGTAACATAACATAATGAAACGTAACATAACATAACGTTACATCATAACATAATATTTTTGCTATAATGACTTACATGCATATATAATAGCACATTAGGGCACTTAATTTCGTTCTTATATATTCTTTTTCGTTTAAACGAAAATGTAATTATTTTAACATCCGTATAAATTTTTAAAATAACTATAACTGTACATTTTGCCCAAAACCAAAGGATGGCCTAGTATTATGAGCACACTTTTGAAAATGAAACCAAAGGATGAATATAACACTTACTAGTTTTCAATGATAACAAGACCTGAAGCAATGCAGTACCTCGCCTTAATGTCAAGGTCATCTGGGAAAAAAGAGAACATTGAGTGACATTTAGACTGCCAACAATTTTTGTCCACACCTCTGAAGCGTTTATAGTGCCTTTTCCTTTTATTCTTGTTAAGGTATTGTCTAGTATTATCATAATGCTAATTTTGACGTCATTCCTTTGTCGTCATTCCTTTGACGTCATTCCATTGATGTCATGCATTTGACGTCAGTGTATAATGTATGTATTAATGAATAATACTATAATATACTTAAATGAACGTTGACAACGTGAATAATTTATAGAGGATATTAAATAAGTATAGTAGATTCATCACTGAATTTATTTAACGAATTGAATAAAATTATATAATGCGAGCAAAATATTATTTTATTTAAGAAAATCAATAAATTCAGTAATGAACCTACACGAATATAATATTCTATTTACCACATACTAAAAAGTAAAAACTGTTTATATTGCAAAATAATTATTTTTTCATTGACGCCTATAGTTAAGCGCATCGTTACTATATGTTTGTATATAATATAACACAAATGACGCCACGTTAAAATATATGCACGGCCATGCAATACATTGTATCATTTAGTCGCAAAATCGAATGGGTATGTGATAAATATTATATCTTATTCCCTAAGTCAACGTTCTTAATAGTTATTTGAAGTAAAGGCTGAACTCTGCAATTAAAAATAATATGAGCCGCGTCACGACAAAACCAACATGATGGGTTTGCGACCAGCATGGATCCAGACAGATTTTGTCCGCGCAGTCTGATCAGGATCCATACTGTTCGCTATCAGTTTCTCTACTTGCAATAGAGTTGGTAAGCGAACAGCATGGATCCTGATCAGACTGCTGGTCGCAAACCCATTATATTGGTTTTGTCGTCACGCGGCTCAATTATTTCTTCTATCTTTGAAGCGACCTTCAGCTTCTCTATGTTAATTTTATATAAATCGTTTCATTAGATTATCAAATCAAAATAATTAAGGTGGAAAATGAAATTTGACGTAAACAATAAGGATCCCCTAGCCACATTTTATCTACAGGTCGGCTCTCTATATATAAATTAGAAAAGCGGACGATTCGTTTCCTGATCTCCTTTTTTCTTTTTTCTTTTTCTGAAAGCGTTATAGGCTCTCTCCTTTCACAAATCTTTCCCTTTTTTTATCAAGTTAGATTATATTTGTGAACGAAATACTGCTGGCGAATGTTTAGAACATCCTACATGATCTATTTATAATTTCACAACTTTTCCCTTCTTTTACCATTCTAGTGTAAATTTTGTTATCAAGTTGAATCCTCTATGCATTTACGTATCACTCAAAATCCTTCCTGATTTTTTTTTTTTAATTATTTCTCTTGAAGGGACTAAAATACACATGTAGATATATACCGTTTCGTGTAGAAGGTCTGCATCAAGCGCATACTCGACATTTCCAGAATAGTATTTTTTATTGCGCATATTGACCCTAAGATAAAATACGTCGCAATACATTAAACTCAAATCGGGTCAACATCGATTTTTTTCAATTTTATTCTGATCATAGTTCTGTATTACTTCTTATATTTTGCATACTGATCCATTATAAGTGCATTTTTATTTATGTTATTGCATTTCGTTCTTTTTTTTGTTCAGGGCCTTTACATAATAATGTCGATGATGATGATAGAGATATTTACGATAGTGGTAATGATGATGATAGTGGTGAAGCTGATGAATATGATGACAGTAATGCTGCTGCTAGTGTTGTGGCTGCTGCTGCTTCTTATGATGATGATAATGATAAAACAGAGAATGATGATGATGGTGATGATGATGTTGTTGATCAGAATAATGATGATGATGACGATTGTGATAATGACGATGATGATGATGATGATGATGATGATGATGATGATGATGATAGTGACGATTGTGATAATGACGATGAAGATAATGACGATAAAGATAATGACGATGATGATAATAATGCTGAAGAGAATGCTGATGACGATGATAATGATTATTTCATGTACATGTATATGTGTACACAATTTATAAGTTTGTGCGCATGCGCAAACGTCCTTACCAATATAGTCGTTATCTAATTGTAGCGCCATAATGAGAGTGTCGGACAACTTCACTTCTTTTCCGCTCACTTCCTCTTCTGCAACCACTTTGTAGAACGACATTTTCGCAGACGGTTGAACTGTAACATTGACGCTGCCGTCATCCGCTTTTTCCCTTTAAAGTATAAAAACATATTTATATCACGAATTTCGGAAAAGTACACGTCGTTAAGTTCCTGCCAAATTCTGAGAGTTTCGGCAATGTTTGTACAGTTTCGGAAAAAGTTCGTACAGTTTCGGCAACTTTCGCTACATTACGTCACTAATAACCGATACAAGAAAGCTATTAATTTACATAAGGTCTGAATTATAAAAACTAATTCAAATTTTTATGCTAACACGACCTCGCATGTTTCCCTATTGAACATAGAAGGACCAAAAATTGTTTGTATTTATGCAATTAAATCAACGTTGATACGGCTTTTCCATCAATTGCTCCCAGCTATTATTTATGAAAATCACGTGACTTCCTAAAATCATTTCGGGATATTTTTACTTCCGATCATTCTAAAAGCTGGAAAAAATGTTAATTTAAATATAAAATGAATAAGACAAAGACACAAAACGACCTCTTTGACAGAATATTTAATACATTTTAGGTAAAATAACACTAGGCTTTTTGCATGTATTTATTAAACCCACTGGAGTCCTCGCCACCATAACTACATATGCGCACTTCCGGCCGCATCATGATTCACTCAACACTACAACACATAACTTTATACTAATTTTTACTTTCGAAAAAAATGAGCGATTAATGTTTTATTTAATATCTAAATTGAATTCATCAGTCGTAGAACATAAACTTATTAGGCATCCAATTTCGGGAAAAGGACTCCATTTCGGGAGATGAATATCGTGAAGAGGGACGATTGCCAATGTTGAAAGAACTTGGAAACCATCCTGATGCTATCTATGTTGTGTAAATATACATGTATAATCAATAAAATATGATGAATCAAATCATGAAAAGGGAACCTACCGGAAGTTGACAATGACCCAGCGTCTATTTCCCGAAAATAGATTATCTATATTAAGACATGTGACGTATGTGATTGATGTGATAGAATCGAAATCATACATCCCCGGCAGTGACTTATCGCTTTATAAAATCACTGTTTGTCGTTTGGCTGCGCATTGATATAACACACGGCGGCGCCCTCGTGAAATATTTCATCGTATTCTAAATCCAAAGCAGTGGTTTAATTAAGCGATAAAATCACTCCATGGAATATGTCATTTCGTATATGTCATAATTATATAGGAAAGGTCAGAGATTCCTTCTTGGAAAAAAAAACAGTTCAACAAATAGTTCTAAAGTAAATATAGATATAAAGTATCTTATTATATTGGACTTAATTTGTATTTTTCTGTAGGCAACTCACGCATTATTGGCGTTCGAAACAATCAAATCGCTACGGTCGGCTACGCAGAATATTGGGATGACTTTATCCGCCCCTGTCTGGTATCCGCTTTTCTTTTGCACAACAATTCGGAACAACATTTCCTGTTGGGATCAAAATTCTATTTATAGAACAACGAAGAGTTGGTCGCACTTTCATCACCGTAAAATGACGAAAAAATTGATAATTTTAGCAATTAAGAAATTTAAAACAAAACAAGGCGAAAAGACAATGGAAAATTGATATTTCTAACAATTTAGAAATTTAAAAGACAAACCAGTGAAAAATACACACTGATTATAGAACAGAATTAAAATATAATTAACTGATTAACATCATTGATAAACGTATTAATGAAAATAATGTCAGTGATGATACGATGATGTTTGTGATGATGATGATGAATCAATGTTGATGATGTTGACTATGATAGTTGTAATGATATTGATGATTAAGGTTGTAATGATGATATTGATGATGTATGGTGATAATGTTTATAATAATGACGATGATGATGACGATGACGATGATGATGACGATGACGATGATGATGATGGTTATGATGATGATAACAATTGTGTTGATGATGTTGATGACGATGATGATGATATTTATTTTGGTGAAGATGTTGATGATGAATGATGATAATGGTGATGATGATGATGATTGTGGTGATGATGATGTTGATATTAATATTGATGATGATGATGACAACGTGGTGATAGTTTGAATGACGACTGATGTATGGTGGTGTTGGTGATGATGATATTAACTTTGGTGATGATGTTGATGACGTTTAATGATGATTATGGTTGTTGTGATGATGATGATGATGATGATGATGATGAATGATGATAATGGTGATGATGATGATGACAATGTGGTAATAATGTTAATGACAAATGATGTATGGTGGTGTTGGTGATGATTAATACGATTCTGCTAATGATGCTGACGATCAATGATGATGACGATAAAGGATCTTAATGATTATGAATTAGATGACGATTACTTTGGAAAAAAAATAAACAATTACAAAAAAACCAACAACAGTTACATTGACATAAGAGTTATTTTACAGTAATAATACGATTAAAGAGGTAAAGCTCTTCATGTTTCTTCAGGGAGTATTTTGTCTTTAAACAAACATGCATGTAATGATATGGATAACGTTTAAAATACCCATTCTATGTTGCAGTCGGCAAACTCAAACTGGTACAGGGCGACACCGGATATCGTTGTATGTTTACACCGGTCATCTTGACCTTGGATATAGATCAACCCGTCGTCCATGGCACCGTAAGTCGACACGACCAGCTTGGACTTGGTACAACTCTCAACATTGACTGAGGAATAAATCATATAAAAATACATTATCAAAATTTGAGCCGCGTCACGACAAAACCAACATATTGCGTTTGCGACCAGCATGGATCCAGACCAGCCTGCGCATCTGCGCAGTCTGATCAGGATCCATGCTGTTCGATCGCTATCAGTTTCTGTACTTGTTAAAGGGTTGGTAAGCGAACAGCATGGATCCTGATCAGACTGCGCGGATGAGCAGGCTGGTCTGGAAACCCATTATGCTGGTTTTATCGTGACGCGGCTCATATATATAAAATATCGACACGATAATTCAAAAATCATGCCGGCAACATTTTCAGCAGCCGATAATTTTCAAAGTTATAAACTATGTCTATTTTCACACCTACCTAAAGGATCGAATTGTCCGATCACCGTGGAAACGGAAAGAAACGTCAAAGCAAATATGGAAATCTGTAAGAAAAAAGTTTTTTTTTTTTTTGTATGTTACGTCTACAAAACATGCAGTATTGTCTACATTTTACGAATAGCCATTCTTTACATATTTTGTAAATCTTAATAAAGCAAAAAGTGCAAAATCATGTAAGTCGTTTTTACAAAGACTTAAAAGAGTGATGGGAAAAGAACGAAAAAAATCAAGTTATAAAATAGTGAAATTTAAAAATAGTACATACACATGGTCGCCGATTTAAAAATTATTCAAATGAGGAAAGAATACATGTACAAATTTGTATACCATGATTATTTGTTTCGCTAAGCCCTGTCCGAAAGATTTTCCACGAAATTAGCTCCGTTCCTGTATTTACAACATCTCCATCTTACCGTCAAGCCGAGTAAGTAAGATTTTTTTAACATACACACGTATTTTTAGTTAATTACGTTATCTGGTTTATGGTACAAAAAGACAAAAATTGTCACTTTGTCGTTCCATACCTATAAATAATTGATGAGGTTTTCATTCGAGTGTTTGTTGCAGTCCAGTACATATTTAATTATTGAAACCTTGATGCCAATTATTAGTGCTATTAATGCGTGGTTTTGATTGGCTAAGCGGCGTTCTACAATGGGTCCGTAAATTGTGTTATAGCCCCGCGAAATAAACCTTATAAAAGAAGTGGTTAAGTCAACGTTGCTATTGACCGTTTATGAAAAACAGTCAAATATTTTCATAGTAGGAGAATGGCTATGTCATACAGGCATTATAAGATTATACTTTTTTAACGTACACAACTAAATTGTGGGACGGCAGTTACTTTGGCGTTTGGCGGTGCTTCCCAGGTGCCTTTTCCAAGACTGATTTGTTAAACAAAGGGACATATGAAATCTTCTGGAGGTACGTTGACGGTGCTACTCAGGTGCATGACGTCACAGGAGTATTTGTGAAGCCACGTTTCCACTATGTTCCCAACAGCCACCGGTGGCCACGGCAACACCGTTTGTGTCCTTGCTGTATTTGTAAAAAATCTGGCCGGGCCTCCACAGACGATAACGGTCTTGACGTTTTCCTGCGCCGTGTCGTCGCGTTTTTTTTTCTACAGTGGCCTGATCAAAACGTTATCGTAGCATTATTACGTACGATATCAATAAGCAATTTCTTCCATCGTCAGCCAATTTGCATGGCATGGCTTTAATTTATACAAACTATGAAAAAAAGGTTCAGTCTTAATAATGGGAAAAACAGTTTTGCTGTTATAAATAAACAATTCACAACTGTAAGCAAACTGTTTTCAGACAAAGTGCAATAGTTTATGGCATCGGTAACCTGTTTTTGTATTAAATTAACTCAGTAGTATAAAGGTCACGACACAACTTTTACGGAATACCGTTAGGACTATCGAGGCTATACGTTAAAACACAGAGGGCGACAATGCGATAGTGCGACATGCGATGAGGACATTACGATAGTGGGATGGCGAAAACGCGATAGTATTATCGCATTATCGTATTGTCGCCGTCGCATTATCGCACTGTCGTCATCGCGTTATCGCACTGTCGTCATCGCATTATCGCACTGTCGTCATCGCATTATCAAATTGTCTCATTATCGCACTGTCGCCATCGCACTATCGCACTGTCGCCATCGCACAATCGCATTGTCGTCATCGCACTATCGCACTGTCGCCCTCTGGATTATAAAGTATAACCACGGTGGCTATAAAGGTATTCCGTACTTTTTAACAGAGAAAAAGAAGTCCCTAACAACAAAATCGGAAACACTGACTGCTACTGTAACATAAAAAAACGCAAAAAAACACCACCAACACAAGGAAGGGATCAATTGTCAGTGCCACTTAATCGGTTTGGGTTCGGACTTAGTCTTCTCCAGTCAGTTTACAAAACGCCGGTGGTTCTATTTAGGTACCTGTATAAGCTTAAAATAATGCACGGAAGGGCACCCGAGGCTTTGCTCGCAAATTAAGCTGGAAAGCCGGCATCTAAAGACATTTACTGCTTTGGTTTAACGCAAACCAAAGCAAATAAACATATTGTACTGTACACAATTTTACGTATACTCTTACGCCATTTCAAGACTTTTTTTTTTGGTTTTTAGTATTTTGTGAAAGCACAAATACGCTGATCGTAAAAGCAAACAAAACGACCAACAGAGAGTGCAGCGAATGCATCTCTGAACAAAATTCAGCAATATTGACAGGACAATCGACAAGGAGCCCAGTAGGGCACCGAAAGACAACAAAAGCTGAGCAATCCCTGTAGGATGTTCAAGTAGCAGTATTGGTTATATACGGATATACGAGGATATATTACGTCATGAGCAATATTCACGTATAGGGATTGCTTTTTTCCATATAGGGAAAAAAACAAAGAATACTTTCCACCTCAAAATGTCACCAGTTTTTTTTTCGTAGAATAAGAACGGAAGAAATAGATAAAAAATACATAAAACAAAATATTGTTGCTTTTTTATTCATCAAATTCAATATGTTATCAAATCAAAGTGGGAAACATGATTAAAACATAAACGTATATATACACGTAATATAATGTTAATAGCAAACAATTAAGGAAAAAAGCAACCAAACATTAAAAAAAACAACAGCAACTAAAATAAAAAGAAGTACAAAAAGAAATACCGGGAAAAACACGACTTTGCGTATACCATGTAAACAAATCCTACTGAAATAGGAAAACACAATCTTATAATAAAAATGACCAACGATTTTGCAGTTTCTCATGTGTCCGTAATTTATAAGGTCTTTATTTCGTATGACAACACCTTCTGCTCCACGTGTGAATAACCATCACACAAACCAGCTTTTGCATGCGAAGTTCTGAAAGTTCCGTAGCTATTTCTAAACCATGTAATTCCGGCGCATGATGGTCTTCTCGCAAAGTGCTCGATTAAATGTGGTTGTTTTTAATAACCAGAGGTGAAATGTCATTGAGACTCGACTCGACAAGATCCCGACAGCACCTGTTTTGCCGCTGTGTTTCTTTTCTTTATGATCAAGTATAGTCATAGTATTTTTAGAGCGTAATAAGTAGACGCATTCATTCAACTTCTGTTCAAAAGAACCTGCGGTCTTGTCTTTTTCCAATTTTCCAACGCTTCTACTGCGCGTTTCGTTCTTTTATGTTGATATTTCCGCTCATAATACTGTCGTCTGCTATCGTTTGAAACATTCCCCCGTTTTCGCGACGTTCTGATTGATTTTCCAATTCGATTCACAATTCCAACAAAGAATGACAATGCCTCGTCTTTGGTGTCTGCTGCGAAGTTAACAAACTCATCAAAGTTACGTTTAACGTGATCCATGTCTGCGTCTGCTATATAAATGTCAGAAATATTTATCTGATGAAAACAGCGAGGCTGATGAAAGCAGCTAGGAAGAATCTCCGTGTTTTCAAGATTCTTAGATCGCTCAATCATGGAAATGAAAGTCAGATGTTGTTGGGCCTGCTTTTATAGTGAAGATTATTCACACCTTTTTGCAGGAAACAGGTTTAGCAAAAGGGAATGATTTAACGCCGGATCTGTAAAAAGGCGTCTGAGATTTTAAATTAACACTTTCGTATTGTCTATTATCGACATTTAGTCATGAAAATACAGGAGTTCCAGTAATGTAAGTCAGTTAAGATGCTCTTACAGAAGTCAAACACAAACATGTAATTCGGATACATTTCAATGACAGTAGCAGACACATTGTAGATTGTAAAAAGCGCAAAAAATAATTTTTATAAATCTAAGTGGCTGCGTAGCGGAGAGGATGACAGGTCTTACCAGTAGTATGTATCGTTGGCCGCGTGGGTTCAAACCACCGTTACAATGCCACGTAAAGGGAAAGACCTTCTCATATCCAGAAAGAAACTTAATACTCATTGTTTAGTCTGGTTTGTTGCAGGAATGGGAGTTATGTCATTGTGTATTATTCATAATTAGTTTTGTTATTTCATGATGTATTATTAATAGTTTTGTTATTTCTTGGTTTATTATTCATATTTATGTTATTTCATGGTGTATTATTAATAGTTTTGTTATTTCTTGGTTTATTATTCATAGTTATGTTATTTCATGGTGCATTATTCATAGTTAGTTCAGTTATTTCATGGTGTTTTATTTATAGTTATGTTATTTCATGATTTATTCTTCATAGTTAGTTATGTTATTTCATGGTGTATTATTCATAGTTATGTTATTTTATGGTTTATTAATCATAGTTATGCTATTTCATTGTTTATTATTAAAGATTATGTTATTTCATGGTTTCAACACGCCGCACGACAACGCGCCATTTGGCGTGCCGTGCTAGAGACAGGACGACAAGATGACAGCGCGTCAACGCGCCTTTGGCGCCATCAATAAATTAAAACATACCGGGATGCCTTTATAGTACATGTAGTAATAACATCGTATACACAATCTTCTTAAGTCAGAATAAGTAGGACAAATTAAAACAAATTTGTATTCATCTTCTATGTTGTTTAGGCTGCAAAATGTACATTTTCTTTCCGATCTTACAATGTTTCTATGTCTGCCAGTCTCTATTTAAACGATGCGAAGATAATCTAAGTTTAGCAATTTCATTTCTCAATTTCGTGCAAGGCATCTTATTTATTTTGATAATTACTTGATTAATAATGTTTTTTTACTCATTCTTTAAACAAAGTCGTCAAAAGGTTCATTCGAGAATGTAAAACCTCGCTACTTTATCTATAAAAATATAGAATGACGACATAAGACTTAAGAGAGAAACAAATCTAGACTGTCAATAGATCGTACAGCAGGAAACCGTATATTTCAGCTGCACGAAGGTATCAGTTATTTAAAAGACGTAGGTATCACGTAAAAAGACACTTTTTAAAGAATAGCTTTACTGGGGGTTTAGTCATATAAACAAATAATAAATGTAAAAGTAAGCAAAGTAGTCTGGGAAACAAAAACTCTGTCTGCTATAATTTCAAACCGTTACAATTATATTTTTATATGTGGAATTAGAAGAAATGTTTGGGCTTCCACATTTAAGAATCTCAACTTATTTGAATTGAAAGTTTAAAAGAAATGCATGAAAGTTATGTTGATTATACAATCGCTGACGGCTTCATCCTTATTCTCCTTTCCTCCGTTCTATAAATAACCAAACAAACAAACGCCGGTATACAGAGAGAACCGGAAATGAGACATAAGCCTAGCGGAAGCGTTTGGTAGATGACGTAATTTCCGGGTCGTGATGTTGTCGTCTGGTAGGCGTCTGTTAACTTCATATATTTGCCTGATAAAACACACATCTGAAGTACTGAAGAGAAACCTAAAAATAGAATTTAAACCTTGCTATAAATAGAATACAATATTGCTAAAAATAGAATTTAATTTTATTTAAGAATAACCTGAAATGAAGATGCGGAATCATCGTCGAGCACATGACTTGTACTTCGTAAAGAAAATGGCTACGGGAAAACGAATGTACATCTTTTTTACGCTTCTTACGATAAAGTAAGACATTTCAGGGCCAAACAAGACGGACACCAGATGTGTCTGTAGGCATGCATGTGGTGGTGCTATCGGATCAGGGTAGTAATCTACGCCACTTTGAATTCATCAGAGCAGAGTTCAGCCACCGCATCGTTCCTGGGCAAGCTGTCAAGCAGTTTACCAGTACTACTTCCGTAGGGATGGAAAATGACAGAATTTTGACGAATCGTGATTATTTCTTTCATGTATGAAAATTGAAACTTACATGACCAGCCGATAGCACATGGAAGGACTCAGCAATGATGGTACAATTCGAAATTTGACTACCTTAGTATTAAAATTTAATAGAACTCGTAACTTACATGACCAACCGAGTGCACCGGAAGCAGAAATAATCAGGCACATGTATTTCTTGACCAATCCAATCGCTTGAAAAAATATGGCAGTTATCAGCATAATGAACTGTACCACGATGGCAATTTGTGTGAAAACGATCCATCCTGGAAATTAAAGTGAATAATTTAGATATATATTAATAATAATAATGATAATAATAATAATAATTATAATAATAATAATAATAATAATAATAATAATATAATGATGATGAAGATGATGATGACGATGATGATAATAATGATGACGATGATGATAATGATGATAATAATAATAATAATAATAATAATAATAATAATAATAATAATAATAATAATAATAATAAAATAATAATAATAATAATAATAATAATAATAATAATAATAATAATATTAATAATAATGATAATAATGATAATAATAATTATAATAATAATAATAATAGATATTATTTTGTTGTTGTTGTTGTTGTTGTTGTATTAATTATTAATAAATACTATCATATTTGTTATGATATTGAATATACGCCAACACTAAAGTTCGTATACGAATTCTAACATGCAAATGAAGACTATATCATCAGATCGGTTGTGCGCTACGTCACAATGTTATAGTAATTTTGTTGCTATCCGGAAAGTGCAAACACACGTTTACCGTCAATCGCAACTACTCGGCCCTTTCCGTCAGTCTTCGGATAAGGACCTCGAACACAAAAAGCATGAATATACATAACGTTATTATAGATAATAGCCGAGGCAGTTCCGAATGGTTTACCGTTTAAGCTGCACGTGCATTAGACAAGGCGTTCAGGAAAAAGTTATGATCTCATAAAAAAGTTAAATTTGTATGAAAATATCCTTAACAATGCGGAAATATACCGTTTAATTAGGAATGCTTCTTATAATGGCTATATTGATTTAATATTGATGTACGGATGATCTGAAGGCTACGGAAGAGCATTAGTGCCAGGTGTATGTTTTTTATTAACTCGAAATTTCGAGATAATTAACTCGAAATTTCGAGTTAGTAACTCGAAATTTCGACTTACTAACTCGAAATTTCGAGTTACTTAAATTATCTCGAAACTTCGACTTAGTAACTCGAAATTTCGACTTATTAACATTACAAGAATGGCCAAAGTTATTTTAGATGGCATAAGATATAGTAGGCAGTGCCTTTGAACGATGGAGATGGAGAAACGGGTGCCTGGACAAAAACTATTGAAATTTAACTTAAACTTAGTAATGGCATGTACACACCCGACATACAAAATACAAGGCTTCCTTTAATTTGTACGTTCAGGCGTTCTTCAGACGTTGTATTGTATCCCATCTGTTCGAACATATCTTTTCACTAATCATATTCTTCTCATCCCTGTAAAAAAAACCGATCCTATACTTTACGTGTGGGACATCTGAGGAAAGTATCGCGGCGTGGCCAAAATAGGGCGTGCTGAGGCCTTTGTCAAAATTGTTGGACTGACTATATTTCTTGTAAAATCGGATGCTTTTATATTGTTCCCAACATATATATTATAACAAGTATCACTTTTATCAACTTTTATCAACACAATATGAATCAAAGTATTAGTAAATAATGAATAATGTTACAAAAACATTATTAGTATAAAGAAACGTGACAGACTAACTGGCCTATACACGCCATTTAAAACTTATTTAACACATGATATTGCCAGTTTACAATAGGGTGGGTTTTGGACTTGTTGTTTCTCCATATGATGGTTGTATGTGTGCTTAAGAAAAAGAAACACCTTGTTAACACGGAAATGTGGAAAGTGTGATTTTTCATTCCCCCCCCCCCCCCCCACAAAAAAGCGAAGGATATGTTCAGTATGTGTAGACAATTTGACCCTATAAAATTGTTCTGTTAAATAAATGTTAAAGGTGCTCTGTCAATGTGCAACAACTACACACTAAAGAAAGTATCTTGAATTCAATCCTTGCTTTCACCGGCAACGAATAAAAGTGCAATGTAAGTCGAAATTTCGAGTTAGTAAGTCGAAATTTCGAGTTAGTAAGTCGAAATTTTGAGTTAGTAAGTCGAAATTTCGAGTTAGTAAGTCGAAATTTCGAGTTAGTAACTCGAAATTTCGAGATAAGTACCTCGAAATTTCGAGTTAGTAAGTCGAAATTTCGAGTTAGTAACTCGAAATTTCGAGTTAATAAAAAACATACACCTGGCACTAATGCTCTTCCGTAGAAGGCGGAGTATATCATGCAAAAAGAAATTGTACTTCCGATTTCGCCACAATGAGGTTGCAGATTTTTATGCTTATAATATTCAGTTTGGTTGTCTGTACACCAAAGTAAGATCTGGAGTCGATATGAAACCCAATTTATTAATGAATGTAGCTATTTCTGTTTTTATGAAATTTATTAAATGCAGCTTTAAGGGTATTTTTAGACGATGTTGCTATGTTAAGGCGTTATTCCGGGAATAAAAACTGAAGCAATCTAATACCTTAAGGCTCGAAGTAAAAAAGCTTTTTTCTATGCATATCTCGAATCTCAAGGTTTTCATAGTTCGACTTACATTCTGTGTCGTTTTCTGATCAGTTAATAACCTGTGAAAAAACTTAGATGAGGAAACTTCATTATATCTCGGACAACGATCCAATTGCTTTACTTGGATTCTTTCTTTTTCCTTCTAAATTATTCATTAAATATCCTGTACCACGTATTTTATGGTTTTATATCATAAATATGATGCTCAAATTAAGAGTTATCAATATTGTAAGTTCACAAAAGCATTATTTATAAAGATATCACCGAATTTAACATTTCATGTAAATAAAGGGAGGCAATTAGAAATTTATTTCCTATAAAGTTTAAGTCAAATTTTTCAATAAGAAAATAATGCATATATTTTATTGATACATATACATATAATGTGCACAAATATTTGCAGTACATATTTTACATATTCTTCGATATTTGAAAATTGATTTATAAGCATAATTATATACATTATATAAACTTAAGTGTGGTAACAACCTCAATTAAAATAAAAATAAAAATATTGAGTTACAGAATCTTTAATAATTGTACAAATTTTTAAAATATTACAAATTTAAATAATTGTAATAATTATGTTTCAAATTGTAATGTTGTTGGGTTGCAAATGTACGCTCGTGCGTGCACGAGTGCATGCGTACAGCCGTCCGGTTAGCTCAATAGGTAGTGCGTTGGATTGTGAATCGGGTGACCCGGATTCGATTCCCGGACGGCGCAGGTCACTTTCGTTGTGATTGATCATGAAATCCTTTCTACGGTCATTCACACTGTACCTCTACTCTGATCCGGAGTGAAACTACCAACACCAACACCAACACCACTAACCTCATCTACAACATACAGAATCTATAATAATTCCTGTAACTTACCATCAGCCGAACTTCCAGTCAGGGTACAAATGTCATCCGGGCATTTTACTGCAGTAAATAATCCATAGGTTGTTTCGTTATCTTCCACGTTCAGCCACCACGATTTTAGAAACAAGCCGAATGCACAAACTAACAATGCTGTGCACGAGCTTAAAAAAGCGGCAGCGCTTGAAAACCTTAGCCCTTCCATAATATCTTTAAAAAAAATATTTTGTTAAAAATTAACGACACCTTACAAGCTAGTATTGATGCTTATATATTGCAAACGGAAATTTATAATTGAAATTAAGGTACCTCAGCCATCGATACTTCGTTAAATCTCGGCCATCTTCGGAAATTGCCGTATCTAAATGATATAACGATATGGCAACAATATTTCTTCTTGGTCATTAAGACGTTTTTGATTTTTTTTTATAACTTACAAGGAAATTGGCGGAACATACCGGACTTTCACGAACTTATAGTGGCTGAAGCACCTTAACGGACATAAATTTCTACTTGGATATCCGGAATATAAAACTATATTTCAAACATTAAAGCTTTCCGCTCGAAGATAGAAGGAGAATTTATAAAGTGCACTGCACTGCACTGCACTGCACTGCACTGAATGAATGCATGAATGAATGAATGAGCGAAAGAACGAACGCACGAACGAATGAACGCACGGACGGACGAACGGACGAACGAATGAATGTAGCGGGTAGATAAATTAAATTTTTATAATTAATCAGTCAATTTATTAATAATGGGAAATTTGTAGTATTTCATATATTTCAATATCCTTATTGTTTTCAGGTTGAAACCAAGGCAATTGCTATGAACGAGATATCCCTCTTTAAATAGGAAGTAACAATTAAAATATTGTCAAGTAATATCCTGATGAAATAATTCTCCTTAAATATTCATTACTATACATTAATGTATGTTTATATGCAGTGATGTGTTAATGATAGGGGAAGTTTTTGTTTTTAATTTATATTATTTCTCCGTTAATTGGTGTTTTTAATTAAATAAAAAGATCATTTTTTAAAGTATTTTTCCTTTATATTCTGAAACCTAACCGAATCACTCCAGATGTTGTTGTATTGCTTTTTCAGTTGTAGTATATCTGTACAATATTGTTCGGTGCTGCATTTTTGCATGTATTGTTTTGTACTGTACTGTACGGTACGGTGTGGTACGGTACTGTTTGGTGCGGTAGGTACGGTATGGTAGGGGTATGGTACGGTACGGTACGGTACGGTAGGTATGGTATGGTATGGTATGGTATGACTGATTGGTGTGGTAGGTACGGTATGGTAGGGGTATCGTACGGTATGGTATGGTATGGTATGGTACGGTACGGTATAGCATGGGAAGGTGTTGTGCAGCCAAATCTTTTACGAAAAAATAAATGAGTAAATGTGCATGCTTTTTGCGTTTAAACACAAAAACTTATAAATGTAATCCTTTTCTAAAAAGGCCATATTTTCAAAACAATGTGTGAAATTCCAAATATGTTTAGTTACAAATATTATATGTTTTAATAACAGATGTCAAATTAATAATTATGTAATCGGAATATTAAATGTGTCTTTTCATCTTTGTCCAATCAATGGTGCTAAATGTTTTATTATATTTAGGTGATAATGTTAATTAACTGTACTTATTAAGTTGTTGAACCTTATGACGGATAAAATGTTCAGGTGATGATAGTTGTTATAAATTCTATGTTGCTATGTTACCTTATTTTGTATTTAAAATCTGATTGGTCATTTTGTTATTTAAGAAACAAAGTTGTTAAAATTCTATTGGTCAATGTAAAATGAATCGAATTTAGAAATATTGTAAAGATAGAAATATTTAAAAAGTTAGACTTTGGATTTCCAAGTCATTACACTGCATGTGGCTTTCCACCAGAAATAATCGTTACAGTTTTTAGTATCAAATTTTTTACGTCAGGATAACATGTGCATATTTGATGTATAATAAATGTGTGTGGTATTCCACTGAGAAAGTGACATTACAAGTACATTGTGTTTTATTACATCCGCGCAGTCTGATCAGGATCCATGCTGTTCGCTTACAAACCCTATAACAATAAGCATGGATCATGATCAGGCTGCGCGGATGCGCATGCTGGTTTGGATCCATGCTGGTCGCAAACTCATTATGTTGGTTTTGTCATGGCGCGGCTCATTTTTGTTTTTTAATTTGGTCATTATGTTGTAATTTAAGAGCGAAATACGACATGGCACAGATTAGCCGCCATTATTTAGAGATCAGTACGTGCCAAAGTATTACTTTGGCTGAATCACAACACGAAACATGGATCTTCCCTGTTTTTGTTTTTTCCTCACAATCATTTTATTTTAGAAAGTGTGACGTTGGTCGATTTACGTTCTTTTGATGTTGAATAAATAATCCGTACTGCCCCCGTGGTATAGTGTGCCTATATACATGTATATTCTAATTGTATAGATGGTAATACATTACGGTTATCTTTTTATTTTTATTTAAATATGAGTTGTTTATAATTACATTGTATTGTTCAAATTCATAGAAACAAAAAAAATTGCTAAAGCATTTTTTTCTTCAATCGTTATTGAATAAGGCAGAAGTTTTTAGGCAGATATATCAATAATTAACTATGTTCATGCTTATCGAAAATAGAGTAAACCAACACATTATTTAGGGGCCAGTTACACAGACGGTCGGTCCCCAATCGGTCATTTAATTTTAAATTTACTCGCTGTTATGATCGGTTGTCATGCGTGATTTTATTTCTGGTTTTCTGTGTAAACGGCCATCGGTGACAGAAAGCAAACTCAAACGGGGTTGGATAAAATGCTGAAATACTATCGGTTTTTATCGTTTGTAAATCGGAGCTAAATCGGGCGTAACGCTGATTAATCGGTGTTTGATAGCTTTAAACACTTTTCGTCAGATATGGCCGGTGATTCATATTTGGTTATACCGGCGATACCGGTGATTAAGAGCTTGCATATCTCGTGATATAGGTTGCTGTCGGTTATTTGTAAAATATTTCCACCGATCGAGAATTTTAAACATGTTTAAAAATCACAATTGGTAATTTTTCACCGATAAAACTTATCTATCCCCAATAGCAGTTGATAGGTGGAAAACAGGTGACCAATAGGTGGTATCGGTGTTAAATACGTTGTCATCGGTTCACTCCATAATTTGGCTAAAAAAGCTACAGATCAATCACCGATGGCTCTGTGTAACTGGGATGTAATGTTCGTATGTAAATATAAGCGAAAATTGTGTTTGCCGACACAATATGCGCATGTGTAGAGTAAAAAATATAGCGCACCGATACAATATTCGAAAATGCATGGCGAAACAAGAGTGTGCTGACGTCATAAGGGTTTTAATAATTAATGCGTCGATAAATTTGTCCATAATTATGCAGGAAGAAAATCGTGTTAGCCGACATAAAATGGCAATTTTCAAGGCGGAATCTCAGATATTTCTTGACCTAGGTTCCTTGACCTAGTATTATTTTAAAGGTAATCAATGAGAACAGAAGCACCAAATAGATAAGGGCTATAAGTCAATACCTTTCATAATAACTGCAATGTATACTTCTTTACATTAAAATGTGTGCACTCTTTTCAACAAAAACTTTCAACAAATTATTTGAGTCGCCGATACTCACGCATAAATAATATTTATGAATACGAGCAAGGTGACGTTGTAATATGGTTTGTGCAGATGATGACACGAGTGATGATGATGATGGTGTTGAAATGATAACGTTGTTAATGATGGTGGTGGTGATGGTGATGATGATGATGATGATTATAACTGTTGTGCATGATTGTGATGATGATAATGATGATTGTGATGATGATAATGATGATTGTGAATGATAATGACGATGATGATGATGAAGGTGATTACGACGGTAGTGATTTTAATTATTATAATAATTATCTGATTCATTATTTTGATGATGATGATGATTATAACTGTTTTGTGGATGACTGTGGTGATGATGATGATGTTGATAGTTTTGATGTAGATTATGCTAAAGATTATTAGATTATGATGAAGATTATTACTTTGGCTGAATCACAAAAAAACATGGAATCAAAACAATTACATTTTGTATTTTATTTTAGGACGTGTGACGTTGGAATGTATATAGGCACACTATACCATGAGCAGTACGTACTACTTTAGGGTATTTTTCATTCAACATCAAAACAACCTATAAACCGACCAACGTCACACTTCCTAAAATATGAGGAAAAAACAAAAACAAGGAAGATTCCGTGTTGTGATGATGACGATGACAATGACGATGCTGACACCGGTGCACCGGAATTGAACGACAATGAAAAATGGAAAATGGGCCGCTGGGCCGCCAACTTCACGCCGCCAGGCCGCCAGGCCGCTGGGCCGCCAACTTCACACTTCAAATGAAAAACTATATGATAATCTCTGCAGGAGCGAGAATTTTTACGGGATATTTGCTGGCTTACAAGTGTTTTTTTTCCGGTTCCTGTTGATTGACTAGATTCTAGTTTCGTAACCAAGTTCGTAAACTGATTCACTTTATGTGATAATTATAAGTGAAAGGTTGCATTGATTTAAATTAACGAATATGGTGGTCAATGACAAATTTCTTTGTCATTCCAAAAGTGATAATCATATTGTGCTAACATAACATTTAATAAGTGGCAAGTTTAATTAACAAATATTTCGTTCGTAGCGAAGCACTGTCTTACCTTTCAGTCAAGGAAAATAACAACGTTTGTACTCAATGACTTTTTAATTTAAATAAATATATTATAATAATGTTAAAAAAACGTACTACGTACGTAGATAACATAATTACCAAATATCGTCTGCATTTGCATTCATTGGCATTTAAAACATAGATTGCTGAATTCCTTTTTTGCTGCAAACATCAACACAAACCCCCATTCATTTTTATCTATTACAAAATAAAATAAATAGATAAATGAAATAAAATAACATAAAATAAAATAAATAAATAAATAAAAAAATAAATAAATAAATAAATAAATAAAAAAAGATAAATAAAATAATAAATAAATAGATGGATAAATAAATAAATAAATAAATAAATAGATAAATGAATAAATAAAATAAAACCAATAAATAAATTTAAAAAAAATACAAAATTTGTGTCCTGTTGCTTAAACAAGTAATTAAACACACACTGGTGGTGGTGTAGGTAGTTTTTTCACTCGGATCACGACAATAAGCCACATTGAATTCAGCAGAGCACAGTTCAACCACCGCATCGTTCCTGGGCAAGCTGTCAAGCATTTAACCAGTACTAGTTGCCTTTACTTTCGCAAGGAACTGAAACTTCTGTACATGCCAGAGCAGATGCACAGTGCGAATGACCGTAGAAAGAATTCCATGATCAATCACAACGAAAGTGACCTGCGCCGTTCGGGAATCGAACCCGGGTCGCCCGATTCATGGTCCAACACTCTACCTATTAATCTAACCGGACGGCTGTACGCATGCCTTCGTGCACGCACGAGCGTACCATTGCAACCCGTTAAATAAACAACATTTCAATTTGAAACATATTACAATTATTTACAGTCCGCCTTCGGATCGGGAGGTCGAAGGTTCGAGCCCCACGGGGAACTTTAATTGAAGGATGAATGTTTCTCGTGGGACGCGTTCCGAAATGGCCGCTTCGTGAGCCGCGAGGTACTGTAGTTAAAATGAATGGTTACCGATTTCTATCCGCCTGGCGCCTGGCATAGTGATATGAATTGGGAGGTTCATGGTATGCAAGCAAAAGGTGTCTCATAAGTCAAAATGGCTGGCCCTTTCAGTAGGGGTGACACTATAATAAACAAGACCTTTACCTTTACCTTTTATGCACATGTACTAGTATAATATAATTTTAATAATTTAGCCAATATTGTAAATAACTGATAAATTGTCCTTTGTTTTTTTTTGTATCTTGTGACCTTCCGCATTACGCTTGTTTTTAATTTCATTAACTATATTTCAAATGTTCCTAAATGAGGACATTCAGTAAATGGTCTATAAAGTGACCCAATAACTGAGGCCATCTTTTGGAACGTGAGTCGAAATCTTAACATGGCGAAATTCAATATTAGATTTCTTTTCGGATTAATTCTATTCGGTAATATGATTTATAGATGTTTTTCATGATATACAAGCATCGTGTTATTCATACTTAAAGGCACATTATACATCAGAAATGCTATCAAGTTTATTTGTTAACTATTTATCTTTTTATTTTTGGTGTCTGATTACAGTTTCTGAAACCAAACTTGTTTGTCATATGCATAAACCTCTAGTATAAAAACATTATTAAATAAATGTTTGAAATTTTTAAAGAATCAAAGATTATCAATTTTTTAGGCATAATGTGCCTTTTATTAAGATAAATTTCTCTAATTTCTAATCAAAGTACTGTAGTACTGGCTGGCTCGTTATCTTCACCCATATAATGAATTATAGAATTATAGAATTAAAGATTATGATTTATTGAGGCACATTGTGCCTTTACTTAAGATAAATTTCTCTAACTTCTAATTAACCCATTACTTCATGAGCATTTTGTGAAAAATGGCTGTTTTCATTGAAAAGTCTCCCTTTACAAGTTCACATCGCTATAAAACTGTAAAAAATGCTTCAATACTAATCAAACTTGGCACAACTGTTGACTGGACCATTGCCTTTGTAACAATATGCTCAGGCTTAAATTTCCTGTTACCATGGCAACGAGATGACATCTCAAAATTGCCAAAAATCACTTTTTTGTGTTGTTTTTTTCCATCAAAGTTGATTTCAAACTGCTGCAACTTCTCAATGGATTGAGATAAAGTCAAATACTTTTCAGCGTTGGTTACACGTTACCTTATGATTGATCTAGGGTCATTTCTAGCCTCTCACAAGTCCAAAATTTTCCTGGCGATGAGGGGGACTGCTGCCCCACATTCAAATCCCCTAAACAGAAGGGGGCACACCCCCTTCTGGCAAACCCCTGATGTATCTTTTGGTTTGGGGCCGCGCCAAAAAGTGATCACTTTTTTCACAACATTTCTCAAACGAAAACATGCGTTTGGAGCCCAAACAGGACATTTTTTCACTATTTGAGGCCTTAAGTGGGGGGGGGGGTCGAAAGTCGAAAGTGCGTTGTTTCGCGTATATATGAGTATGAGGTAAGGGTTAAAGTACTGTAGTACTAGCTGGCTTGTTATCTTGACTCACATAATATTATAACGTAATGTAAGTATGTTTTTCCTTTTGTTTTCTTTTGCACTAATTTAGATTGGCGAAAGTGGTGGTCATGACAAAGTCATGACATTAATATTGACATAACATTTAATAACATTTAATAAGTAGCAAGTATGATTAACAAATATCTCGCTCGTAGCGAAGCACTGTCTTACCTTTCGGTCAAGGAAAATAACAACGTTTGTACTCAATGACCTTTTAATTTAAATAAATATATTATAATTATGTTACGTACTTAGATAACAAAATTACCAAATATCGTCTGCATTTGCATTCATTGGCATTGGTGAATTGATGAACATCAACACAAACCCCCAAAATAAATAAATGAATAAAAAATTAAATAGATAAATAAATAAATAAATAAATAATGAATAAATTAATGAAAAATAAATAAATAAATAAATAAATAAATAATAAATTAATAAATAAAAAATAATATATTAATAAATAAATAAATAATAAATAAATATAAAAAAATGAATAGATAAATAAATAAATAAAATAATAAATGAATGAATGAATAAAAATAATAAATAGATAAATGAATAAATAAAATAAAATAAAATCAACAAATAAATTAAAGTTACAGGGAAAATTGTTACTACAAAATTTGTGTCCTGTCGCTAATAGAAGTAATGAAACAAACACACGCACGCACTGGTGGTGGTGATGGTAGCTTTTCATCCCGGATCACGACAATAAGCCACATTGAATTCACCAGAGCACAGTTCAACCACCGCATCGTTCCTTGGCAAACTGTCAAGCAGTTTACCAGTAATAGTTGCCTTTATTTTATTTTCGCAAGGAACTGAAACTTGCCGGAGCAGATGTACAGTGCGAATGACCGTAGAAAGAATTTCATGATCAATCACAAAGAAAGTGAACTGCGCCGTTCGGGAATCGAACCCGGGTCGCCCGATTCATGGTCCAACGCTCTACCTTTTGAGCTAACAGAACTGTACGCATGCACTCGTGCAAGCACGAGCGTACATTTGTAAACCCGTAAAATCTTGAACAACATTTCAATTTGAAACATATTACAATTATTTAAATTTGTAATATTTTCAAAATTTGTACTATTATTAAAAATTCTGTAACTCAATATTTTTATTGTTTTATATCATAAATCTGATGCTCAAATGAAGATTTATCAATATTGTAAGATTGAAAGTAAAGATATTACCGAATTTACATTTCATGTAAATCAAGGGAGGTAATTGGATATCTCTTTTCGATAAAGTCTACGCCTCAACGTATAAATCAGATAGCCTCGTGTATCGTAGAAAGCAGGAATGTAGCGTAAATAAACTCGTTACAATTCGTTACAATTCGTTACAACTCAACATTCTATTTACAGCTTTCGGAATAACATACCATAATAACCCACTGTGTACTACAAAATGATAAATAAAAATACCCATAAGAGCGCGATTTATTGGCGGAAAAGGTTAATTAATTTGAAAAATGTTTGCATTGCGAAATTCTCCAGTTCGCTATTCATTTTACATATCGCGACTAATTAATAATCAAGCACCCTTATACCAATCGGAATGATCGGCTTTTATTATGAACAACTATAAAAGGCCCGAGAAGTTGCTGTCGCCCTTTCTCATTCCATAAAAGGCGCCGCGCTTCGGCGCGGACGCTTATAAAGAACTTCGTTTATAGGGATTGTGACGTTACATATCTGCAGTATTATTAAATGCAAAATACTGTACTTGTCAACAGTATTTTATAAATGATAATGTGTTTATAAAGCACATGAGTTGCAGAGATAGCTGGCTGAACTCTACATGTAAATTATCATTCGATAAATTATAGTAATTATCCAATCATTACACGGAAAATGACGAAAAAAATCTACAATTAACGTTGTTAGTGGGCTGGTATTGCAACAAATAAAGTACATAATTATGTAATAAAAACTAATTTTATTTTTCGTCAGCAAAACTTTGGTAATGTTCGGCATTTTCCGAATCATTTCGGCGAAGTTCGGCACATTTCGGTCTTTGGTATAAAAGACAAACATATTTACGTTTTTTTGTTGTTGTTTTGTTTTGGGTTTTACGTCACATCGACGCAGTATAGGTCATATCGCGACGTTCCAGCTTTACTGGTGGAGGACCTCAGGTGCCCTTCCGTGCATTATTTCAGGCACGAACGGGCACCTGAGTAGAACCACCGACGTTCCGTAAGCTAGCTGGATAACTTCCTCACGTGAAAGAATCCAAAGTCCCTGTCGGGATTCGAACCCACAGCTGTGAGAGGCAAGTGATTTGAAGTAGAAATATTTACGTATACACATGTACTAGTACAAAATGATTTAATAATTTAGCCAATATTGTAAATATCTGTTAAATTGTCCTTGTCTTTTTATCTTGTGACCTTTCTCATACCGCTTGCTTTTAATTTCATTAACTATATTTCAAATGTTTTTAAATGAGGACATTCAGTGAATGGTGACCCGATAACTGAGGTCATCTATTAGAACCATACATGGCGAATTTTATGATTGTTCTTTCATTTAGATTTCTTTTCGGATTAATTCTATTCGGTAATATGATTTATTAATATTATTTCCTGGCATTCAAGTATTGCGTTATTATAACTAAAAGGCCTATGAAACATCAGAAATGCTATCAAGTTTTTTTGAGTGTCTATTTTTTATTTTTTTGGTATCTGATTGTATTTTCTGAACCATATGCATACACCTTTTTTTGCTATTTTTGTTCACTTGGCAACTGGTATGATTATAGTGAATTAGTATTTTATATAGAAGTCAAAATACTACTATGTTAACATTTTTGCGACCTTTGCGACATTTTACTTATCGTTTAGCTCTACTTTGTTCACTTTTTAGATAGCTTAAATGCTCTTAATCCATTATAAAAACATTATTAAACAAATGTTTGAATTTTTTTAAAGAATTAAAGATTATCAATTTTTGAGGCTTAATGTGCCTTTTATAAAGATAAATTTCTCTAATTTCTAATTAAAGTACTGTAGTACTCGCTTGCTCGTTATCTTCACTCATACAATGACTTATAACGTAATGTAAGTATCTTTTTTGTTAAAAAATGCTTTCTGTTTATCACTATAAAAATAAATAATAAAGTTAAATAAAAATCCGTACTGGTTTAAGCAAATTTAAGATAATTTGAGAAAAAAATCTGTTATTTTTTTCTGCATAAAAATTATGTACGATTATTTAAATGACCTTTACCAAAAAGTTCTGGAAATAAACCAGTTTTAAGACGTCAACTGCTCAAATTTACCAAAAGACGATTTCATTTTGCCAACAAAAGTAAATAAGCACGTTTCGTACAATGTGCAATAGGTTTTAAGACATTAATAGGATTTCAGTTTCAGATTTTATTAAACCAAGGCATGTAATATGCAACTGGTTATAGCAAACAAAAGAACAGAAAAAAAAACAGTAAAAAATCAACTAATATCACAATAAAAGAATACAATTATGACTAACTAAATAAACAAAAATAGGAGATCATATTGTTTATTTCAATACTACATGTAACAAATGGGAGAGGGAACGGAGAATGAGAAGTATAAATTATTTAAATTTTAACATAATGTTTTTGTTTGTTTTTTTATTCAAAATAAAGATAGTAGATTAAGTACATTTGTTTTTACAAACAATATATTCAAAATAATTTCCAAAAAGGATACGTATTATCAAAATCGGTCGCAAATGTCAACAAATACGCTACAATTTATCGCCAGTTTAACAAAAGTATTCAACTTGCAGATAAAATATTTAGCATCACAAAATTGTTAAGTTTAAAAAAATCGAATAAGTTATGATGGAAAAATAAGTTGAAACATTAACTCGGGTGAACTGGACGTGCACCTTTTTACTTTAGTTTTCGATGTTCTAAGGGGCTATTTCCGGTGAACGCGGTACAACAGTGATTATTCCGTAAATATTTGAAATACTGGGACAAACAATAATAGAAATGTATCATTTAGATATTCTTATATTAAAATATTGCTTGGAAAAAAAAATGTTGATGAAGTTGTAAGTTATTTAGTAAGAAGAATTTTATGATCATCTATCTATATGAACATCGGGAAACAAACTGGTCAGTTGACACTCGGGTATGTAAAAAAACAACCACTCCAACATTGATTGAAAATAAGTAAACGAAAACAGTTTTAAATACCTTTTCTGATTAAGAACGATCACTTAGGATTGTTTGCCAGGAACAAGAATACCTTTGAGGACGATGTTCCAAAGAACGACAACACAAGTCCGATAATGTTAAAAAACGGCAACTCTTGATAGAAAGTGGTGAAAAGAAAAAGGAGACAAAAGCAGGTACTCATGGGTGAATAATGACTTTTTTAGGTAGGTAAAATCGGTAAAACAACTCTAAATAAGAAGGAATGAAGAAGAACAACTTTAGGTTAGTAGTAATAAAGATCGACAACCCTTCATAGTAAGTGGTAAGGATCGACAACTCCTGTAATTAAGTTCTGAAGACCGACAACTCTAGACATTTAGTCATAAAGAACGATAATATATGATACAATGAAGTAAATGCTGTTAAAACGAATATATGAGGTTAAATGTGGTAAGTGATAAAGAACGACAACATGAAGGACAATGTGGCAAGTAATAAAGAACGACAACATGAAGGACAATGTAGTAAGTGATAAAGAACGGCAGCATGATGGACAATGTAGTAAGTGATAAAGAACGACAACATGAAGGTCAATGTAGTAAGTGATAAAGAACGGCAACATGATTGTCAATGTAGTAAGTGATAAAAAACGGCAACATGAAGGACAATGTAGTTAGTGATAAAGAACGGCAACATGAAAAACAATGTAGTAAGTGATAAAAAACGGCAACATGAAGGACAATGTAGTAAGTGATAAAGAACGGCAACATGAAGGACAATGTAGTAAGTGATAAAGAACGGCAACATAAAAGTCAATGTAGTAAGTGATAAAAGACGACAACATGAAGGTCAATGTAGTTGGTTATAAAGAACGGCAACATGAGGTACAATGTAGTAAGTGTTAAAGAACGGCAATATGAGGTACAATGTAGTAAGTGATAAAGAACGGCAACATGAGGGACAATGTAGTAAGGGATAAAAAACGGCAACATGAGGGACAATATAGTAAGGGATAAAAAACGGCAACATGAGGGACAATGCAGTAAGTGATAAAGAACGGCAACATGAGGGACAATGTAGTAAGGGATAAAAAACGGCAACATGAGGGACAATATAGTAAGGGATAAAAAACGGCAACATGAGGGACAATGTAGTAAGTGATAAAGAATGACAGTGATGAAAAAGGAAAGTAATGGATAAGAAACGAAAATCTCAAGCAGTTAATGTTGAGACACGACAGTCTTTGCAGGTTTTGAAAATCATAACTCAATGTATTTTATTTTTTATTCCACAGGGACAGCACAAAGCGAATGGTGTTCATCAGTTCACGACTGTCATGCCACAAACTGTCGCCATGTACAGCATTTAGGTTTGGTATTGCAGTGTGAAAATCACCTATGTATATGTGGTAAATATTCTGAATACATTTTATCAATTTTATAAATTTACAGCATTGTAAATAACAAGATTATCTATCAAGCATGAATAAGACAAAATCTCCGCCGTAAGCAGTTACATGAAATGTCGTTTGGAAAAAAACATCCTATCTGCGCTGCCTTTACACAAACTTCCGTTTCCGTCTTCCGATGAGCATGCGCACTAATAATATTATAATTCCTTTTGTAATTAATTAATGTACTTTGTGAGAAACTTATAATCATGTTCAGACAAGTAATAGATATACCATTGCTGCGTTGACGATTTCTGGGTTTGCGTAAATTATACCATAATCACGTGACCTTTCTTATGCCTTAACCTCACGAGACGAAGTCGAGTGAGGTTGCATAAGAAAGGTCACGTGATTATGGTATAATTTACGCAAACCCAGAAATCGCCAACGCACCAATGGTGTATCTGTTTTAACCAATAGCTCCGCCCAGAAACACTTACTCCTTCGATCTTCAAAACTGAAAATTATACCATAGTCTGGGTATGGTATAATTTACGGTTATTGGAAATTATACTTGGAAGAATTTTACATAAGAAGCGCTGAAGAGCTATAGGTTAATATTAATTATCCTCCAGTATACATTCTTGTGCGTGTATTTTAACACAGAAGAAATACATTATAGACTTTCATATACCTGTAATTAGAACTCGTAACTTCGTCTCGTGAGGTTAAGGCATAAGAAAGGTCACGTGATTATGGTATAATATACGCAACCCCAGAAATCGTCAACGCACCAATGGTGTATCTGTTTTAACCTATAGCTCCGCCCAGAAACACTTACTCCTTCGATCTTCAAAATGGATACCATTGTCTGGGTATGGTATAATTTACGGTTATTGGAAATTATACTTGGAAGAATTTTACATAAGAAGCGCTGAAGAGTTATAGGTTAACTTAGCATACATGTCCAATAAACGTGATGGAGCGTAAAAAGTGAATGTCGCAAAATTATTATATCTGTGATATTTATTCTTAATTATAATTATCAAGGTATGCCTACCTTGACTTTAATTACAAGACGGCAGTTTGGTTGTTTTACCGTTGAACATTTAATTTTGGGGTAGATTTTAGTTTTAAAATTCTCGGCTGGTTACTGGGCATGATCTGTTGCACTCCGTATATAGCAAACTTTGTATAAATATTATTCCGTACATAGGTAATTCCATTTATCACTTTCTTTCTTATAAAGCTCACAGACACTTGGGGTTTGGAGCTCAAAACGCCTTTAAAATCCAAATAAAATGCATATTTGTCAATCCCAGGACATGTACTGATCATATATATCAAAAAATCTTAATATATGCCGTTTTGAAAAAAAATCATATTTCAACAACTATAATAATACACAAGATAAAAATGTTCGCCGGAAAAAATCCGCACCCCTACCGTCATAATCACCATGTATTTTATTCCATTTCCAATATTTTCACATAATCCTTTGGTCCATCGACACAGAAGATATAATTCTTCACGATGATGGTCAATTTTAAACTTCAACGGTAATATAAACAACGCAACAGCCGAAATAAACATCAATATTATCGCCGTTTTTTTCCAACGACAAAATCTTTCGATAAATTCAATGGACCAGACGGCTATGAACGAAGCTATCCGATTATGTGGTTCCCAAACTTAAAAGCGCTGCGCATTTTGCACACGGCAAAGCTGGGGCCACATAATCGGATAGCTTCGTTCATAGCCGTCTGGTCCATTGAATTTATCGAAAGATTTTGTCGTTGGAAAAAAACGGCGATAATATTGATGTTTATTTCGGCTGTTGCGTTGTTTATATTACCGTTGAAGTTTAAAATTGACCATCATCGTGAAGAATTATATCTTCTGTGTCGATGGACCAAAGGATTATGTGAAAATATTGGAAATGGAATAAAATACATGGTGATTATGACGGTAGGGGTGCGGATTTTTTCCGGCGAACATTTTTATCTTGTGTATTATTATAGATGTTGAAATATGAAATTTTTTCAAAACGGTATATATTAAGTTTTTTTGATATATATGATCAGTACATGTGCTGGGATTGACAAATATGCATTTTATTTGGATTTTAAAGGCGTTTTGAGCTCCAAACCCCAAATGTCTGTGATAAAGCTAACTCCGAATACATATATCGATGATTCCGTACATACGTATATATCTTGCATATAAGACAGGATTATCTACCGTTGACACCGGTGTTTTATAAAACTCTATCTAAACACCCCCATGTAAGACAAGTCGCGCGCTTTAAATGACGACATTGCCGCGCGCATTTTATAAATGAATTGCGTTCTTAGGATGACATCACTAAATCGTTATGTTTCATACGCTACTATAAGAAAAAAGTGCCTAATGAGAATATCCGTTTTCGTATTTTGTTTTCTTTATGTAAAAGACATTGTCGGCAATGTAATGTTAATATCCAGATTTATCTTAGCTTAAGGTCTTCAGCGTACCCGTTTATATACTATGACATGACGTGAACGCTGAAGATAACCCCGTAGGGAAAGTCCACCAATAATCGTGCCAGGAAATCTGACACGCTCGTATTTATTCATCGAACATGCCATGAAGTAAAGTAAAGCATACCTTGATAAAACTATATATAATCTGTTTATAAGCCAAGGATGGACAAATAAAAATCTTATTAAGAACATAAACTACCTAATAGTTTCCGGCAGGTAAAAATTTCGGCACTTGGCCGCCATATTGCCAAAATGTTTGACCACGTGATTACGAGATTGACCTTTATGAACCCATGTGCCTCCAATATTTTTATACATTACTTTTTTTAAAGATATTGAAAAAGGTGATTTACTGACTTTTATATTCAATAAAATCATATTTAAGTACTGAAAAATTAAAGAAAATAAATAAAAACATTATCTTGAATAGAAATATTGAAATCATGTCAACAAAATGTTCTAAATATAGTACACGACTCTATTCAAATCTGTTCCCGCGAATGACGTCATACGAGGTCTCGCGTGGCACCTGAATGTCATGGCCGACTGTAGTCGGCGTAAATTGATGTTTTACAATTAAATCGGCAATTTTAATGACGGTATTAATATGTTGATACCTTATTTGGTATAGAATGATACTAAAATGATTGTTTTATCGTAAAATGCACAAGAATTGATTCGGTCAAGTGTATTTGTAAGTGAAAAACAAGAATAAATCAACTAATGTTATTCTGGTTAGGTTTCGTAACGGGTCTAATCCAAAACTTTAATGCCGCATCAGATGAAAAACAAAAATGTTAAAGAGCGGCTTATAAAGTTTTGGAAGCCAGAACTAGATTTATCTCTTTTGCAGAACCTGCCATCGCAACAACTGCAGCAACGTCAGCTTGCAAGTTTAACCACTGCTATCATGGCGGGAGTTGTCATGAAGCCAGTAATCACGATGGCTACACGTGCTCGTGTCTGTCCGGGTTCACAGGATCAAAGTGCCAATGTAAATATTCTATATTAATATTTTTTCTTAATTCGCCTTTAAATTGTAATAATTTGGACAAATACATTACGTCATAAATAAGAATGATATTATGGTGCACCTTAACTAAATTGCACCATAACAAAACATATTATACCAGCATTAACACTGATTTAAATTAAACAAAATTTTATCTCTGCTATATAATCTCATCACGTGATAAAAAAAAACCTCACTTTACTCGGCCTCATGTCACTTTACCTCCCATACCTTTCAACACCAACATTTCTTTCTTTGCTTGTTTGTCTGTTTCTTTCTTGCTTCTTTCTTTCTTTCTTTCTTTCTTTCTTTCTTTCTTAGTTTGGTCTGGAAAGTCCCTGTTGCGTTATCTTTTTTTCGGATAGAGAAATCGGTTTCATGCAATTGTTGTGGCACTTGACGATGCTTTGCAGTAAACAATTTAACGTCATGCATATTAAAAATGTGCAACACCTTTAAGCGCGATTCTATGCATTACAGTATGTTTTGAATACCTGCCTGTTCTGCTTTTTATGTAAGAGATAAAAGTTCTAACTTCTATGTTGATAACTTTCAGATAACCATCACTGTGACAATAACCCGTGCAAGAACAACGGAGTATGTCACTTGCGAAACAATGATCCATACTACATTTGCACGTGTCCTACAAACTACACTGGGCCAACGTGCGAAAGTATGATGTTTCTCTCAATAAATTTTAATATTGAATATTAATTATTTTTACTTACATTAAACCTTTTATTATCACATAGATTATCACGAAACTTATAACGCTTTATCCTGTGGGTTCGAACCTTTTCGTGTTATGAGGCCATCCAATGCAACTACCTAACGGAACGTCGAGGATTCTGCTCAGTTGCCGGCTTGAGCTCAAACCCTTTACCCTTAGACTGTAGGCAGCGACAGAGTTTAGCCATGCGAGCAATTCAGCCTAAGACCAGCTGACACATGCTTGCCGTGTGATCATAGTCTGCAATTTTCGGGAATCATCCAGTATATACATGTATGTCAAAACTTTTCCAAAAATGATCAATGGTATTGTCGATATTGAAAAGAATGGGAAGGTCCGATCTTAATAATTAATGTGGTAAGTTCTAATGAATGCACTGAAAAGCAACCTAGTGTATTTTTCTCAGCCTGAATAGGTCGAAAGCTGCACCCGACGAATAATATTAATAATTTAACGGTTACAATGTGCAATTGAATTGTTTTACTTAAACCTGAAAAGAAATGAACCTTCTATTTACCTTTAACATGTTAGAGTTAAAATTATTTAATCAAAATATTTCAGTTGTTTTGAAAGTAAAATGTTAAATTTATCTATCTATTTCCGTAATTAACATTCTTTACTATTTGTTTAAGTTTTTCTTTCTATTTCATGTTTTACAGAAACAACGGCATGCATCAGTAGCCCGTGCGTGAACGGCGGGGCTTGTCACGTGTCCACACGGCATCCTTATTATTATTGCAGATGTGCGACGGGCTTTGAAGGGGACCACTGTCAAAGTAAATATGTCAAATATATATGTTTAACGTGTTGCAACAGGGAGATAAATAACACACAAGCAAGCACGCACACACACATACCCTAACCTACCCCTACCCCTACCATTTGACAACAAAACATATTAACATAAAAACATTACATAACATAATATAATATATAATAATTTTGGGCTCGAATCTCGCTATGAACTTCATGAACTTTAAATTTAGAGTCTTTCGTATGAGAAAGCTATCCGGCAAGCTCATACAACGTCGGTAGTTTTATCTCGGTGCCTGATTATAAATGGACGGTGAGGCACCAGAAGTATTTTTCCTCCAATTTAGCTGGAAAATCGCCATTATTTATCATAAACAATAAAGGATACTACGTCACCGCGCACGTGCAAAATGGTTCCATTCAGACTGTTATATTTATTTTTTTGTTTGTTTGTTTTGTTTTTTTGTCGACTCGAAGATAAGAAATGGTTGGAATATCAAAAAACAATATTTCAAATCACCAAGTCACCAAAGATTGGCTTTATTCCTTGAAATAATTTTAGAAAACTTTTAAACTGTAGCTTTCTGTTTAAAGCCTGAAAACTAGATACAAAAGAATAATAAGATTGATGTTTAAAACAATAATATAAAAATACTGTAAATGTAAAGAAATCATCAAACAAAGTGCATAAATCTCTTCATAGAATAATAATATCTGTCATATTTTGCGGTACGGATCGGAATATCCGTCCCGAGGTGATCCGCCCATTGGGCGGTAACGAGGCTTGCCGAGTTACCGCCCATGGGCGGGTGACCGAGGGACGGATATTCTGATCCGAACCGCAAACATATGTCAGATATTTTTTCTTGCATATTCTACCATATTCCATTATATTTTAAATTCTTTATCTTTATTTTCAATGAAAATTTATATCATTACAACCGTAACTACTTTCATTCAACAGCGTATGAATTACAAAATCATTCATAACGGTAAAATGACGTCATCTTTATCGTGCCATTGTACAGCACGCGACTCATCTGGAACCCCCCATGCCAGATGAAATTTCCGGCATGGGTAAAACTAACGGAAACGCCAGTCTGATATGCAAGAAACACTTTTCTTGCATATCAGACTGGCGTTTCCGTTAGTATTAGCCATGCCGGAAATTTCATCTGGCATAGGTGGTGCCACATGAGTCGCGTGCTGTACAATGTCACGCTTAGGATGACATAATTTTACCGTTATGAATGAAGTTGTAATTTCATACCCTGTTGTACGAAAATAGTTTCGGTTGTAATGATATAAATTTTCATTGAAAATAAAGACAAATAATTTAAAGTATAATCGAATATGGTAGAATATGCAAGAAAAAATATCTGACATATGTTTGCGGTTCGGATCGGAATATCCGTCCCTCGGTCACTCGCCCATGGGCGGTAACTCGGCAAGCCTCGTTACCGCCCAATGGGCGGGTCACCTCGGGACGGATATTCCGATCCGAACCGCAAAATATGACAGATATTATTAATCATCTCCTGTTAAAATTTCTCCCATTTTCTGCAATAAATTTCCAAATTTTTCTATCAAGGATTAACATGCTGAACTTGTAAACCGTAAAAACACACAGTCGCTTACGGGATTATCTACCAAGTATTAAACGTAGAAAACGTGTAACAGTATCCTGGAATCGGGCTTTCCTGTTACTCTATACTGTAACCGGAAGGCGCGATACTATAACACGGCATACGGTGAAATTAAAAAATATATTGATGTAATACAAGGCCGCACCAAAAGTCTGTTGGGGTTTTTACCCTGACCATGTCTTTATAAAATTTGTTTATCTGTTTTTATGGTGGCTGATTTGGAACGCTTTTGTCCGTCGTGTTGTCGCTAGCGACATGACGACAAAGCGCCAAACGGCGCACTGTTGGACTTTCGTCTTGTCGTCCTGACGCTAACAATGCACGCCAAACGGCGTAATGTCGTTCGGCGTGTTGTCGCGATGTCACATTGTCTCTAGGCTCAAATCGAAGGATTGACTTTTGTGCCAAGCGACAGGACGACATCGCGATAACGCGCTGCACGACAACGCTGCACGCTACGCTAGTGACAA